ACGTTATACATGTAATACACCCCTGATGAAGGCATACTACGCCAAAAGTACTAGGGTATTTATACTTTAACACTGTATAAACGTTTATTTTCTCCAAATTTATTGTTATTCTGTCTACGTTCTTGTATGCTTCTTGGGATCCAGTGTATGTAAATATTTTCACAAACCTATCAATTTCTTCTTTTCAATTATCTTTTTGATCTAAAATCCTTTCTTCCCGTAGTCTACTACGAATTTACCTGTTCATTCTATGATCTAATTAATTTACAGATAATAGTATCAATTATGGACTCGCAGTCGCTCGATAAAAGACTTAAAAATCAATGATCAATCTCACAAAATTGGAACATCATAGTACATTCATACAGCAATGCTTGGATATATAGGTCTCCTTATCCATTTAAAGTCCTATGTGCCGGGAACAACTTCTAAACGATTTTGTAACAGATGGAACTCTATATTAGATACTGTTTCCTTGCAATTATTGACTCTTCTTTATGGCAGTATAATACATCGTGGATTAGCATAAGCAGTATATCCAGTGAATTACGTAGTACCACCAATATTATCCAACATTTGAAACTTAAACAACAGATTTTTGGCACCAAACTCACTGCCAAGCGAAACAAGAAACTTAAGACTTCCACTGTCCGGAGCAGTAACACAAAGCCCAAGCATCATTTTGACATAAATTATCAGCCCAAGGCGCCCGCTTACGACGGAACAGGCAATCTAAATATGAACTGTCTACAAATACCGATTCTACAGTTACATCTGCAGTTGTCAACTTGTCAAGTACCCCTTTAACAGATACACAAGACTTTGAAGATGTCCTGTATCCTATGTTTCAACTGGAAAGTACATGGAAACCACCACGTTCCTTTAGAAACTTTGATTCAAAACGTTAACATTGTAACCGATATAAATTTATTTCAGCCCAAATCTTCATTATACAATAATCTATCAAGACCACAAAACCAGCTCGTAATAACCTAAAAAGAAAAGAACTGATATTGTTATTAAACCTGCCGAAAAAGGCTCAGCTGTAGTTATCTTGGACAGAAACCACTATATTTCAAAAGCCAAATGTCAGCTCAAAGACACCTAAGCCTAAAGCTGATAGATTTTACCTTCTTTCTAAAACACACAAAGAAGGAATCCCAGGCCGCCTCATTGTATCTGCCAACGGTCACCCAACTGGACGCATCTCAGAATTTGTCGACCAACATCTTCGGCCATTTGTACGCACTTTGCCTTTTCTTTTGCAGGACACCATTGATTATCTAAGAAAATTTGAATCTCAGAAAGATTTAACTGACCAAACTCTTTTGGTGTCTATGGATGCATAATACACTAACATCCCTCACGAAGATGGCATTGCCGTGTGCAAAGAAGCATGGGATTCTCGTATAATAAAGAACCCTCCTACAGAAACACTGATCGAACTTCCTGTGCTTATTCTGAAAAGCAACAACTTTGTTTTCTGTGACAAACATTTCCTACATATACACGACACGGCTATGGGGACCAAAATGGCGCCATCTTACGCCAACGTGTTTATGATCAAATTAGAAGGACAACTGCTAGCTGCAGTACCTCCAAAACCATTCAGTTGGTTACGCTTTATAGATGACATTGACATGCAATGATGTCACGTGGAAGAAGCTTTACAAGATTTCCTTCACAGGGCTAATGCTTTTCACAAACCTATAAATTACACCACTGAGGTATCAAACGAACAACAAGTTTTTCTCGACACAGTGTCTCATATTAAAGACAATCATATAATTAATGATTTGTATTCAAACCCCACCGATAAACACCAATACCTTCTTCAAAGCAGCTGCAACCCTCGACACTGTTGTAAGAACATACCCTATAGTTTGGCTTTGAGAATCAAACGAATCTGCTCAGATCCCAACACATTCTATATCAGAGCAAAAGACCTTCGGAAGCGAGGATACAAGGCAGATAACATTGCAAATGCGATCTCAAATGGAAGGAACTACTAGAGTACAAACATTACTTTTAAAATTTAGTGGTTCTTCACAAAATAAAATTCCATTTGTGCTCACATATCACCCGGATTTACCAAACAATAGAGCCATCATTGACAAACATTGGCCAATTATTGAGTCTTCACAGAAACTTAACAAGATGATCCCAACTAAACCAACCATTGCATAGGAGACCTAAATGCCTCAGAGACATACTTGTCTGAGCCCAACTGAGACCAATAATGACAGATAAAGAAGGTTAGTCTAGACCATGTGGTTCACCAAGATGCCAAACCTGTGCTGTCATGCACCTTACATTCTCCACAAAAATAGGGGCCAAAACAACTCTCAAAGACATAATGATTTGTAAAACGGCAAACTTTATTTACCATATTTCTTACAAAGTGTGCAACAACCAATATGTCGGTGAAACTTAACTTCCATTAAATAAACGAATGAACTTACACCGCTCTGATTGGAAAACACGAAAATTTAACAGATCCCAATTTTCACCTTGAGGGACACAGTTTTAAAGACGTGTCGCTCTGTTGTATTGAACATAGCACAAAATGGTCAGATGTAACACGGAAATCACGCGAGACATACTTGATTCGCCGGCTGAATACGCTAGAGCCATCAGGAATCAATAAAGGAGACTAATTTTAACACGAATTCTCGCCCATTTTTGACAAACTGTTTTAAACCTTCCTTTAGTAATCAGGCGATGTCGGGGAGGGCTCTTTTTCCCTGTGCCTGAGAGCATCCCTATTACTTTTACCCTGTCGAAAATTTACACTTCATATAATCATATAATATTCCACTGATTGTAAATTGCATTTTCTTATATTATACTTTTAGTATAAAAAAACACAAAACGCCCTTATATGTGTACTGTGCGTTTAGGATAATTATTTAGTGACGCGGTGGTCAAGTCCACTTTAACGGTGTAAAACAGTTATCATATTGTGTTTAATATCTTAAGTCAAGCAGGCTTGTCATATAAATTAAAATATCGACAAATTTACCAACTGTCGGCGTAACGCAGTAGGTAAAGTTGTGTGGTAAATCTTTAGTTACATATCAATGCAAGACAGCCAGGTTCGGTCCCAAATTTTTTGTGTAATTATCAATCGATTAAGAATTTCTTTTTTTCTTGTAAAGATTATTAGCGCTGTGTTATTCTTTTTTAATTTCTCATTTCAATTTTGTTTTTAAATGTTGCTATATCTAGCAAGTTGGTGCAACCTGATACGGAATGCATACATGTACATAAATTGTTTCAACTATAGTTAAGTTGGCACGAAAAACGTATGCACTGCAAAAGTACTACTAATATATATTACACACTACACAGAATAAAAATTATTATTTCCGGTATATATAAATTATTCGAAATGATAACAAAACTGCCTTTATATTCCAATTGATTTGCATCTCATGTCAAAATAAAAATAGAAAAAGGAAAAAAGGTTTGACAACTTGTGTGGCTCGAACTCATGATACAATTTAATTTGTATGGCATCCTAGTGACTTAACCAACTTTGCCATCGAGACTTTTCAAATTCTATTTCTGATTTTGAATCATATTCAATTCTAAATACCCTGTTTTACCTATTCAGACAAAGATTGTTAACTTTTGTGTACACAAAAAATGCAACGTCACTCTCACATTATCATAGCGGCACAGTAGTTTAATTTTTCATTTTTTTATGTTAATAAATATATAACCGAGTTTATGCCATATTGTCCGCAGGCTATATTTTCTTTTGTAAAGTATAACACAATGATCATTCAATAACGGTCTATTCATAATCGATGTAGTTTTATCACCTTTCTAGCGACTGTGTTTCAGTTTTGATACTATACAGTACACACACATAGAGATTTCGTGCTCTATTGTTTGCACATTATACATGTAATACACCCCTGATGAAGACATAATACGCCGAAAGTAAGTACTTGGGTATTTATACTTTAGCGCACTGTATGATTGTTTATTTTTCTCCAGTTTCTCTCTATATATATAGAAGAGAGAGAGAGAGAGAGAGAGTAATATATATATATATATATATATATATATATATATATATATATAATATATACGACACGAAAATGTAACTATTAACAAAGAAAGGTTTAAGAAACAAAGAATGAAAGTTGAAGATTTATCTGTTATTTTGCAATGTCACAAAAATACAATGGTTATTTTTAACTACATGTGGTAGCTACTTAAAGGTCACTTTCGTGGGAAAAGGAGGAACATAAAACAAGACCTTATTAAGAATTACATTGTGTTAGCTCTATGCAGGACATTAAAAACAATAGAGAAATTATCAACGGATAATATAAATGTACTAAATAACAAAGAACTTATCATTTTTTACATGTGCTAATAAATTGATTGCCATACTTTCAACTGAAATTAATGTTAGACGTGAAAGTTATTCTGTAATATACAATTTCTATTGCAGTAAATAACGTAGCTCTTCAAAGGTATAACAAAACATGAGGATAATTATTGTTTTGTCAGTTCTGTTTGGTAGTTGTAAGTATTTTTGTTTTCTAGTATTGAAACAATGCAATTATATAAAATTGTTACATGTAAGTTCCTCCGTAGTGCTTAAGGTAGTTGGCTCGTTAGGACGATGAAGACTTTTGACTATTTCATTTCAGGAATCTTACGGTACGTCGATGGTTTTACTCATGTATCCTCTTGAATGTGTCTAAAAAGTAAATCAGTTTTTCTTTCAATCAGTTAAACTAGAAACTCACAACATGACCATTACTGTGTTGATGTGACTAACAATCCAACCGAAAATAAATAAATAAATAGATAAATAAATAAATAAATAAATAAATAAATAAATAAATAAATAAATAAACAAATAAATAAATAAAATGTACTTTTGCATTATATTAAAATGTTATTACTGGTTTTACCATGAATTTGGTTACATATTCATATTATACGTTTAATCTAATCTGTATGAACTTTAGTCAGTCATCATTGGTCAAAAGAATGCTCGGCTGGAGAGAATTGTGAACAGAAGTGCATGGCAAACTGCCGCAATTGTTCAAGAGATAATGTTTGTGAACAATGTGAACCTGGATATTTTCTCCATAACCATAAATGTTACAAATGTCAATCAAGTTGCATAAGTTGTTCATCTATTTATAAATGCGATATCTGTAGAGATGGATTTTACAATGGCCATTGGTACGATGATAAACGATATCAATTACAGACCAATTGTAGTTTATCTTGTAAAACAACATGTTCATCATGTACATCATACAAAACTTGTATTACCTGTACAAATCGTGATAATCTATGTAATTGCAAAACTCAAAATGGATATAAGAGACAGTGTGCCTCTTGTCAGAGTGGCAATTATGGCAATTATTGCCAGTCGAGCTGTTCAGTTGGTTGTAAAAATCACACCTGTGATTTCAATACCGGCACGTGTGAATGTACCTTCAATTTTCAAGGTGATTATTGTGATCGCTGTATAGAGGGTAAATATGGATCAAAATGTGATACAACTTGTCCACATATATGTAAGGAAAACACTTGTGAACGCAATGGGAGTTGTAAAAAATGTAAGGATGGATTTAGGGGAGAGAACTGCCAAAAGAAGTGTGAAAGATGTAAGCCGAGAACAGCATGTGGTAGATACAATGGCAATTGCGATGAATGTATAGAGAGATATTATTCTACCAACTGTGATAGGCAATGTTCAAAGAATTGCAAGTCTTGTTTTAGGAATAACGCACACCATTGCATGTCCTGTCAATCTGGGAGATATGGGAAAATACTCGGTCATAATGGACAAGAGTACATTTCGTGTCATCAAGAATGCCCAGATCATTGCTTGAACAAAACTTGTACATTTGATTCCGGTGAATGTGACAGAGGCTGCGTGAAGGGACACTGGGGTGTAAAGTGTAACAATAAATGTTCTGATGACTGCACAGATGGCGAATGCTTCCAGAACAACGGAACGTGTTCTTCTAGAAATGAATGTGATACCAATCGTTTTGGTAAAAAATGCGAAAACGTTTGTCATCGTAATTGTATGGCAAATGAAAATGGTAACAGTTGTAATTTTTTAAACGGACAATGCATTAGTGATTGTTTACCAGGTTATTTTGGCGACTTTTGTGACCTAAACTGTAGCGACAATTGTCTTAATATGTCGTGTAACAAAGATGGTGGTTTTTGTTTGTATGGTTGTATAGCTGAATATAAAGGAGACAAGTGTGATTTACAAGGTCAGTTTTGAATAAATGCAATTACTGTAAGTAAATATGAATCGAGTTTTATTAACAAAACTATATTTCTTCTAATGAACGCAAAACTTATCAATAATTGTGAGTTATCATGTAGACACCAATGCTGGCGTTACTTAAATGTCAATACAGATGGCACCCAATCATTAGGAACACAATCAGTTTTTAACATTTTGAACAAGTTTACTATTTCAATACTTTTGGCAATATTCTTCCTAATTATTTAATGTAATGTAATGATTAGATGATTGATGACGATGATGATGGTGGTGGTGGTGTGTTTTAACACGACTATCAAGACATTTATATTAAAACGTGACACAAAATCCTTGTCCAAATCACGAGTCCTATAATGACGTTAAAGTTCTCCTCAAGCAAAATGAAAAAAGTATTTTATCATTTTAATATTTACTCATTAATTCTAATACGATATCACAAGTTTTATCATCAATTTGTAGAGTCGATACAACATGAAATTTGGAGTACCAATATCGTGATAATCATTGCTACAACCGCTGCTGCTGCATCCGCAGTTATAATAATTGTTACCGTTCTTGTAAGAAGGTAAGTAATAATGATGATATATATATCAATGAAAAAATACGAATAAATATAAATAAAAGTAAAATAAAGCTAAATACTAGAAATGATAAAATAATTAATTAGGAAACAAAACAATAATCTGCCAAAACATCATTCATTTTTTGGATTTACAGGTGAACATATGATGAAGGTAAAAATAAACATCAATTAATGTTAAAAACTATCGAATATGCTTGCAAAACATACTACATTAAGACTTGTATAAAGCAAATTTATCACACACCCGTGCCGATTTTGCGACTCCGTAAATATGGTATTGCACGGCCGTGCATATATTTTGACGTGACGTCATTAGCGTTATACAAAAATAGTGTAAAGAGCGCTAAATGTTAGCGTTATACTATAGGCGCGTCAATGAAAAATGACTCTTATTTCACTTTAAACGGTCTTTATTTTGGGTATGTGATAAATAGAATATTAAATTCGTGTAAGTTCATTACTAAATTTATTGCACTCGTTGAATAAAATAATATTATGCTCGCCAGAGGCTCGCATAATATAATTTTATTCAACTCGTGCAATAAATTCAGCATTGAACTTACACTCATCCAATATCCTCTATATATTTTTTCTAAAATAGATGTAAGATACAAAGAGATAAACGCAAGATGAAGAAGAACGCTGACGAGGAGACAGCTTCAGTATGCAATCAACAGACTACAAACCATCCTGATAATGGTAAACCTAGTAAAACCTTTGTCAAATTGTTATGTAATATGAGTAACTTTATGGTAGCATACGGAATATTATAGTAGCGTACGGAATATTATAGTAGCATACAAAATATTATAGTAGCATACGAAATATTGTAGAAGCAGACGAAATTTTATAGTAGCAGACGGAATATTATAGTAACATATGGAATATTATAGTAGCATACGGAATATTATAATAGCGTACGGAATATTATAGTAGCATACAAAATATTACAGTAACATACGGAATATTATAGTAGCATACGTAATATTATAATAGCGTACGGAATATTATAGTAGCATACAAAATATTATAGTAACATACGGAATATTATAGTAACATACGGAATATTATAGTAGCAGACGGAATATTACAGAAGCAGCCGAGATATTATAGTAGCAGCCGAGATATTATAGTAGCAGACGGAATATTGTAGTAGCATACGTAATATTATAGAAGCATACGGAATATTATAGTAGCAGCCGAGATATTATAGTAGCAGCCGAGATATTATAGTAGCAGACGGAATATTGTAGTAGCATACGTAATATTATAGTAGCAGACGGAATATTATAGTAGCATACGTAATATTATAGTAGCATACGGAATATTATAGTAGCAGACGAAATATTATAGTAGCAGACGGAATATTATAGTAGCAGATAGAATATTATAGTAGCATACGTAATATTATAGTAGCAGACGGAATATTATAGTAGCAGACAGAATATTATAGTAGCATACGTAATATTATAGTAGCAGACGGAATATTATAGTAGCGTACGTAATATTATATTAGCATACGTAATATCATAGTAGCATACGTAATATAATAGTAGCATACGGTATATAATAGTAGCAGACGGAATATTATAGTAGCATACGGAATATTATAGTAGCATACGTAATAATATAGTAGCAGACGGACTATTATAGTAGCATAAGTAATATAACAGTAGCATACGGAATATTATAGTAGCAGACGGAATATTATAGTAGCAGACGGAATATTATAATTGCAGACGAAATATTATAGTAGCAGACGGAATATAATAGTAGCAGACGGAATATTATAGTAGAATACGTAATATTATAGTAGCATACGGAATATTATAGTAGCAGGGGAAATGTTATAGTAGCAAACGGAATATTATAGTAGCAGACGAAATATTATAGTAGCAGACGGAACATTATAGTAGCATACGTAATATTATATAAGCATACGGAATATTATAGTAGCATAAGAAATATTATTGTAGCTTAAGGAATATTATAGTAGCATACGAAATATTATAGTAGCAGACGAAATATTATAGTAGCAGACGGAATATTATAGTAGCATACGTAATATTATATAAGCATACGGAATATTATAGTAGCATAAGAAATATTATTGTAGCTTAAGGAATATTATAGTAGCATACGAAATATTATAGTAGCAGACGGAATATTATAGTAGCATTCAGTACATTTTAGTGGGGCATACGGAATATTATAGTAGCATACAGTACATTATAGTAGCATACGGAAATATTATATTAGCGTAAGGAATATTATAGAAGCAGACGGAATATTACAGTAGCATACAGTACATTATAGTAGAAATACGGAATGTTATAGTAGCATTCAGTACATTTATAGAATCATACGGAAATATTATATTAGCATAAGGAATATTTATAGTAACAGAAGGAATATTATACTAGCATACGAAATATTATATTAGCATACGGAATGTTATAGTAGCAGACGAAATATTTTAGGAGCATACGGAATATTATAGTGCCACAATAACATTATAGTAGCATACGGAATATTAAATTAGTATACGGTATGTTATAGTAGCAGACGGAATATTTTATTAGCATAAGAAATATTATAGTAGCATACTTAATATTATTAGTAACATACAGAATATGATAGTAGAAGACAGAAATTTATAGTAGCAAACGGGATATTATAGTAGCAGACTGAATATTTCAGTACCAGATGGAATATTATAGAAAGATACAAAATATTATAGTAGCATACGTAATATTATAATCACATACGGAATATTATAGTAGCAAACGGAAATATTATAGTAGCCAGATGGAATGTCATAGAAAGATATAAAATATTATAGTCGCATACGGAATATTATAGTTGCAGATGGAATATTATAGTAGCATAAAGAATATCATAGTAGCAAACGGAATATTATAGTAGCATACGAAATATTATAGTAACATATGGAATATTATAGTAGCAGACGGAATATTATAGTAACATATGGAATATTATAGTAGCAGACGGAATATTATAGTAGCAGACGAGATATTATAGTAGCAGACGGAATATTATAGTAGCATACGGAATATTATAGTAGGAGACGGAATATCAAAGTAGCAAACGGAATATTATAGTAGCATACGGAATATTATAGTAGCAGACGAGATATTATAGTAGCAAACGGAATATTATAGTAGGAGACGGAATATCAAAGTAGCAAACGGAATATTATAGTAGCATACGGAATATTATAGTAGGAGACGGAATATCAAATTAGCAAACGGAATATTATAGTAGCATACGGAATATTATAGTAGCAGACGAGATATTATAGTAGCAGACGGAATATTATAGTAGCATACGGAATATTATAGTAGGAGACGGAATATCAAAGTAGCAAACGGAATATTATAGTAGCATACGGAATATTATAGTAGCAGACGAGATATTATAGTAGCAGACGAGATATTATAGTAGCAGACGGAATATTATAGTAACATATGGAATATTATAGTAACAGACGGAATATTATAGTAGCAGACGAGATATTATAGTAGCAGACGGAATATTATAGTAGCATACGGAATATTATAGTAGGAGACGGAATATCAAAGTAGCAAACGGAATATTATAGTAGCATACGGAATATTATAGTAGCAGACGAGATATTATAGTAGCAGACGGAATATTATAGTAGCATACGAAATATTATAGTAACAGATGGAATATTATAGGAGCAGACGGAATATTTTCGTAGCATACGGAATCCCAGAGTTGCATACATAATATAATAGTAACATACGGAATGTTATAATAGCATTAGTAATATTATAGTAGCATACGTAATATTATATAAGCATACGGAATATTATAGTAGCAGACAAAATATTATAGTAGCTGACGTAATATTATAGTAGCAGACAAAATATTATAGTAGCTGACGGAATATTATAGTAGTAGCAGACAAAATATTATAGTAGCAGACGAAATATTATAGTAACATACGGAATATTATAGTAGGAGTCGGAATATTATAGTAATTGACGGGAATATTTATAGTAGCAGACAAAAATATTATATTAGCATACGGAATATTATAGCTGCATACGGAAATTATATAGTAGCATGCGAAATATTATAGTAGTAGACGAAATATTATAGTAGAGGAAGTATCCTATAGTAGAATACGTAATATTATAGTAGCATACGTAATATTATAAAAATCAGAGGGAATATTATAGTTATATGACGAAATATATTACAGTAGCATGCGAAATATATTATATTAGCAGACGAATATTATAGTAGTAAAGAATCCTATAGAAGAATATAGAATATGATAGTAGCAGACGGAATCTTATATAGTAGCAGACGGAATATTTATATTAGCGGACGGAATATTATAGTAGCATACGTAATGTAATAATAAACATGCGAAATATTATAGTAGCAGACGAATATTCAAAGTAGAATGCGGAATCCTATAGTAGCTTACGGAATATGATAGTAGCAGACGAAATCTTATAGTACCGGAACATTTAATTATAGTAGCAGACGGAATTTTACAGTAGCAGAAAGGAATATTATTAGTAACATACGTTAATATTATAGTAGCAATACGGTAATACTATATAGTAGCAGAAGAAATATTATAGTAACACACGTAATATTATAGTAGCAGGCGGAATATTTTTGTAGCATATGAAATATTATAATAGTATACGGAATGTTATAGTAGCAGACGGAATATTATAGTAGCATACGTAATATTATAGTAGCAGACGGAATATTATAGTTGCAGACGAAATATTATAGTAGCAGACTGAATATAATAGTAGCAGACGGAATATTATAGTAGAATACGTAACATTATAGTAGCATACGGAATATTATAGTAGCAGACGAAATATTATAGTAGCAGGGGAAATGTTATAGTAGCAGACGAAATATTATATTAGCAGACGAAATATTATAGTAGCAGACGGAATATTATAGTAGCATACGTAATATTATATAAGCATACGGAATATTATAGTAGCATAAGAAATATTATTGTAGCTTAAGGAATATTATAGTAGCATACGAAATATTATAGTAGCAGACGGAATATTATAGTAGCATTCAGTACATTTTAGTGGCATACGGAATATTATAGTAGCATACAGTACATTATAGTAGCATACGGAATATTATATTAGCGTAAGGAATATTATAGAAGCAGACGGAATATTACAGTAGCATACAGTACATTATAGTAGAATACGGAATATTATAGTAGCACACAGTACATTATAGAATCATACGGAATATTATATTAGCATAAGGAATATTATAGTAACAGAAGGAATATTATACTAGCATACGAAATATTATATTAGCATACGGAATGTTATAGTAGCAGACGAAATATTTTAGGAGCATACGGAATATTATAGTGCACAATACATTATAGTAGCATACGGAATATTAAATTAGTATACGGAATGTTATAGTAGCAGACGGAATATTTTAGTAGCATAAGAAATATTATAGTAGCATACTTAATATTATAGTAACATACAGAATATGATAGTAGAAGACAGAATATTATAGTAGCAAACGGGATATTATAGTAGCAGACTGAATATTTCAGTACCAGATGGAATATTATAGAAAGATCCAAAATATTATAGTAGCATACGTAATATTATAGTACATACGGAATATTATAGTAGCAAACGGAATATTATAGTAGCAGATGGAATGTCATAGAAAGATATAAAATATTATAGTCGCATACGGAATATTATAGTTGCAGATGGAATATTATAGTAGCATAAAGAATATCATAGTAGCAAACGGAATATTATAGTAGCATACGGAATATTATAGTAACATATGGAATATTATAGTAGCAAACGGAATATTATAGTAGCAGACGATATATTATAGTAGCAGACCGAATATCATAGTAGCATACGGAAAATTATAGTAGGACACGGAATATCAAAGTAGCAAACGGAATATTATAGTAGCATACGAAATATTATAGTAACAGATGGAATATTATAGGAGCAGACGGAATATTTTCGTAGCATACGGAATCCTAGAGTTGCATACATAATATAATAGTAACATACGACCTGTTATAATAGCATTAGTAATATTATAGTAGCATACGTAATATTATATAAGCATACGGAATATTATAGTAGCAGACAAAATATTATAGTAGCTGACGTAATATAATAGTAGCAGACAAAATATTATAGTAGCTGACGGAATATTATAGTAGCAGACAAAATATTATAGTAGCAGACGAAATATTATAGTAACATACGGAATATTATAGTAGGAGTCGGAATATTATAGTAGTTGACGGAATATTATAGTAGCAGACGAAATATTATATTAGCATACGGAATATTATAGCTGCATACGGAAATTTATAGTAGCATGCGAAATATTATAGTAGCAGACGAAATATTATAGTAGAGGAAGTAATCCTATAGTAGAATACGTAATATTATAGTAGCATACGTAATATTATAAAATCAGAAGGAATATTATAGTTATAGACGAAATATTACAGTAGCATGCGAAATATTATATTAGCAGACGAATATTATAGTAGTAAACGGAATCCTATAGAAGCATACGGAATATGATAGTAGCAGACGGAATCTTATATAGTAGCAGACGGAATATTATATTAGCAGACGGAATATTATAGTAGCATACGTAATGTAATAATAACATGCGAAATATTATAGTAGCAGACGAATATTAAAGTAGAATGCGGAATCCTATAGTAGCTTACGGAATATGATAGTAGCAGACGAAATCTTATAGTACCGAACATTAATTATAGTAGCAGACGGAATTTTACAGTAGCAGAAGGAATATTATAGTAACATACGTAATATTATAGTAGCATACGGAATACTATAGTAGCAGAAGGAATATTATAGTAACACACGTAATATTATAGTAGCAGGCGGAATATTTTTGTAGCATATGAAATATTATAATAGTATACGGAATGTTATAGTAGCAGACGGAATATAATAGTAGGATACGGAATATTATAGTAGCATGCGAAACATTATAGTGGCAGACGGATATTATTGTAGTATATGGAATCCTATAATAGCATTCGGAATATTAAAGTAGCTGACAGAATATTATAGTAGGAGACGGAATTTTATAGTAGCAGACGGAATATTATAGTAGCATACGGAATATTATAGTAGCAGACGAAATATTATAGTAGCAGACGGAATATTATAGTAGCAGACGGAATATTATAGTAGCAGACGAGATATTATAGTAGCAGACGGAATATTATAGTAACAGATGGAATATTATAGTAGCAGACGAGATATTATAGTAGCAGACGAAATATTATAGTAGCAGACAAAATATTATAGTAGCATACGGAATATTATAGTAGCAGACGGAATATTATAGTAGCATACGGAATATTATAGTAGGAGACGGAATATTCTAGTTATAGACTAAAAATTATAGTAACATACGGAATATTATAGTAGCATACGGGATATTGTAGTAGCAGACGAAATATTATAGTAGCAGACGGAATATTATAGGAGCAGACGTAATATTATAGTAGCAGACGGAATTTTATAGTAGCATACGGAATATTATAGTAGCATACGGAATATTATAGTAGCAGACGATATATTATAGTAGCAGACGATATATTATAGTAACATACGGAATATTATAGTATCATACAGAATATTATAGTAGCAGACGGAATATTATAGTAGCAGACGTAATATTATAGTAGCAGACGGAATTTTATAGTAGCAGACGGAATATTATAGTAGCATACGGAATATTATAGTAGCAGACGATATATTATAGTAGCAGACGAAATATTATAGTAACATACGGAATATTATAGTAACATACAGAATATTATAGTAGCAGACGGAATATTATAGTAGCAGACGGAATATTATAGTAGCATACGGAATATTATAGTAGCAGACGGAATATTATAGTAGCATACGGAATATTATAGTAGGAGACGGAATATCAAAGTAGCAAACGGAATATTATAGTAGCATACGAAATATTATAGTAACAGATGGAATATTATAGGAGCAGACGGAATATTTTCGTAGCATACGGAATCCTATAGTTGCATACATAATATAATAGTAACATACGGAATGTTATAATAGCATTAGTAATATTATAGTAGCATACGTAATATTATGTAAGCATACGGAATATTATAGTAGCAGACGGAATATTATAGTAACATACGGAATATAATAGTAGCAGACGAAATATTATAGTAGCAGACGGAATATTATAGTAGCAGACTGAATATTATAGTAGCATACGGAATATTATAATCGCATACGGAATCCTTTATTAGCATACGGTATATTATAGTAGCATACGAAAAATTAAAGTAGCATACGGAATATCAAAGAAGCAGACGGAATATTGTAGTAGCAGACGGAATATTATAGTATCTTACGGAATCCATGGTAGCATACGTAATATTATACTAGCATACGGAATCTTTTTTAGCCGGCAGAATATTATAGTGGCATACGGAATCCTATAGTAGCATACGAAATATTGGTGATTCTGCCATTGTTCACCTCATTGATTGGAATAACACTTGATAGTTATGGTCATTCTGCACCAGCTGAACTGAAATTCCGCTGCTTGACTTAACAGTTTAAGTTGAAACAAAAATAAAAAAATTATTACAGTTTTATAAACCCTGAAAAAGTAACACATAATAACATGTAATTTAAATACTTATAACCTGAAAAGAATTTGAAAAGGTATATTTCAGATTATTTATGAATGAGCGTATAGAATAAGTATTATCAACATTATCAACATTGATAACTAGTCAATTAATATTTGTTCCGTTTGGCAACAGGATATTGCATTAAGCGTTTAAGAACTCCTTGACTTATCTTTATTTTTATATTCCAAAAAAAAGAAATTGTATACGCAATGCCAAACAAACAAAAAGAAACGCCTGCAGCAGACACACCGTCAGTAGGCGCGCCAACTAATGATAACCTGGATCTGATATGTGTTGAGGACATCTCTAACTCTACCAACCAGGAGTCTGCTAAGAGAAACATGTGTAGCAAGAATTACAATGACAGTAAGCAGTTGACGGAAGTTAAACTAGAGACAACAGAAGACTGTTTTACAGAACATGAATCTGTCACCATGGAGACTGTCTGCCATAAATCGGATCACGTGGTAATTATTGATGTAAACCGTTCAGGATTTTAAATGTGGGTTTGTCCATGTTGATCCCCAGTTATCAACAAATTTTTACCGTTACAGCTTCACGGTCCACTACCGATCACAATAGATAAGTCAACCTGTTGTGCTTATTTTCGAAGCTATAACTGTACTGGCATGCGAGCAGTTCCCGTACAAAAATCATAGTTACTTAAACATTATTTTTTATTACGATCACTCACCAAAATTTAAATGTTACACATCAATATTCGGCTCGTAACACAAATCATGGAAATTCCATCATGTTCTAAACATAGAGTAACCCTTACTTATGAGGCCTCAAATGGGGTACCGAAATTATCCATTATTTTGTATGAAGAGAAGTAGTTCCCGTACATTAAATCTAACCCATTGTAATTATATAATTTTATTATATCGGACCTATTTTTCATTTACAATTGTTGAACAGACCTTTATCTAAGAGATAAATAGATGTAATTCAGGAAATAGAGCGTAGACTTAACGCGGGTATCTATTACCCGGTACCGTTACCCCAACGCATTCACATGCAATAGCATGCTTGTATGCATGATATTTTACGCATCAAAGCCATAAAATTATTTTATATAGTAATATTGGTAAAAATTCTGATAATTAAACAAGTTTTCATCACATTGCCTACTTATCTGTAAACAGGTGGTATTAGTGGAAAACCCTTTAACAAGCCTCACGTGTAAGTATTTTTGCGCATGCGCGCAAGGACGGAATCCCCCAGAGAAAACAAGGTCACGTTTTGACGACGCACAGGTGAAAGTGATTTAAAATGAGACTTTTTATACGTTCTACCGAACTGACACTTACATTTTGTCTTGTTTATGTATCTGCTTAATTTGAAATGAATTTTTGAAGAATGCAAGTAAAACTCAAGCGTTTAAATGAAAAATACGGGTACTGCTTCTGTACGGGAACTGCTCGCATGCCAGTAAATGTTTGTTGATATCCCCTGATTAGCCGGAAAAATCCAAACATATTCTTTATTCCAGAGTTAGTCTATTTTGTGTGATGTCTCTTTTTTCAAATTGTAAACACTCTTTTAGTTTTGGTTGGCGGCAACTCGGTTCTTGTGAAAGTTTAAGAACATTCATAAAGTGAACAGACATTTGCCAATTAAGCATTTTAATTGGGCCTCCTCAAGGTATGCAGTCCAAAGCTGTGGTGTTTTACCATTCCTTCGCAGCCATTTTATGTTTGCTTGTTACGTTTTTGAAGCAATGAAATATATCGAAACAGTTAAATAGAATAACATAAGACTTTTGAATCATTAAAAAGAGAACATTTTAAATACCTGATTTTTCTAAAAGGTCTACCAATCTGGAATTGAAACTGCTACATGTACAGATGACACCTATGACAACGTTTTAGCGGTAAAACAGAGGAAGATAACCATAGACAAATTTCCAGAATTTGTTGCAAAGAAGACCGCACAGGACTTTGTTAACGAATTCCAGGTACATTGACGTTAACTCATTGACGTTAAACGTTGACTCAAGTACGACGGTATGCACTATATTAATTATGCCCCCATTTCGAAGAAAAGGGGGTATATTGCTTTGCACTTGTCGGTCCGTCGGTCCGTCGGTCCGTAGACCAAATGGTTTCCGAGTGATAACTAAAGAACCCTTAGGCCTAGGAACTTCAAACTTGGTATGGTGATTGGTCATGACCAGTAGATGACCCCTATTGATTTTGGGGTCAAGGGGTCAAAGGTCAAGGTCACATTGACCTTGTAAGCAAAAACGGTTTCCGATCAATAACTAAAGAACCTTAAGGCCTAGGAACTTCAAACTTGATATGGTGATTGGTCATGATCAGTAGATGATCCCTATTGATTTTGGGGTCAAGGGGTCAAAGGTCAAGGTCACATTGACCTTGTAAGCAAAAACGGTTTCCGATCAATAACTAAAGAACCTTAAGGCCTAGGAACTTAAAACTTGGTATGGTGATTGGTCATGATCAGTAGATGACCCCTATTGATTTTGGGGTCAAGGGGTCAAAGGTCAAGGTCACATTGACCTTGTAAGCAATAACGGTTTCCGATCAATAATTAAATAACTTTAAGGCCTAGGAACTTCAAACTTGGTATGGTGATTGGTCATGATCAGTAGATGACCCCTATTGATTTTGGGGTCAAGGGGTCAAAGGTCAAGGTCACATTGACCTCTTGGGTAAAAACGGTTTCTGATCAATAACAAAAGAACCCTTAGGCCTCGGAACTTTAAACTTGGTATGGTGATTGGTCATGACCAGCAGATGACCCCTATTGATTTTGGAGTCAAGGGGTCAAAGGTCAAGGTCAAATTGACTTTGTAGGTAAAAACGATTTCCAATCAATAACGAAAGAACCCTTAGGCCTAGGGACTTCAAACTTGATATGGTGATTGGTCATGATCAGTAGATGACCCCTATTGATTTTGGGGTCAAGGGGTCAAAGGTCAAGGTCACATTGACCTCTTAGGTAAAAACGGTTTCCGATCAATAACTAAAGAACCCTTAGGCCTAGGAACTTCAAACTTGGTATGATTATTGGTCATGACCAGTAGATGACCCCTATTGATATTGGGGTTAAGGGGTCAAAGGGCAAGGTCACTTTGACCTTGTAGGTAAAAATGCTTTGAAATCAATAACTTAAGAACCCTTTGGCCTAGGAACTTCAAACATGGTATGGTGATTGGTCATGACCAGCAGATGACCTATTGATTTTGGGGTCAAGGGGTCAAAGGTCTAGGTCACATTGACCTTGTATGTTAAAACGGTTTCCGATCAATTAACTAAAAACGCTTAGGCCTAGGAACTTCAAACTTTGTATGATGATTGCTCGTGACCAGCAGATGACCCCTATTGATTTTGGCGTCAAGGGGTCAAAGGTTAAGGTCATGACCAGTAGATACTTGATAACCCTTATTGATTGTTTGATCACTGGGTCAGAAGTCATAATAACCTTATCACATGACTAATTGGCTGCTGATAGGGGGCATACATGTTTTACAAACATATCTTGTTTTTTCGGACTCACGAATAGACGTGTTTATACTTCTAAGATGTCTTAGTCGATTTCTATTAATTAATTTTGTAGTGTATTTTTGCAGTATCTTTAATATATTGAAATTTATAGTTAGATTGTTTTTCGTTTTTTTACTTAACAGTTAATGTCTAGACCAGGTGAAGCATCACTGTGACTAGGCTATATACTATTCACGGTATATTTGATATTCCTCAAATTAACAAAAAGAGATAATATCTATTATTATAATTGTTCAATGCAATTGTCAATACATTTTCAGCAATTGCCAAATGCCTTGATTAAGCCGTACGATGACTCGCAGAAAAAAGAAAATATGTCTAAAAATAGATACCAGGGCCTCTTCCCATGTAAGTATCATATGAGATATAAAATCTCGACAAGAATATTGAAATTCGTAATGTGAGTAGAACTGCTTTGATCCAAACACATTTAATTTCGATATGGATTTCGAACAGACGATAATTTGTCTGCAATAGTAGTAAATGAATCAATGGTTTTGATACATTTTCAACTCCTGAAACAAGTTAAAGTAACGTAAGTTGCAATTTTTATTGTTACATATGGTTGTAGAAATAAAAAAATGTAATATAGTACAGATAAAGAAAAGCTGTTTAATCTAATAAATGTTCTCTTCTTATAATTGAAATCAAATTTCAATGAACCCAAAACTTGGACTTAATTCAATGTTAAATTAAATGATTTTAGATGATGACACGAGAGTTGTTTTAAAGGAAGGTGACACCAACTATATAAACGCAAGTTATATAGATGTAAGAAAATAATAACAATATTATAATGTATATACTCAGATAAGTAAAATGTCTGGTAAATAAATGATAAATACGACAATTTTTACTAATCAAATATCTTGGGCGGATTATTGAAAAATAACATATCACGATGAGTCTGATGTAAAAACCTAACATAAACAATACTGTATCCATAGTAACATGCAGAGTGAAAACAATACAACTACGTGTGCCTACCATCTACATTGCCATGGTTATTTAGTGTAGACTTTTCTGTAGAATATATGTTTTATGTGACTACTTTAATTTCGTTTTCATTTGTATTTAAAAGAAACGCAACAACATCTGAACAAAATAAAACATCTATATTTTTTTCAGGGATATAACAAGAGGAAGGCTTACATTGCTTCGACTGGTACTCAACCTCTTTTCTTAACATGATAATAGAATCATTGATTCTGATATACACAGAACAACATTTTATTACTACTTTACTACTAAAGGCTGTAGAAAAACAATTAACTTTGATCTGCTTAAAGCACTATGAAAAACGAAACCCTTAATAAATAAAAAAAAACGTTACTTCAAGACTGGTAAGAAATATTATTGAATAAGCTGCACATACATTTGTATCTAGAATAGTTTTCTTTGAGCTCTTAATTATATATATATTTACTGTATGAACAAAGTACTTATACGTGTAACTTTTAAAATCATATTGAATTTCGTGAATGTAGGGCCTACAATAAAATGCATGGGCGATATGTCAGCATTTTGGATAATGGTATGGCAAGAGAAAGTTGGAAAGATAGTCATGTTAACAAAGTTGATAGAAGCCGGAGTAAGTATGAGCATGTAAGATATTGTTTATATGTAATATATTGCATAAGTAAGACATAAGTTCAGATACACATTGTATGAAATGACTGATTTAATGACATTGATTGTTTTGTTGAGACTGTGATATAATGATCGTGCCATGGAAAGAAAACTCGGCATGGTATTTACCTTTGTTTAATGCCCCACCTGAAGTAGATATTAAATACTAGAGTAGATATAAATGTCATTAAGTATCACCTTAGTTCAGTTTCAGTTTTTATCAAGCAGATTAGCGTTATATAATTACTTTAGTAACTGTTACACAATGGTATGTTTTCTTGCATGAAGTAGCTAATAGATTATGTTATTCTAACATATAGGCATCGAAATGTGATCAGTACTGGCCAGAGAGAGGTTTCAGGCTGACGTTTGCTAATATACAAGTCACGTGTCGAAGCGAAGATATTTTCTCAAACTATACAAAGAGGTCATTTGTTGTTAAACAAGTAAGTTTTAGATTTTTTTGAACACGCTGTTGATCATTTTAATATCTATATACATGTATGTTATACTCGGTTGAACCAATTGTAATTATTCAATTATTCATCTATAAGTTAAGTGGTTTTGTACAGTCATACAATTTTACTTCCTTCATTATAAGAATGTGTTAAAGCAACACGCATACAGATTCATGACATTTTTAATCACTTGTGAAGTGTTAAGCATGGTAAAGCATGAAGTAATTAAAGTAGCATAAGGCACTTACCATCCATACAAACTAGCATAAAGGTGCATAAGTAAAGTAAAGTAGTTAAGTAAAGTACAGTTGATTAAGTAAAGTAAATCCATCAGTTAGGCAGACAGTAAGTACATGATTAATTATGTGGCAAATAAAACAAGTTAATCCGTTAAAAATTTAAATGGTATATGAATACGAATATGTATTGTGTGCATTTCTTAAACTCTTCATATGTATTTCTAAACTTGTAATAATTTGTTTTGTAAAGCTTGCAATATGTATGTTATTTAAAGATTTTCGTGATATGTTAATTTTCTTTGGAAAAAAACCAAATGATAAAGAATTGTACTGTTTATATAGATAGAATTATTCATTTTAGAACAAAGAGGAGAGAGTCGTACTTCATTTTCACTTTACTGCTTGGCCAGACAAAAGAACTCCCGATGACGTCACTAGTTTGGTTGAATTTCGTCAGAGGGTCATCAGAAGTATTACAAACCTTAATGGACCAATCGTCGTACACTGCAGGTATCGTGATATAGTTTGATATATTTCTACATAGTTTGACATACAGTCCTATAATCGGGTCACAAATAGCATAATGATACTAATTTGTTAAGCATGTATTATATTTAGTAAAATATAACTATCTAGCCGTGTAGGACAGAGGGCGATAAATGAAAAATGTAACTTTGACTTTGAAATATTGTCTCTATTGATATGATATAAACAACATTGACTGTTTTATGTAATTTACATATTGTAATTTATTGTCATATCCGATAACTTGACAACGTCACCGTAAAGTCGGTGCTACTGGGCGTGCTAATATTGCACCGTACGTTAATCATACATGAACAGACTCAGTCAAACTGAATATTCAATTTTTATCATTATTTCCATTGCTTTTGGTTCAATTTTCCCTTGTCCAGATTGTTTTAAAATACTTGGACAGTAAAATGTATTAATAAGTGACATCACACATTAAGTATAGGTTAATGTTTAATAATATGCATTAACAAAAATAATTGGTCAAGTCTGCCGCAGGCAGGCGACCAATTATTTTTGTTAATGCATATTATTAAACATTAACCTATTTAATGATCAACATTATTTTTTTCACAAAAACAAGGCATTTCTCTAAATCACTGATAGCTCCGCCCTTTCGCTCTACAAGATGTCTACACCTTGTCAAGTTTCTAACATTTCACATTTAGATAAGCTAAATAAATGGCCCTTTCAACATATAATCAGGCACATTTTTACTGAAATGTCACAGAATTTATACCTTTATCTACAGTAATTACATGTAGGTAAAAACAATGGAGTTAATGAAATGTGTACATCCTTTTAAAATAAATAAAAAATGTGAGAAAAATACATTAGAGATTATCAATTATTTGTAAAACAGTTTACAGGTGGAGGGGGTCAGTTTACAATGAGTTTTCCAGCCAAAAATGTAATCATTGTATTCTTAATATCATGGATTGTTAATGCAGTTCATTCCTATCAAGTGAAAGAAAATTGTTTTTTGGTTACTTTTTCTAGAAAATATAAAGTTTAAACAGTCAGCAATTTATAACAGACATTTTTCTTAGAGTTAAAATGATATAAAAAGTTACTATGTAATCATTTGTCTCTGCGTGCCCCACATGTATTATCTATGTAATAAATCCTCACATTTAGAAAGCCTAATTATTTTTACGTTGGCATTGTTTTGCTAACCTTTATATTTTCCAATTCAGAGTGCAATTTACACCTCTAACTCCTCCCTAATATAATGCATTACTGAAATTTGTTAGACTGGTTAGACGACAGATTAAGTAAATTTTATTTAGACACATTAACCAAAGTTAGACTTAGCAGAAATTTGAAAAATACTACAATGTGATTGGACAAAAAATAATGTTGATCATTAAAATAACCAACGAAGGGAATAATTAAAGTTAGGGATACATATAACACATATACCCCATGTATCTACTGAGAATATATTTTCACTTGATAATTCATTGTAGCGCCGGAATAGGACGAACTGGTACATATATAGCTGTTGACAGTATAACGGAGGAGGGAGAGGCAGAGGGAGGAGTTGATGTGTATGCCTTTGTTAGAAATATGAGACAACAGCGAGTTAACATGGTGCAAACTGTTGTAAGTGTTGTTGTCTTGATTGTTACATTTATGTATATTTATGTACCCTAGGCACAATTAATGGCATTTAATGTTAATAAAATTGAACGAACAACACTTGGATATTTCTTAGAGATATCCAAATTATTTGTTAACACGTTAACATTCAAAACGTCCTAGTTCAAAGTTGCACAAGACTCATTTAATCAAAGTCTTAGATAATTTATAAATGTAACGTCAAAGTTTTGTTCCCGTATTTTACAAACCAACGTTTTGCAACTTTGCACCATTCAAATGAAAATTGTTTGATCCAATGTTCCATGTAACTAAACAGTATAATTATGTAATGTTAGGAAAATATTGTTGTTTTTTGTGTAACTATTTGTACTGGTGTGTCGTTATCGTGACGATACAAGTTTGTTTATCAGATTCTGTAATTATACATGTGTGTCTTAAAATGCTATCAAAACTGACTGTGTTGATACAACCTTCTTCACCACAATCTGACAAACGCCAAAAAAAATATTTTTTGCATGAATCAATACATTAACTACTTAAATCACTTTATTTTACTCTTCAGGGACAATATCAATTTCTTCATCACGCTCTCGTTCACACTCTAACATTTGACAGTAAAGCGGTGCAGGCCTCTAAATTCACTGAATATATGAAGACACATAAAGAGGACTACCTTGGAAAAATGTTTGGGGTATGATTGTTTACTTTGTCGCAAATTCAATAGACTTTATTACAAACTATTTCTTTTACAAAAATTAAAATTTGAGAAACAAAAACAAAATAGAGCAGAGAACTATAAGCAAAGCGAAAGGAAGAAAAAATAAAGGACTCCAAATATAGTAAAATTGAACCAGTTGCGTGCATGTTTGAGTCTAAATAAAGTTTGTTGTAAACAATAATATAGGTATTATACATACATAGAGAATTAAGTTTGCAACAGTAATTTTGTTCTTTTCCAAATAAAGAAACTCCAAGCATCGTTAGAGTGTAGATCGGATGACGAGATTAAAGCTGTTGAGAGAAATAAAGCATTGCTACACAAGAATAGAGATGGCTCAGACATTCCAGGTATTCAAGAACATTAATTTATTTCTCAAATTGAATCTTAATGAAATTTATTAATTTTTGGTATCTTAATTTCATTGTCAAATCATTATTGTATAAAATTCCTATTTTTCAATAGTATGAATGAATGACAATTCGTTTAGTTTAGTTCGTGAGATTATAATGTATCTCGCATAATGCACCGACAAAGTTTTACGTAAAGATAACAACCCAAGAAAAAATTCTTAATTCAGAATCATTTGCTGTGTTTCTGATAACTATAGTCAAGGAGTAAGATGCTTGCCTAGTATGTTGAAAGGCATTGGGGTCGAAACATGGTCAGAGCAACTGAAAAATTTTCAGTGTCATATAAACAATAATTATCAAGAATAGTCAAGATATGAAAAAGAAAAGGTACGATTGTGCTTAAAGAATAGAGGAAACCACGTAAATTATAAGTGAAAGCAACACTGGCCAAGAAAATTCCTCATCAAAATTAAACTGTTGCCAATAATTAAGATGGCAAAAATATCTTTCACAACTTGTAGTGTTTGAAGATGTCTGAAAATGTTTTTATTTAATGCGCTATGGAGACCAGTTTTAATAATTGGAACAGATATCTTTGTGTGTGGGAGGGAGGCATTACTTGTAGTTCCAGCCATTGAACTCGAGAGTTATTAACAAAATCTTCAAGCTTCATCAGAAACGAGCTTTATTGAGCATCCTTAAATTAACACATTAAGTCTTCAGTAGCAACTGTTCAAAGATCTGTATAAACCTACGGCTTCAGAACAGTTTGATAAACCTTGGTATGATTTTGTAGAACAATATGTGAGTGATTCTTTTAATAAAATGAATCTCAGTGATAATGTGACTATATTCGAGGAAGATGTAAAGTCAGCCATTCAGACTTTATCGAGAGGAAAGGCAAGCGGACCGGATGGTATTGCCCACGAACACTTGTTATATGGCGCGGACATATTATCACCGGTATTAGCAAATTTCTATACATTGATATTAAGAGGTGGTGAAATACCCGATTCGTTAAAACGCGGTAAAATTATTACTCTTCATAAAGGTGGCAATAAGAAACACGACGACCCCAACAGTTATAGAGCAATTAGTCTGACTTCATCAATACTTAAAGTATATGAAATAATTTTGCTTAGGGAATGTAAAAAACACATATTATCCTCCATTAGTTCTCAACAAGGTGGGTTTCAGGAGCACCTCGGCTGTTTAATGACATCTTTTTCATTAAGGGAGTGCTTACATTTTGCACGTGAAAACTCTTCATCGGTGTACATGTGTTTTCTAGACTGCAGACAGGCTTTCGACCGCGTCTGGACAAATGGTTTATTTCTGACAACGGGGAACATATTAATACCAACATTTTAAAGTCGTTTTATGATATGTATAAAAATGTATATAGTTATGTACAGTACAAAGGCACAGCTTCTAACTATTTCCCAATACTGCAAGGTACTCGATAGGGAGGAATCAGTTCACCTTCAATGTATCTTGTCTTCATAAATGGATTGATACGCGAGTTGGAAGACAGCGCGAATGGCGTTTGCATTTACAATTTAAATATGTCGTGCCCCACCGTTGCCGATGACATGGTACTGGTATCATTCTCGAGCGCTGGTCTAGATAACATGCTGAAGATTTGTAACATTTACTCGAGAAAATGGCGCTTCCTATACAACCCTTCAAAAAGCGCTGTTATAACGTTTAACCCAGCTATTCTAGTGCATGACTCGGTGATGTTTTCTCTTGGAAATGACGTCATACCTATTAACTTCACATATAAGCATTTAGGTGTTGAATGTGATCAGCATTTGTCAACGATGAAGTCAATGAAAGACGCATGCGTTAAGTTACGTGGTACGTTACTAAGCATTTGTAACAGTGGATTGCATCCAGTTTCTATAAGTCCTGCTACACTCCGAAAAATATACATGACAGTTGTTGTACCTAAAGCGCTATATGGTTGTGAAAACTGGACCTGTTACTCAAATAAAGACATATCCAATTTAGAATTAGCACACAACTTCTGTGTTAAATTTATACAAAATTTTCATAAATCTATTTCCACAAAGTTTGCATTATGTATGTTGAATATACCAAACATACTTACTATGATAAATTACAGGAAATTACAGTTATTTGGTCAATTATGCCGATTGCCATCTAAATATCTTGCTAAACAGATATTTGTTAATAGATTGATTAGATATGTGAGTGTGGATAGACAGAAACGTGGATTTATTCCAGACATATATAGATTACTGCAGAAGTATGATCTGTTGTACGTCATTTATACTTTTATTGATACCGGTGTGTTTCCATCTAAATTAAAATGGAAGAAGATTTTACAGATGAAGGTAATCAACGAATCAACAAAAGAGTTATTCTTAGAAACGTTAACGCCACAAGTGCCAGCATTAACATTTCTACTTCACCCTTACAAGATTTCCCCTCTGTAGGTTATTATTCGACAAAATCCGGGTCTAAAATGGGTTGCCGAAATACTTGCCAAGGCAGTTAGACACGGGATGTGTTTTTCATATGTGCGTCGTTGTAGCATTTGCAATCTGCTTACAAATGACATTACAGAACACCTTATGTGTTTTTGTCACAGGAAAGAGACTGAAAGACGTGCCTTCTGGAACGCTATTATATCAAATTTAGGTTTTGCCCAATACAGCACATTTATTTGCCATAACTACAGATATCAATGTGAAATGTTTTTACATATCGCATGTAAAATTATTGATAATGTACTTGTCAACTTTCATATTGCTATCGCGCTTGCAAAACTTTTATCTTGACGTTAAAAAAAAGAAGAAGCAGGCAATTTAATCGCTTTATAGTATATGTAGTATTTTGCTCAGACATAAACTGTATAGTTATTTTTTATTTACCTGCATCGTTTTTTTTTTCTATGTTTTTTCTTGTTTCAATAATTAAGATCATTGATTTGTTGAGGAATAATGCTTATGACATCCGTCTATTGATAGTCATTTAGAAAGCATGTACACAAAGACGGTACCTTCACTTTCTCTTAAATTTTCGTTTTTCGATTAAGATTCAGTTATTGGCACGGAACTTAGTAACTTTGTTTATTTTTGTCACTGAGGATGAATATAGCAATGTTCATTTTTAAAACGAATGATATAAATCATAGTCTTAACTTTCGCTTTCGTTTAAGACAACAATTTACACCCATAAGTCATACGTTTACAATTGTAAAAGAATTTCATGTTATTGTATCTTTTATATTACAATGTTATGCATTTGTATATAATTCTCTTCTGTTGTATGTACATATATATACTTTGTAAATATGTTACGCTCTCCAATTTTAGGGGATAATAAAATATAAAAAAAAAAATATAAAAAAAAAATACATGACCACGCCCACTTATTTTTATTAAATGAAATATTTTTTCGCTAAAATAAAATATTTTTTCACTAAAAATGTTTTTAAAATATCTTATGTTCAATAAAATAACAAAGGAAAGATTTTTTTTTTTAAATTTCATTCATATATACTATAAATATAGTAAAGGTAGAAAGGTTCGCCAGCGGACCTACCACTAGGCATTATTTTACCTCCCAGAGCTTTATTAATTGTCTACAAATTTTCACCAACTAAAGTGCAATCTGCTCAGAGATGATTTCTCTTATGAATATTCTCAATATTAGACCAGTTGGAACGACAAAAGATAGAATCTTAAAGCGAAAATGCACTTTTTGCCTAGGTCGGACATCGCTTGACCAAGCCGCAAGAAGGCGATTTTGAAAATAATTCGATCTTTTTCTTAATAACAAACTAATGTCAGTGCATGCAAACAGTTGAAACAGAAACCCCGTTTCGCATAGTAAAGATTGAGCGAAGCTGGGTAACAGCGCGAAAGCGGGCATGCGTACTTTGAATATCCGAACCAGGATTTGTATACATGTAATGTCGGGAAATTTAAGAAGTTAGTGCTAATATCTATTGAAAGTGCCTAACTACAGACATTTTGGATTAAATTTGGACCGATAGATGATAGTATTAGAGCTGTCATTTCTGTTTCAACTGATTGCATGCACTGACATTAGTTTGTTATTAAGTAAAAGATCGAATCATGTTCAAAATCGTCTTTCCACGGCTGGTCAAACGATGTCCGGCCTAGGCAAAAAGTGCATTTTCGTCTTAAAATTCCATCTTTTGTCGTACCAACTGGTCTAATATTGTACATTTTTCGACAGAGAAATCATTTCTGAGCAGATTGCACTTTATTTGGTGAAAATTTGTTGACAATTTACAAAGATCTGGGAGGTAAAATAAGGCCTAGTGGTAGGTCCGCTGGCGAACCTTTCTACGTACATTTGGATGACATTTTTAAAAACAACTTTCCTTTGTTGTTTTATTGAAAACAAGATGCATTAAAACATTTTGAGTGAAAAATATTTTATGTAAAAACATATTTTATTTATAAAAATAAGTGGGCGTGGTTATGTACAAGCCACGCACCGACTGCCTGTGTACTGAACATCTCTTCTTTAGTTTTATTAATCGGGGAATAGCCTCCGTCTGTCAATCCCGTCCGTCTTTTCGTAACACTTTCGTGTCCGCGCCAAAACTTTTAAACCGCTGAAAAAATGTTTGAAATAATTGGAACAAGTGATCACAATTATAAGACGATATTGATAGCGCAATAATTGGGTTGTTTACCCTAAGGTCAAGGTCACACTTAAAGGTCAAGTGTTAAAAAGTCTACATTTCGTGCCCGGTCCATAACTTTTAAACCGCTAAAACATTTTATAAATAATTTGGCACAAGTGATAACCATTATGTGACAATTTTCAGAGCGCAATAATTGGGTCGCTAAAGGTCAATGAAAGGTCAATTTTAAAATGTCTACATTTCGTGTCCGCTCCTTAATTTTTAAATCGCTGAATTATTTTTGAAATAACTTGGCACAAGTGATCACACTAATGAGACAATGGGCAGAGCGCAATAATTGGGTTGCCACCCCCAAGGTCAAGGTCACACTTAAAGGTCAAAAGTCTTCTTTTCATATCAAAATATCTACATGTCGTGACCGCCCAATAACGTTTTAACCGCTGACATTTTTTTTTTAAAACTTGTCACAACTGATCACCATTATAAGACGACGTGCAGAGTGCAATAATTGGCTTGCTCCCAAAAGGTCAAGGTCACACTTTAAGGAATAATGTATAAAAGTCTACATTTCGAGTCCCCTCCATAACTTTTAAACCTCTTTTTGTGCCCCCATGTTAGTGGCGGGCATTTAGATTTACCATTGTCCGTCCGTCCGTCCGTCCTTCCGTCCGTCCGTCCGCCCGTCCGTTCACTTTTGTGTCGCACGTAACTCAAAAAGTATTTGACCTAGAGTCATGAAACTTTACAGGAATGTTGGTCAGCATGTGAAGTTGTGCACCTGGGTATTTTCGTCTGGATATTTTTAGTGTTTTCAGAGTTATTGCCCTTGACTTAGTAAAATTTTGCAATTTTCAACTTGTGTCGCATGTAACTCAAAAAGTATTTGACCTAGAGTCATGAAACTTTACAGGAATGTTGATCAGCATGTGTTGTTGTGCACCTGGGTATTTTCGTCTGGATATTTTTAGTATTTTCAGAGTAATTGCCCTTGACTTAGTAAAATTTTGCAATTTTCAACTTGTGTCGCATGAAACTCAAAAAGTATTTGACCTAGAGTCATGAAACTTAACAGGAATGTTGATCAGCATGTGTAGTTGTGCACTTGGGTATTTTCGTCTGGATATTTTTAGTATTTTCAGAGTTATTGCCCTTGACTTAGTAAAATTTTGCAATTTTCAACTTGTGTCCCACTTAACTCAAAAAGTATTTGACCTAGAGTCATAAAACTTTTCAGGAATGTTGATCAGCATGTGTAGTTGTGCACCTGGGTATTTTCGTCTGGATATTTTAAGTGTTTTCAGAGTTATTGCCCTTGACTTAGTAAAATTTTGCAATTTTCAACATGTGTCGCATGAAACTCAAAAAGTATTTGACCTAGAGTCATGTAACTTTACAGGAATATTGATCAGCATGTGCAGTTGTGCACCAGGTATTTTTGTGTGGATCTATTTAGTATTTTTAGAGTTATTGCCCTTCACTTAGAAAATTTTTGCAATTTTCAACTTGTGTCGCAAGTTACTCAAAAAGGATTTGACATAGTCATTAAACCTTATGGGCAGGTTGCTCAGCATATTTAGATTTGCACTTGGGGTTTCGCTTGTGGATCTATCTAGTATTTGTAGAGTTATTTCCCTTGACTTAGTAAAAAGATTGACAGAACAGTGGCGCGGTAGGGGCACCCGTGTCCTATGGACACATTTCTAGTTTTAAATAGCTTGGCACAAGTGATCACCATTATGAGACAATGTGAAGAGCGCAATAATTGGGTTGCTATCCCCAAGGTCAATGTCACACTTTAAGGTCATATGTTAAAAGGTGTACAATTCGTGTCCGCTCCATAACTTTAAAACCACTGAAAAGTTTTTTTTAAATAACTTGGCACGAGTGATCACCATTATAAGACGATGTGCAGAGCGCAATAATTGAATTGCTACACCCAAGGTCAAGGTCACACTTACAGGTCAAATGTTAAAAAGTCTACATTTTGTGTCTGTCCTTAACATTTAAACCGCTGCAATGTTTTTTAAGATTACTTGGCAGAAATGTTCACCATTATGACACCATTGGCAGAGCATAATAACCAAGTCACAACCCTTATGGTCAGGGTCACACTCAAAGGTCCGTTGTAAAAAACATCTATTTTTCATGTCTGCTCTATAACTTATTGACAATTTAAAGGTTTTAAAATTATTTGGCACAAATGATCGCCACCATGACACAATCAGAAGAGCTCAACATCCAGATTGCTACCCCAAGGTCAAGGTTATATGTTCTCCATAACTTTTTTTAATTAATGGAAGATTTTAAATAACATGGCACATATTATCACCATCATGGGACGATGTGCTTATGATATGCATGGCATAACATCAAGGTCGTGGCTGATAAAAAGTCAAGAAGTAAACATTCATGTTCACTGCGGAAGGGGATTTAGCTGTCCTTCAGACTGCCTTGTTAAAATCAGAATTCATCTACATAAATGAGTCATGTGACAAGTGTTTATTTATGTGTACACTATTTGTTAAAAACGCCATTTTGTGTATTACTCTAATTATAGAATATTATCTATACAGTATGAATAAATCGTTTGAAAGGTGCGTTGTTCAATTCAAGTGCCCGTTCGTACTTGAAATAATGCACGATGGATCATTTAAGGTCCTCATCTACGAATAAAGCTGGAAAGTCGACATATGGCCTTTGCAGTGTCGCTGTGTCATGACATTACAAAATAGATTTAAATAAATAATAATAATAATAATAGCAATAATAATAATAATAAATACTTCACATACGCGTTTGAAGTAATGCACATTGATACATCATATGTACGTCATGTTGTCCGAAGGAATATCAGATAGTCGTTGTCTTGTCCGTTTAACACATAATCGGAGAGTTATAGGACAGACAAGATATTTATACTGCTGACGTTTGACCTTGGTGCCAGGGGTCTTGGTCTTATGCATGACATGTCGTCTCTACATGCTACCTTTTGTGCCAAATTGTTTCAAAACCCCTTGGTGCATAACAGAGTAATTGACCAAACAAGAGTTTCGCTCTATTGAACTTTGAACTCTAGTGTGACCTTGACCTTGAAGCAAGGGCAAGTCTTGCGCATGACACAATGTCTTATCATGCCACACATTTGTGCCAACTTATTTTAAATTCCCTTGATGCATTAGTTATGAACCGGACAAGATTTCCTAACTGCTAAACTTTGACATCTAAACATGACATTGACCTTGTTTTAAGGGGTCTTACATTTGCATAAGACACACAATCTTATCATGCTACAAAATAGTGCTATGTTACTTCAAAATCCCTTGATGCATGACCGAGGTATGAGCAAGACAAGATTTTCGAATCGCTGACTTTTGACCTCTAAGCTAGGAGTATTGGTCTCATGCATGACACAATTGATACTAATTTGTTGCAAAATCCCTTGATGCAATATAGGGTTATGGGTCGGACAAGATTTTCGATCTGCTGAACTTTTACCAATAATGTGACCCTGATCTTGGGATTTAACGCATTACTGTCTCAGCACGCTACAAATTCGCACCGAGTAATTCTTAACCCTTTGATGTATGACAGATTTATGGACCGGAAGATTTCTAAATGCTGACCTTTGACCTCCTTATATGACATTGACCCTGTAGCAATTTAGGCGTCTAGATCTTGCGTCTGACACACCGTTTCTTCATGCTATATGTGTGTAAAGTTACATGTATATAAAATTCCTTGATGCAGGAGTAATTGGGTGGATAAGGTTATGAGCCGAACACACGAATGCACGCACGAACGGACAGGGTTAACACTATATGTTCCCTTGCCATTATGATTGCAGGGGTCATAATAACGTTTGTAAGACGATGTATGAATAATATGCCCTTGAAATGACTAAAACTTTTAACAAAAAATCAAAAACGAAGACGGTGACGCATTATTTATTGTTGGTTAAAAGGTTTCTGTTATGGTATGGTAAGATCATGCAAAGTAACCTGGTGTTCTTATTACTTTTTGGTATAGAAAGTTGTTATTTGGCTCAAGTTAAATATCAATGTTGCTTTGAATGGACTGTTAAACTTTGCCTCATCAGCTTGGCTGATGTCTTCATATTTGGTAGGTAAACAGCTTGATTTATTCTATAATTTTGGGTTGATGAAGTGGTTGCTTGCTTCAAAGTTACTGGTTCTAAAATTCATTTTATAACTTTCTGAAATTGAAATTCATTGACAAATGTGTAGGTTCGGGAAGCATACATCGCCTTTAGCGATATTTTTGGTAAAATGTATTTCACCCATTATATATTTTCAGGAGATATCAACAGACCGAGATTGTTTATGGGAAAAACAACAGATTCTCTAGACTATATCAATGCTGTTTATGTTGATGTAAGATAATATGAACATCATATAACATAGCTTAGAAGAAAGTCAAAACAGTTTGAACAATAATGTTCTCATATATAACACATAATCTTGGTTTAACTAAACAAATGCAAACAGTATAATCAAAAGTACTTTATTATCATTTCAAAATAATCAGTTGAACGATTACATATCATTTATGTTGTGCCCAAATTTATATGATAATATATACTAGAAGAAAGTTTAGCTTCCTTATTCATTAAATATAGCAGAGCAAGTTTACAAATTGAATAATAATGAGGGCTATTGGGGTATTGAAGTTGCAACTTTAAACAAATAAAAATTCTCTACCTTTATTAAGAATTAGGAATTCAAATCTTTCCTGTGGAACAAGAGTCTTTCTTAAGTATGAGAAATAAGAAAATGACAAGAATTTACTTTTTCAGAGTTACAGAAGTGTGAATCGTTTCCTGATAGCACAAACACCATTACCGGATACTGTTGAGGACTTTCTTACATTAATTGTTCAAGAGAATGTATCATTAGTCATCAGTATGGAAAGTAACCGGTTACACGATAAAGTAAAATGTTTACTTTTCATAAAATGTTCCACTTATTCCTTCATTTCTATTTAATCATACTCCGCCATATAATCTGGAAGGATCTATTATTATATACTGGAATCGCCTCGTCGCGTCGTTTAGTTCGACGGTCGGTCAGTCGTTCGATAGGTGCGTCTGTATTCACCTGATCCACTCTTTAAATTCACTTGACTTAAAGTGTTCAAGGCAATGTGCAGCATGTAGAAAATAAGACATTGGCTTGAATGTTTAAGTCACAAAATCGAGAACAAATGTTAAAATTGACAAAAACTTTACTTATATTGGCGTTTATAGATGTACATTATATGTAATCTTGATGGTAATATCACAGGTAATTATACTGTTAATGTATAGTTTCCTTTTATTTGGCAACAACATAGATACCGTTGTCTTCAACCAAACAGGACGTTAAAGGAACTCCACTGAGGTCCAAAAACCTTTAAACTAAAATTGTGATTTCCTTACATAGATAAAATAGACTGAAACAGAAAGATAACACAAGATGATTAAAAATATTTTCAGAAACATCGTATTTTTTGTGCTATTCTTAGCCCGATTTGAGTTAAATTTTCAATTTTGGGTTATTTTAAATATTCTAGAAGAACGAAGTGAGCAAATGATCTGAAATTTTGCACACAAATTATTTGTTTAGACATATATCAAATAGAACTGTTACCTCGAAAAAATTATTTCCAGCCCCGTCATATCAAAAGCCGCAGTGGAGTCCCTTTAAGATGTGTCACTAGTTCCATCATACTCTTTCTTAAGAAAATTGATAAGAAATGCAATCGTTGTGTTTAACATTTATATTTAGTAATTACCAAATATGATAAGCAATGTGCTTATGCATTACGTGATTTTATTGGGCGGACAATCTTTTTTTAGTCAAACCTCTTCTGACCTTTTTTACCTTTGACCTAGTCACCACAAAATCATAAGGGGTCATCTACTAATCATGACCAATCTCAAAACCAAATATAAAGACTGCGCCAAAGGATTATCAAGTTATTGGGCGGACAAGGAAAAACCGACGGACGGCCGGATGATTTTATTTGATAAAATTTTGACACACAAAATTTAGTAATTTGCTAGTTAATAGGTTTTTGATATTTAATGTTATTTACTCTTAATAGACGAAAGATGCCCGGCGGTCAAAAATACATATATATTGCTTGTTTCAATACCTATTAGGATATTTGTTTATGTCTGACAAAGCAATAGAAGACGAATTTACCTCGAGATCACTTTAGAGTGTATTCCAGCAGACATAATAAAGAATATAATGTAACATTATTATTTTGTATGTCCAACAAAGGTTTTAGATTTTAACAGAAAATAAAGATCTAAATTCATAATTTTGCAGACTGTTGGAGCTTTTTATCCTGCGGATAAACAGACACAGAAGATAGGAGCTTTTAAAATCCAAACTGAAAATGGAAGTGAGACGGATCAGTACAAATTAAAGAAACTTATCATTTCTTATCAAGGAACGGTATATATTATTATTATTATTATTATTATTATTATTATTATTATTATTATTATTATTACTTTTATCAAAATCGATCTCTTTGACTGATTCATATTTTGGCCCGAAAATCATTTAATTGTGTACCTAATGAATTCACATAAGAAAACTATTTGTAAGAGTATTAAGTTTTCAAGTATTTAATTCCTTATTTAATGAACTCAATGTATAGATGGAATTCCTAGGATTTGTTTGTTCTAGTTCTATTAGTCACAACGCGAACAGTTAGGTTAGCATGTTTTGAAATACCAATGCATTCCATTCATGGAAAAACCTACGTATTAATTCATGCATTCAAATTACAAACGTTCACACTGGTGTATTTAGTGTTGCCACAGGGCGTCATAGATGCTGCACGTCATTCAGCTTCGATTTTCAGCTTCTTTTTTTTAAATGAAATTTAATTTATTTATAGTCTAGATCAGAAAAGGTCACTAATGTACAATTTAAACATTGGAACGACAATCAGGTCGCCCCGGAACAACCGAAAGCTTTTGTACAGTTTGTGAAAGATGTAGAGCTGAAATTTGGTGGAAATGGACCGACACTAGTACATTGCAGGTATGTGGTTTTGGAACCATACGATAATTTTAGTGACATGTGTGACTTTTATATAACAGAGCAATGCCCAGTTTAGTACATAGATAATTTAAGTTCTGTAAGAGTATTGTATTATTATTATATAGTAGATGAAATACAACATGAATAAGTAATAATGATTAAAAGATATGTTGTAAGACAATGGAGACGTAATGAAATGTAGAACAAATCAACAGGGCAGAAAAGCCTGGATAGTAAAGGATGAAGAACAGCGTAACAGATACAAACACAAGATCCATATATCAGAACTAGTCATTCAAATCAGCAAATATACTGGATTTATTTTTATTTATATACCAATTTACTTGATAAAGTCATGTAAGAATCATTTCCTCGGACACCGTTTACTCATGGAGTGTGTGTCCAGATTCTTTATTATCATACCGATAATGGGGTTTAAAGGACTATTTTATACCCTCGCACAACAAGAATGTAAGGGGGTATACTGAAATCAGCTTGTCCGTCCGGCCGTCTGTCGGTTTTTCCTTGTCCGCCCAATAACTTAATAATCCTTTGGCCCACAGTCTTCATATTTGGTTTTGAGATTGGTCATGATGAGTACATGACCCCTATTTATTTTGTGGTGACTAGGTCAAGGGTAAAGGTCAGAAGGACGTTGACTAAAAAAGAATTGTCCGCCCAATAATTTAAGAATCCTTTGACACACAGTCTTCATATTTGGCATGGAGGTTAGTCATGACCATAAGATGAGCTCTATTGATTTTGAGGTCACTGAATCAAAGGTCAAGGTAACATGGGCCTTGACTTCAAAAAGCTTGTCCTTGACTAGAAAAATGACCCCTTTTGATTTCTAGGTGACTGCGTCAAAGGTCAATGTCACAAGGGCTTTTACTACTATAAGATTGTCTGCTCAAATGCTTAAGAATGCCTGTCCACAGTGTATTGATTTGACATTTTCACATTTGAAGCATATAATTATGTTCTCATTTATTCATCATAAAGTACCCCCAGGCAAAGCTGCATGAATGGGGGGTGGGGTATTCAAGTCAAGCAATGGCAGTTTCAGTTTTGAGGTCAGTAGGTCAAAGGTAAAGGTCACTTTGATCTTTGCCACTAAAAAAACATGTAGCCTTAGTGCAGTAGTCTTCGTACGTGCAGTAGTCCTCCGATTACACAATAAACACCGTTTGTTATGTCATACATTAAAATTTGAGAAATAAACTATACATGGATGTTGACAACTGCCATTTCCGTTTGTTATTTGTTATTTTCACAAACATCCGGTTTTTCACGTTAGCGTAAAAAAGTAAATAAAGAACATCGCTGGCTTAGTCTCCGTACATCACATGAAAATAAACAACTGGTAAAATCTTATTCTACGTAAAATATTTATACAATTTATATCAAAAGGTGAAAATTATTCTTAATTATTATTTATTATTCTGAATTTGCATTTGTTTGTAAACAATTATTTTAGACTGGGGTTCCATGCAGTGTTGCAAACGAGGTAAACTAAGATGCAATGAATAACTTCTCCTGTTTCTTTTTTTAAATGGGGTATCAATCCACTAAATTTTATCATGATGCTAATTTCATATTTTCTCTAGTAAAAAAGTCTGCATAAGTGACTAAATAAAAGAGTAAAGATCACTTAAATAAAACTATTGATCACTTAAATAAAACTATCATTTATAATAAAAGTATTTACAAAACCAAATTATTTTTTTTTACCAAAAGATAAAGATTATTCATTTGTAAACATTGCAATTAAAGTACAAACATTTTGTTTATCATTTAACAGATGATTACTGTTCACTGAAGACATGGGGCCTGAAAAATATACTAAAGATGAATTTACTAAAGCCTTAAGACAAATTAGAAATGAATGCTCAATTTCAAGTGTTTCAAAATCAACTGGTATCCCAAAGCAAACTTTATATGACCATTCCAAAGGCAAATACAACAACAAAATCACACAAATGTGTCTAGATAAAGCATTGACTGAAATTGAAGAGAAAGCTTTAGTAAACTATTTTTTGTATATGTCTGACAGGGGCTATCCCTTGACTAGAAGTATGATAAGGGCTTTTACAAGGGCAATTATAAAAAAAAGTCTGGTAGAGGTACTAAAATTAACATGCTTAATGGTCCCTCCCATGAATGGATAAGAAAATTTCTAAGAAGACATCCAGAATTGTCAGAAAGGCACCCGATGTTATAGACAGAGATAGGGCACATGTCACAAAGAAATAAGTGAATGCTTTAATAATCTTTAGATAAAGTTCTTACATCAAAAAATCTTCATGATAAGCATCAATGCATATTCAATTGTGATGAAAGTGGCTTCAGTGCTAGAGAAAAATTTAGAGGCAAAAAGGCAAGCATTCATACCAGTAAGTAGTCAAATTTACAGGTCATACAACGGTTCATCTGGCAATATATGTTGCAGGTAAAGTCATTCCACCTTGCATTATATATGAGAAAATGCGAATTTGCTCCTAAAGAATACGGACTATCTGCAACTCAGAATGGTTATATCATCATGAAATTGTTCATCGAGTGGTTCCGGGACATATTTGTACCCAACTGTGGGTCACAACCTCCAGTTCTTCTAACAATGGACAATCATGCATCACACTTTTGTCCTGATTTGGTAGATCGTGCTATAGAGGAAGGTAATGAACTTTTGTATTTGCCTCCTCATGCTACTCACTTGCTACAACCTCTGGGTAAAGGATTCTTTCATCTTCTAAAACAATAGATGACAGAATCAGCTATGTCAGTTGGCTATGCTGGACCCCGTGTAGTTCCTAGAAATAAATTTGCAAGTCTTCTTTACCATGGGATTAACCGCATTTCACCTCGTGATATCACGTCAGCATTTCACAAGACTGGCATGTTCCCTTTAAATCCAAATTAGGTGTCAAACCCTATTGAACTTGCATTAAACATTTCTAGCAGTGGTGAAAATTTCATTGCAAGAAGATGAATCTTGTCAAGAATGTGGAGGACATTCTGTTACAAATCGTCTTGATAAATTAGGTATTGTACCTGCAGATTTGGCACATATCCTTGTTGAACCTCCACTTGTCAACCCTAAACAAAAAAGAAAAAGAATTGAAGGAGCAAGGTGGATCACAGATGCAGACCTGAACCTCAACAACAGCTGAAATACATATGGAGACAAACTGCGACTGTGACTACGCTGATGCTGGTATTGACTGTTCAATATGCAAATTAAGTGACAGGGGCTTTTGGGTAGTATGTGACAACATCATATGTGAAAGGTGGTTCCACTATGAATGTTTGCCTTGTAGTCAACAAACTTTTGTTGACTTGAGTCTGCTTACAAAGGATGGATGGCTTTGTGAAAGGAAGAATAACTGCAGGTATTAAAACTTTAAAGGAAACACAACAAAAACATAAAAACAAACACAGTGACTTGTTTGATTGTTTTATTCAGTGACAGAAATATAAAATGTAAACTCTAGTACATGTAGTATTCACAATATTCATTTTGTTTAACAATTGTATACATGCAGTTACAAAATTTACTAACCCTTTGTGTTGTTAAGCACTTCCACAGGAAAAAATAGTGTTCTGTACTGTAAGAATTTGAGTGAAACTATTCACTACCTGTTGTTGTTGTCTTAATACCCCAAAATAGAAGAAACTGATGCGCACACTATTTGAATTTGTGATATTTTAGTTCTGGCTTCCAAAACTTTATAAGCCGCTTTTAAATGTTTTGTTTTTCATCTGATGCGGCATTAAAGTTTTGGATTACACCCGTTACGAAACCTAACAAGAATAACATAAGTTGATTGAATCTTATTTTCACTTGCAAATACCTTTGCCCCAATCAATTCCTTTGCATTGCTACAACCTTTGGATAAAGGATGTCGTTCTATACCATTTAAAGTATCAAAATATTAATACCGTCATGTAACTGTAAAACATCAATAACGCCGACTACAGTCGGCCATGACATTTAGGAGCTACGCGAGACATCGTATGACGTCATTCGCGGGAACCGATTTAAGTAGAGTTGTGTACTATATTTAGAACATCTTTGTTAACATGATTTCAATATTTATAATATTCAAGATAATGTTGTTATTTATTATTTAATTTTTTAGTATTAAATATGATTATATTGAATACAAAAGTCAGTGGTCACCTTTTTCAATATCTTGAAAAAAATAATTCATAAAAAAAGTTAGAAGCACATGGGTTCGTAAAGGTCAATCTCGTAATCACGTGGTCAAACATTTTGGCAATATGGCGGTCAAGTGCTGAAGTTTTTACCTGGTAGTTTACGTTCGTAATAAGATTTTTATTTGTCCACCCTTGGCTTATCAACAGGTTATATAAAGTTTTATCAAGGTATGCTTCACTTTACTTCATGGCATGTTCGAAGAATGAATACGAGCGTGTCAGATTCCTGGCACGATTATTGGTGGTCTGTCTTCAGCGTTCACTTCATGTCATAGTATATAAACGGGTACGCTGAAGACCTTAAGCTAGTGATATTTAATCAGTTTAGATATTTAGTGATTTCGGTTTAGTTTAAGAAAATTATGCAGTCCAATGAGATCAAAATCGGTGTCACATAGCCATGGACATACGTGTGGAGGGCCCGTGTCATCTTCGGGTGTGTCCTCAAATAAGAAGCTACAAAGTATAAAACATGGTAAGTTCCATGATAATCAAACATAAGGGTATAATAAAGTCCCTTGGAAAAGACTCGACCTTTGTCGGTTTTCAATAAAATAACGTGCTTCTTTGAATAAACAAAATGTCCACTATAGTACACCATACATTCCGTGGAACAAAAATTAAATCACATCCGCATAATACTGCGTTGCAAATATATTCAAATATACGCCACATAATAACCACCAATAAATAAACGTCTTCCAAAATCATGCCACTGAAGATCCTTCTCTAGAGATACGTTAGTTTTGATACGTTGTATTTACTTATAACAAAAAACTGATGATAAATGAAATGAAGTAAGATGATAACGTAAATTAAATTGATTGAAACAAATCATTACGATACTGCAGCATTTTGCATAAAGTTGCACAAATACGGTAGAACCATAATAAATTATTTATGAATAATATATATATATCTATAAAATATTCACGGCTCCTATACAATTACAATATAATTAAAACTTCAATTAACATACATCAATTAACATGTCTCGGTATAAATTTGCAATAGCGAAACACTAGAATAAAAAGAGCTTTTAAAATTTAATCTGCAAAAATTCAAAAAATTTAGAAAACAATTAATTACTGCCAAATAACTAAACCTGAATCAAATAAACTATAATTCTAAATAGAAAATAGTATTTTACGAAATAGCAAAAATTTATGAAACAAAATCACTAGAAAATTAAATTTACCTTGTACAAGCTGTAATTTTATGACAAATATAATTTGTCTGTCACCGTCATAGTGACCTGTATAACGTCCAGTGCATTGCAATATGTCACTTAAAATTTAGTCATTATATAGCAAACTACTGAGTACTGAGCGGGAAAACGGATCGTGCAAAACATGAAAAATCGATTTGCACGAAATAAAGCTGGGACGGCGGGAAAAATAGTTATGTGAAATAAAGGCCCGTCCTTCAAATACAGACATAATACATATATCTGGTTCATAAAACAAAAATGTAACTTTCTTATTACTGAAAGGATTTTTGTGAAATAAACGGCAAAATGTTTAAATTGATACATTGTGAAATAAACGGCAAAATGTTTAAATTGATACATGGAAATTTATGCAAACCATAAAAATACTCTGAATAATAATTTCACCCGAAAACTCTAAATTGAACAAAAGATGATGCAATCTCACATCAATGAATATAGAGTAAAAATGAGGTTCGGCGTGAAAATATAATGCAAGATTTTACAAACGTACTTTCACTTTGTGACAATCGGGTGTACGAGGACTACTTCACTTAGGTCTAAAATTGTGTATAGTGAGTGCACTTGTATTAAAGTGTTCTATAAAACGGATACATCTATGGAATCGGTTATTTCTTGTTTCAAAAATTAAGGGGTACCCCTATGTTGATTTTAAAAAAGGTACGTTCCCTTACATGCGTTCCTGTATATTTTTCACCGTGCCATGTCTAATAAATTTGTCCGAGGACTACTGCACTGGGGCTAGAATACATAAATTTGCAATGCACTGGCTAACTACCCTCAGATTTGGCAGGGAGGTTGTCCTTAACCTCTAAATGACCACTGTTGATTTTGACAAAGCACTATGCGTGGGTATTCACGCCATGACAGTGGCAGTTCTAGTTAAATTTTATCATTATTATGACAGGACAGGGGCTGAGAAAAGTGGGCTATTTTGTGTTGTATCAACTTTGTTGGAGAAAACACAAATTGACCAGGAAGTGAGTGTCGCAAACACCGTACGACAAATAAAATATAGACGAAGCATGGCCATACCGAACAAAGTAGGTGAAATTTCTGTAACATCTTTGAATTTAGCAGATAAAATATTTCGCTTTTATAGTATAATTTACCGGGTATGTTTGTGAAGGATTACAGACCCTAATGGTCACTGATAAGAATAAGTTTTTCATAACTTTTTTCTTACGTAGATAGTAAGGGGCGTCCGTGGCCGAGTGGTTAAGGTCGTTGACCTCAAACCACTTGCCCCTCACCGCTCTGGGTTCGAATCCCGACAGGGACTTTGGATTCTCTCATGTGAGGAAGCTATCCAGCTAGCTTACGGAACGTCGGTGGTTCTACTCAGGTGCCGGTTCGTGCCTGATATAATGCACGGAAGGGCACCTGAGGTCTTCCTCCACCAGTAAAGCTGGAACGTCGCCAAATGACCTATACTGTGTCGGTGTGACGTAAAACCCAATCAAACAAACAAACAAAACCTTAAAAGTATAGGACATTTATTTTACAAGTATTAGAAAAATTCACCATCCGATTTTTTATCATTAATTTTTTTATTGCCACACCCCATCTTTGATTTTTTGCTCAAATTTCAATCACCCTGGCATATTTAGAGAAAATATTTTTGCATATGAAACATGTTTCTTTGTAGAAAATATATATGTCTTTGTTTTCATTTTTGACCTATACACTATACAAAGTGACTGCAAGTAACATTTACATTTTCCTCATCTTTAAGATCCTGTAACACAATTTTTTATGGTTTTATATCATAAATATGATGCTCAAATTAAGATTTATTAATTTTGTAAGTTCCAAAAGCATTATTTCTAAGATATTACCGAATTTAACATTTCATGTAAATAAAGGGAGGTAATAATAAAAAAGTTATTTTCTATAAAGACTAGGTCAAATTTTTCAATAAGAAATGAATGTATATATTTTAATTATTGCATATAATATTTACAAATATTTAAAGTGCATATTTTACATATTCTTCGATGTTTGAAAATGGTTTTATCAGCATAATTATATACATATATTTAATTTCATTTAAGTGTGGTATACAACCTCAATTACAACATACAGGATCTTTAAAACAAATGCGGTCAAATGAACTCCCCCTTTTCACAGGCTAAAAAAAAAGACATATCTTTTCCAACAACTAGAACCAGTTTTTGTATGTAGGAAATCTAATAAAACTTAAATCAAAAATATCTTCAGATAGTTTGTTTGTTTGTTTTTGTTGGGTGGTAATATGGTGACTTCCCAACTTAGCTGGTAGAAAGAGACCTCTGGTGCCCCTTTTGTGCAATATTTCAGGAACGAACGGGCACCTGTGTAGAACAACCGACTAGCTAGCTGGATAGCTTCCTAATATGAAAGAATCCAAAGTCCCTGGCATGACTCGAATCCACAGCGGTGAGGGGCTCTGTGAAATTATGTGTGTTATGACTCAATATAAAATATGTAATAAAGGAATGCTTTCAAATGTTTCATCTAGTAAGACTATATACAATTTAAGTATAATAAGAGGAAAATAACAAGTCATGGTCAATTCTGGTATAATCATTCAGAGATTGTTCTGATTTATTAGTTTAAAACATATTTTGTCACATATTACGAATTGTTTAAAACGTATTGATATATTTCAGGAGCAGTATATTTTCTGTCATCAATGTGTGAATGAATATCTTCAATCATTTGATACATACTCCGGAACATAGTGATTCGACATCTCGAACATTTTATGAATGCTCGAACTTGAACTAGATAGCATGCCTTTTAAACGCGGCTTGCTGTTTTTAGCTCGACTATTCGCAGAATAATCGAGCTAATGCAGTCACCCATTTGTCGGCGTCGGCGTCGGCGTCGGCGTCGGCGTCGGCGTCCCTTTGGTTAAGTTTTTGTATGTAAGCTGGTATCTCCATAACTACTGAAGGGAATGGATTGAAACTTCACACACTTGTTCTCTGTGATTATCTAAGATGATTGGCACAAGTCCCATAACTCTGATTTGCTTTTTTTCATAATTATGCCCCTTTTTCGACTTAGAAATTCTTGGTTAAGTTTTTGTATGTAAGCTGGTATCTCCATAACTACTGAAGGGATTGGATTGAAACTTCACATACTTGTTCTCTGTGATTATCTAAGATGATTGGCACAAGTCCCATAACTCTGATTTGCTTCTTTTCATAATTATGCCCCTTTTTCGACTTAGAAATTCTTGGTTAAGTTTTTGTATGTAAGCTGGTATCTCCATAACTACTGAAGGGAATGGATTGAAACTTCACACACTTGTTCTCTGTGATTATCTAAGATGATTGGCACAAGTCCCATAACTCTGATTTGCTTTTTTTCATAATTATGCCCCTTTTTCGACTTAGAAATTCTTGGTTAAGTTTTTGTATGTAAGCTGGTATCTCCATAACTACTGAAGGATTGGATTGAAACTTCACATACTTGTTCTCTGTGATTATCTAAGATGATTGGCACAAGTCCCATAACTCTGATTTGCTTCTTTTCATAATTATGCCCCTTTTTCGACTTAGAAATTCTTGGTTAAGTTTTTGTATGTAAGCTGGTATCTCCATAACTACTGAAGGGAATGGATTGAAACTTCACACACTTGTTCTCTGTGTTTATCTAAGATGATTGGCACAAGTCCCATAACTCTGATTTGCTTTTTTTTCATAATTATGCCCCTTTTTCGACTTAGAAATTCTTGGTTAAGTTTTTGTATGTAAGCTGGTATCTCCATAACTACTGAAGGGAATGGATTGAAACTTCACACACTTGTTCTCTGTGATTATCTAAGATGATTGGCGCAAGTCCCATAACTCTGGATTGCTTTATTTCATAATTATACCCCTTTTTCGACTTAGAAATTCTTGGTTAAGTTTTTGTATGTAAGCTGGTATCTCCATAACTACTGAAGGGAATGGATTGAAACTTCACACACTTGTTCTCTATGATTATCTAAGATGATTGGCACAAGTCCCATAACTATAATTTGCTTTTTTTCATAATTATGCCCTTTTTTCGACTTAGAAATTCTTGGTTAAGTTTTTGTATGTAAGCTGGTATCTCCATAACTACTGAAGGGAATTGATTGAAAGTTCACACACTTGTTCTCTGTGATTATCTAAGATGATTGGCACAAGTCCCATGTCTCTGATTTGCTTTTTTACATAATTATGCCCCTTTTTTGACTTAGAAATTCTTGGTAAAGTTTTTGCGTGTAAGCTGGTATCTCCATAACTACTGAAGGGAATGAATTGAAACTTCACACACTTGTTCTCTGTGATTATCTAAGATGATTGGCACAAGTCGCATTACTCTGATTTGCTTTTTTGCATAATTATGTCCCTTTTGATAACAAGTGAATTACACTTTGACCTAGTTACCTACTTTTTTGTGTTTAAAGATACTGCTTGAATTTTGGAACATATGCTTCGTTTTAGATAGTTGTAGTAGAACTTAACGTTTACTAATACTCAGAGCCGGAATTAACCATATGTCCCTGACTATCGGTATCTTAGTTGGTCAGCAGTAGAAGCCACATCGGGATTTTCTTTTATGCTGTACAACAATGTGCAGTAGTTGCTGCACTTGACTTGATCTTTACCTGCCGTGTGCCTTCTCTGTGACTTACGGTTGTTTTTAATATGAAAATGATACATTGTTCAGGTGAGTGTTTACAATTATTTACATACTGCAATGAAATCAGTTTAATTAAATAGATTTGTTTTCCCTTTTTTTCCTTCTTTACCTTTTTTATATCAGTTCAGGCTATGGCAATATGCAACAAATTTCCACTGTAGGCATAACTAAATTATCAGTGGCAGTATGTTTCTTGTTGAAAGAGACTTGTCACACCTCTTGCCTCCATAGTGACATAATAAAGAAGTATTATTATTATACTTCTAATTTATTTCCATTTTCTTAAAGTGATCTTTTTCTATTTTAGATTTAATTAAAAATGGAAGACAAAAAAATTATAAATAGCATTGCTGACATGGAACTCCAAATGTTAGGCATAGCCTATAAATTGAAACAAAATGAAAATATAAGTGAAGCTACGTCAGCAATCGAAGTATTGGCTAGGAAATGCAAGGGAGCTGCTATGACCATGACTATTCGAAATGATGCTGCTCTACAAGAATTGGACAGGCTTAGAAATGACAATAAAATTTTGAAAGGCAAACTTGATCATGCTGTTAAAGATAAAGCCAAAGCATTAGGTGAATCTGGGTCACTCCAGTTTAAAGTTGTGCGTTTAGAAAGTGAAATTTTAAAACTGAAAGGTAAAATCAATTATTTGTTCAAGAAAAATATTAATATTTTATCTGTACAACTATTTAATCCAAAAAAACAGAATGAGGATGATTTATCGCATAATTTCTGGCTATGATAGTAATTATATTTGAATATACGAATCAGCGCAAATGTTTTGCAACTTGAACAATCAATAATTAATAATAAGAAACAAAAACATATATAATTCATGATAAAAACAAGACACATAGCATATTTTAAATTCTATATGTTTTATCCAATTCCATGTACGTTATAACCTCAACTAAGAATTTTTGTCACCTAAAAAGGAAGTATTTCATCTTTTTGTACAAAGCAAGAAACAGCCATTCTACGAATATTTTAAACTTTTTATTTACTCACCCACTAATTAACTTGTATCTCTGTTTAAAGAGAGTGAAAAGAATCTTCAGCAGGAAATGGAAATGAAGGTGTCACAAGATATTATATGGGGAGACACAGATGAAGATGAGGAGGGACTGGCCACTTCAGGCAAAGACCAGCCAAACACTATAATTAAGGACTGTAATGAAAATGAGATTACAGAAGAACCATCCTTCAAGAAACAAAAAAAATAGAACATTGAAATACATTAGACACTAATTATTTCACAAGGATATCAATTCAAAAATTTACCTTTTTTACATCTCTGTGTAGACTGATGTTTGTTATTACACACATATGAATATATATATATATACTATTGATAGATGTTAAGATTCCATTTCTCCATTGTCTATTCAATCATCTTGTTTCATATAAATTGACAATGATATTCATGAAAATAAATAAATTTCAGATGTTTTTTTGTGGGCAAGTACGTAAGTAAGTTGAATTATTAAAGGTGCTGGACTATAAAAACCAAAATACATTCCCCCCAAAACAGTGCAGCTTATTTAAAGCTTTCAAACTTACGCCATCCACATTTAGATACTTATAAAAAGTAATGTATACATGTATATACAAAATTGTCAAAATTGCTTTCCATATGACTGTATTTTGGTTCATTGTTTCTGTTTTTTTTCACAAATTTATGAAGGTAATTCTCACAAAATAATGATTTGATATGATACCTGTTCGGGAGATGAACTTACATAACCAGTATCTTCATGCAAGCAGTATTTAATTGCAGTTTATTGTATTTTTTAATCCTGTTCAAATACTACTGCCACTGTTCAGAATTATTCACATATAATAGATTTTGTTTCAGATAGCCAATTAGCTCAGTCCATTGAGCAGCCGCACCTCTACACTAACAACTCATTTTTCTTTCCATGTTACATACTCGTATGCTACCAGACATAAAATCTTGATCCTTTATCCAGTAAACATTGTAAAGTTTGGTTTAAGTGCAGTAAAATAATGGTCTTATTCTATTTCAGTAAAGTATTTCAAAGTTTGTAAATTTTTGTAAAATAGATAAAGTTCAAATCATTTTAACAATACTATATCTTCTGTTAGTGAGTGCCTTAAAATTATTTTCAGGTGCTGGTCATTACCTTCTTTCAAATAAAGGAGCGCATGCATATTATGGCAACATGACACAATTCTGTGAACGATGTGGGAAAACATTCAAGACAGTTAAAAACCTTGAAAAACATGTCTGTAATATGTGTTCAATATGTGGGATGGTTTTCACAAGACGAGAAAATCTCAACAAACATGTGTGTGAAAGAAAAACCTTTCAGTGTAATCTATGTAAAAAGTCGTACAAAACTCAGCATACGTTTAAACACCACAAGTGCTGTTACTGTGATTTATGTAAGCATTCTTTCTCTTCATATCAGAAGAAGACTGCACATTGTTGCAAAAATGTGTCTGATACAATAGATGTGCCAGCTTCATCTAAAATCAATGAACAGAACAGTTCAAAATGTTTCCAACCACATGCTTCATTCCAGCAGACAGAAAGTACATCAACTACACGCATAAAATACAATGATTTGAAACCAGTAACATCTTTGAATCTTCATGCTAAAAAGTCATGCTGTCAAACTTTAACTGAAACATCTGTAGAAAGACAGAAACAATATTATCAACCTGTGCGGTCTTTGTGGCAAAAAAAACAATGTGATGATTTAAACATTCATGGTAAAATAGTGTTTGGAGCAGATGTAATTGTGAAAGAACTACAAAAACCATGTTCATTCAAAAACATAAAGGGGGATGGAAACTGTTTCTTTCGCTGCATTTCATATGTTGTCACAGGCAGTGAAGAGAACTATCATTATTTTAGGATGGCTATCGTTTCACATATTAAAAAACACCCGCACATGTTCAAAATGTTAATGAGTAATAACATATCGGTGTTCTACTACATACAGAAGTCAAAAATGGACCAAGATAAAGTGTGGGCAACTCAGGTAGAAATATTTGCTGCTGCTCATTTCCTCAAAACATCTATTTATATTTATACACAAACTGATGTGTCAGGCAGATTTCAGTGGTTGCAACATTCACCAAATTTTATTGATAGAAATTGTCTTCAAACTACTCAACACATTTATATAAACCACAGAAATAGAAACCACTATGAAGTAATATTGGATGTACAGAATATTCAGTCTGACATTCCAGAATCTTTTAATTGTAACAAACAAGTATTGCATGAAATTCAAAATCAGATAAATTTGACTTTTGAAAAAACAAAATATGAAAAAACTACTGTTAATAGAAAAACAGAGAAACCTGTTTCTACTATACAATTAGAACAAAATGAAGAAGAGGAAGAAGGTTCCTATAACAGAAAAAAAGCATATGAAAGGATAAAGAAAAGAGAGTGGAGAAAAAATGAAGAAAATAGGACTCTTGAAAATGAAAAAAAACGTTTGAATACAAAAAATAGAGAGAAGGAAAAAAATATCAAGAAACAAAAAAGATTGGATCAAGATGTTAAAGATAAAGAAAATGAGAATAAACGTTTGAATGTGCAGAGCAGAGAAGTTGAAAAAAATATCAAGAAACAAAAAAGACTGGATCAAGGTGTTAAAGATAAAGAAAATGAGAGCAAACGTTTGAATTTGCAGAGCAGAGAAGTTGAAAAAAATATCAAGAAACGAAAAAGACTGGATCATGATGTTAAAGATAAAGAAAATGAGAATAAACGTTCGAATGTGCAGAGCAGAGAAGTTGAAAAAAATATCAAGAAACGAAAAAGACTGGATCATGATGTTAAAGATAAAGAAAATGAGACTAAACGTTTGAATGTGCAGAGCAGAGAAGTTGAAAAAAATATCAAGAAACTTAAAAGACTAGATCAAGATGTTAAAGATAAAGAAAATGAAAGAAAAAGACAAAACATTGATAACAGGTACAGGGAAAAAGAGCATAAACAGATTAGAAGAAGTGACATGAATTGCAGAAATGAAGATAGAGAAAGGGTGCAAAAAAAAACAACATCACTATCTCTAGAAAATCTTATTGAATCATTTCATTCATCTGTAGAGACAGGCCCATTATATGTATGTACTTGCTGTGATCAGCTTTGGTACCGTGAAAGTGTACGACTCAAATACAATATAAATATTCAAGATGAAGAGCTAAACAAAAAGATTTTTACAGGGTTTAAAAGTGCTGAAGGAAAAGAATGGATTTGTTTTACCTGTTTTTCGTATGCAAAAAGGCAAAAATTACCTCCACTGTCAAAATGTAATAATCAATTCCCATCGAAGCCATCAGTTTTAGATCTTACAAACCTAGAGGAGCGCCTCATCTCTCCTAGAATTCCTTTCATGCAGTTACATGAATTACCAAGAGGCGGCCAGATTAGTTTATATGGAAACGTTGTCAATGTTCCGGCAAATGTAAACACTACAGTTACCCATCTTCCTAGGAATTGTGCTGAAAATGATACTATTGCTTTGAAATTGAAGAGAAGGTTGTCAAATGAACATTATGTTCTCTTCCAAAACATTCGCCCTGAAAAAGTGAGACAAGCTCTTTCTTATCTTGTTGACCACAGTCTTTTGTATAAGGAAGAAGGTATTACAGTAGACGATAACTGGGATGTACCTACTTTGGACAAACATGATCTTGCAATTGAAAAAGAGGAAGTTAAAGATGATTGGGATGAAACAGCTACATTTGAACAACCACCTGGATCTTTAGACACATTGATGCAACCAATAGATCCTTTTTTGGAACAATCTTCTGAAGTTTTCTCATTTGCCCCTGCAGAAGGAAATCATCCTTTAAGTATTTTTATTGACAAACACTCAGAAGAGTTGTCTTTCCCAACTATATTTTGTGGTGAGAAAAGATTAGAAAATAACATCAGCTATGCAGAAATTTGTAAATCAGAACTGAGACGATTAGATCGAAGAGTGGCAGGACATGTACCAAACTTATTCTTCAAACATAAAAAGCTTCAAGCAAAACACATAAATGATAAATCAAATTTAATATTAAGGAAAGTAAAGGGTGGCCATAAAAAAACTGCAGCAGAACTTAAATCTCCAGAAAATGTTATGAAGTTATGCAGATTAGATGAGGGTTACAAGATTTTCAAAGATTTAAGAGGATCACCTCCATACTGGGAAAAAACAAAAAAAGACTTGTTTGCCATGCTCAGAGTCTTAGGAATACCTACCTGGTTTATGTCATTTTCATCAGCAGAAACAAGATGGATACATTTACTCAAAATACTTTCCCAGACAGTCAATGGAAAAGTATTATCTTCAGAAGAAATTTCAAATCTTACATTCTTTCAAAAATCTGAAATGATAAGAAAAGATCCTGTAACATGTGCAAGACATTTCCAGCATCAGGTCAAAAGACTTCTCAACACTGTTCTTCTCAGCTCATTAAACCCAATAGGACAGGTAACAGATTATTTCTATAAGGTTGAATTTCAAATGAGAGGATCTCCCCACATTCATATGCTGGTATGGATTGATAATGCTCCAAAATTAGAGGAAGGTGGAGAAAATACAAAAGCTGTGGAAGAATTTGTTGATGAATATGTGTCCTGTAAAAGAGATTCAACATTGGACTTATTACTTCCAGTTCAAGAGCACAATCACAGTAGAACATGCAAGAAAAAGGGACAATGTATTTGCCGGTTTAACTTTCCTATACCCCCAATGCGAGAAACATGTATTCTAGAGCCATTGGATGATGCTGTAGGCACAGAAGAAAGACAAGTTTGCAAACTAAATTGGCAGAAAATTGAGAAGAAATTAGATGATTTCAGAAAAGAAACAGTTCAGACCATGTCATTTGATGAATTCTTACAAGCCTTAGAATTGACTGATGACAGCTATATTAATGCAGTCCGTTCAACTTTGAATGCAAAAAGGATATTCTTGAAGAGAGATGTTCATGAAACCAGACTCAATGCCTATAATAGAACTTTACTACAATGCTGGAGAGCAAATATAGATATTCAATTCGTTTTAGATGCATATGCTTGTGCAGTATATATTGTTACATACATCTCCAAGTCACAACGTGGTATGTCAAACCTGTTATACCATGCAGTTCAAGAGGCTAGAGATGGAAATAACAGTCTCAGTAAACAGGTACGCTCAGTTGGCCACAAGTTTCTCAATCATGTTGAAGTATCTGCACAAGAAGCAGTATATTTCATTTTACAGATGCCACTGAAACAATCATCCAGAGATGTAGTATTTGTAAACACATCTCCACCTGAAGAAAGAGTGATTATGTTAAAAAGTCTTCATATAATAAAGAACATGCCTAGTGATTCCACTGACATTGAAACCAAAAGTATCCTTACGAGGTATTCGGAAAGACCAAAAGACCTGGAAAATGTGTGCTTAGCAGACTTCTGTTCACAGTACAAAATTGTATACAAGAGAAAGGGAAATCCTAAAGTACAGTTTGATGTTAATGTTGATGATGACAACCATGAAGAAGATGATGATGATGCTGATGATGACATCTTTGGGGATCATTCCAATGGTTCTACTTATAAGCTAGCAGACGGAAATATTCTGAAAAAAAGAAAGAGATCTGTGATCATACGTTATGTCAGATATCAACAGTCACTTGATCAAGAAAACTACTTTCGGGAAATTTTACTTCTATTTCATCCTTGGAGACAGGAAAGTTTGATGATGGGAGACAGCGATTCTTACACAAATCGCTACTTTTCCATACAGAAAAACTGTGAGATTGAAACAAAGATGAAAGAGTATAACCATAACTCTGTAGAAATAGATAAAGCTATGGAAGATGCAATCAGTTTGGTGAGAGAACAACTGGCAGCAGGTTGGAACAAAATTGCACCACAGACACAGTCACTTGAGGAAGAAGATGAACTTGAAGGTGAAAAAGACAGTCATGAGTATGCATCTATAGCACCAACTGAGGAGGACATACAACAATATTCTGAATTCACCAGTAATACTTCTGTTTCTAAACTTGAAATCATCAGAAACATGGTTCCAGATGAAGAATACCACAAACAGTGCCAGTGTTTGAATACAGACCAAAGGAAATTTTTCCTGTATATTTTGAATCAGGTCAAGACATGTGAAAATCCTTTTTACATTTTCCTAAGTGGAGGGGCAGGAGTTGGAAAAACTGTTGTAGTAAGAACAATCTACCAAGCTCTCATAAGATGGTACAATTCAAAACCTGGATCAAATCCAGATGACACAAAGGTCTTGCTTTCGGCACCTACTGGTAAGGCGGCATACCTTATTAAAGGTAATACTCTACATTCCATTTTTGCAATACCAGCAAATCAGGGCTTTTCATACACACCTTTGGCAAGTGACAAACTGAATACATTAAGGTCTAAATTCTGCCAGTTGAAATTTTTAATTATTGATGAAGTGTCAATGGTTGGCAATCATATGTTTTCCTTTATAAATCAACGTCTGCAACAAATCATGGGAAGTTCACAGGTCTTTGGTGGTGTTTCCATATTAACAGTTGGGGATCTGTATCAGTTGAAACCAGTTTTTGATGGTTGGATTTTTGCAAACCTTCATGATGATTATGGACCATTAGCAACAAATCTGTGGAGAGAAAACTTTACAATGTATGAACTGACTAAAATTATGCGCCAAAGAGACTCAAAAGAATTTGCTGAACTACTCAATCGATTGAGGGAAAATAAACAAACAAAAGCAGATATAGAGCTATTGGAAAAAAGAACAATTGAAACTGATATTATTGATCCATCATATCCTATACAAGTACCACACATCTACCTGACACGTAAAATGGTTGAAACGCACAACATGCTTGTATGTGATAATCAAGGTGCAAAAAAGATTTCAAATCAATCTTTTGATGTTGTACTTGGAGATGTAACTCCTGAAGTTAAACAAAGGATTTTGTTAAAGATTCCCAATGACACGTCAAAAACAATGAATTTAAGTTCCAAAGTTGAGACTGCATTGGGTTTAAGAAATGAACTTTCATGTAATGTTGACATTGAAGATGGCATGGCCAATGGTGCTCCATGTATACTTACCGCAGTTGGTCCAATAGACAAGACTGGAAGATACAAACACATGTGGGTCCAATTTGAAAATGAAAATATGGGCAGTAAATGTAGACTTGAAAATAAGACATTGTACACTAAATTTATAAATCCGAAGTGGACACCTCTATTTAGAGTGAAGAGACTTTTTTCTGCAGGAAAGTACAAATCTGCAAAAGTTATGAGAGACCAATTTCCCATACGCTGTGCTGCTGCAAAGACATGTCATAGGTGTCAAGGTGACACAATGGAATGTTTAGTGGTAGATTTTTCTGGTAAAAAGTTTCCACATGCCCATTATGTTGGATTGTCAAGGGTGACACAACTTGAAAACCTTAGTATAAGGCATTTGAATATAAAAAACATAGCAGTTGACAAGTCTGTAGGGACAGAAATGAAAAGACTAAGAAGTTCACCCTTACTGATATCAGATCCACTCAACAGCAGCAACAACACTTTCAATATCTTGTACCAGAATGTAAGATCACTTAGAAAACACTTTCCAGACATTCTTTCCTGTGAGCACTACAACAATACAAATATCAACATTTTCTCAGAAACAAAACTTACAGATAAAGATGTTACAAACCAGTACAATATGACGGATTTCTACATGTACAGGTGTGACAGTCCAAAGAATAGAGCATATGGGTTAATGGTATATTCTAAAAATAAATTCAACAACAATACCATACATAAATATACACTACACAACTTCAGTTACATAGAAACAGTTTTGATGGATACACAGACAGGACTGCCAGACATTCCAGTTATATCTGTTGCTGGCTTGTATGTTTCCCCCAAGACAACTAAAGAAGATTTAAAACTTCATTTACATGAAATAATTGATGTCCTTAAAGAAAAAAGACAGCCATATGTTGTAATTGGTGACATGAATATTAATCTGCTCAACATTCAAGATCATTTTATTATGGACATTCTTCAATGCACTCAAATTATAAAAGAAGTGACAACAGATTACATATCACTTTTAGACCATATTTATATCAGTCAAGACCTTCAGTCATTAAAGTACAAATCAGGTGTGGTAGAGTCTTATTTCTCAGATCATAAAGCTGTCTATATATCACTGGAAAAATCTTCAGTAACTAAGTGTTAAATTTATTTGTTCATCATTGTAATTATTTGTGAACATAATTCTCCACCACAATACAGTGCTAAACAAACCAGTTTACCTAGTGCATCATATATCATATGTGTTATATAAAAATCTGGAAACAAAGTACTCCATTTTCAACACTTAATAGTGCTGGCATCAATGATCCTGAAGGACCAGAAAAACATAACAACACTGAAGTGAAGTACGGGGCAACTTTTTACACCTGCTACACAGCACTTGACACCTGCTGTTGTGAAGTATAAAAATCTGGAAACAAAGTGATCCCTCGAAAGCATTTATCCCTTCAAAATTACATGAAAATTGCAGAATTCAATATCATCTGAAAAAGGATTTCTTTTGAAAGCACGAAATGCAACTTGTGTTCTATATAGAGTGGAAAGTGAAAACTGCAACACCACCCATTTTTGGATCTATTGGAAAAAAAGTAGCACTTATGAATATTTCAGGTAAAATTCATATATTAATTTATAAGTTAATTAAAATGATATTGTTTCTTTTTCATACTTTTTGGTACAATTTTATCTATTCTTTATTAAACATTGCTTTACCCAATAAAACACCTTTGTGACAAGGTTTTGTGACTTTTTGCGACAATTTCATGTATATATGTCATATAGTCCAGCACTTTTATACTCAATAAAACAGTTTTAGACTCATTAAAACACCTTTGTGAGAAGCTTTTGTGACTGTTTATGACAATTTCATGTATTCATATAGTCCAGCATTTTTATACTTAATAAAACACCTTTGTTACAAAGATTTGTGACATTTTATGACAATTTCATGTATTCATATAGTCCAGCATTTTTATACTTAATAAATTACCTTTGTTACAAAGATTTGTGACATTTTGTGACAATTTCATGTATTCATATAGTCCAGCATTTTTATACTTAATAAAACACCTTTGTTACAAAGATTTGTGACATTTTGTGACAATTTCATGTATTCATATAGTCCAGCATTTTTATACTTAATAAATTACCTTTGTTACAAAGATTTGTGACATTTTGTGACAATTTCATGTATTCATATATTCCAGCATTTTTATACTTAATAAAACACCTTTGTTACAAAGATTTGTGACATTTTGTGACAATAAAACAACTTTGTGACACAAGTTTGTGACTTTTTGTGACAATTTTATTTGCTCATATAGTCCAACATTTCTATACTCAATGAAAGATTTGTGGCCAGGTTTTGATTCTTTTTATACATGTATAAATTTTATGTAATCATATAGTCCAGCATGTTATTTGGGGGTCATTAGGTCGGACAAAGGTTATTGTCACAGTGACCTTCAGTACATAATAGGTCACGGCTATCATAGTTGGCATATGTGTTTTACAAACAACCCTTGTTTGACATTTTTATGTATAATAATCTGCTTCCCTCAATAAAACATCTTTTTGACAAGGTTTTGAGCCTTTTTTTTGTGACAGTGATTTACTTGATAAAACATCTTAATAACAAACCTAATTGTACCTTTCTGGGATAATTTTATTTATTCATATAGGTAAGCATTATTATACTCAAGGAAACACCCTTGTGACAACTTTTCGAATAGTCGAGCGTTACTGTCCTCCGACAGTTCTTGTTGATAAATGATCCCGCACTTTTAATGATTTCCCGTTTAAAAAATTTTAAATATCCCAAATTTAAACCCCATTTTCAAAAAATGTTTTTTTAAAAACGGCACTTGAGAAAAACCCCTTTTTTTTCAATTTTTTTTGAAAACCAAGGAAAGCTTTTAGTTAGTTTTAAAACGAATTCTTATAATAAAACCCAAATTTTTATTACAACTGTTAATTGCAAAAAGGTACCAAAATTTTGAGATGTATTCATCTTCTCTTATAAAGTACTTAGTTATATTTGGATTGTTAAATTTTAATATGCTGGTTTGTAATTCTTTTTTGTTTGTTTGTTTTTTTGTGGGTTTTTTTGTGGGTTTTTTTGTGTTTGTGTTTTTTTGTTGTTTTTTTTGTTTTTTTTTTTTTTTTGGGGGGGGGGGGTTGAATAACATCAGAGTGTTGAAATTTGAAGTTCAATATAAGTATCTGTAAAGACTGACAATAATTTATTTATCAGAGTTTGAATTGGCGCCAGAAATAATTTCATGTTATTGTTATCCATATATCAAAGGTTTTTTTTTCCTTGTCGTTAAATGTCGCATCACTACCGTTTAATGTCGCATCACTACCGTTTAATGCCGCTGTATGTCCGGGATAGGTTTTAAAGTTGCTGCTACCACAGACGCTTGGGGGTCAGATCCTTATGATAGGAAGCATAATTGTTCACCGAATGGGTTAATGGGTATGCTTCAGCGGCAAATAATTTTTAATCATTTCGTCGGCTTAATTCTACAACCCCGTAACTCGATTTTTGGCAAAATTGAGATTTTTATATCATTTTTTTTCGTCTCCGTGAGCTCTTTACATTGAACATACTTATGTAGTTGTAGAACTAACATAAATATGTTTATTTCCAATTCCACAAACCCGTAACTCGCTTATTTACATCAAACTTTAATTCTACACTCCAATAACTTCTTGTCCAATCAAACATTCTGATTTTGTACCACGTGATACATGACACATCTGTTATGGCTGCCTACTTTATCACAACCAAATATTTCAAAAACCTTTAGTGATTTATTGAAAGATAATTACAGTATATTACCTGACTGTAATATACATAATTATATTGATTATTAAGTTTTTATAGCTCTAGCATCATTTTGAATTATAAAGTAAATGTCTTGAATAGATAAATATGTAAATACTACATTTATTAGGATGATTACCATTTCAAACGGCCTCGATTGGTACTAAAATATTTTTGTTTCCCTAAAGCTTCTTATTTTCAAGTTTTTACACTTTGAAAGGGTATTCATTGGCTATATAGCTGAACCCTTTTTTCCATTTGCATTTTGATCATCCATGAAGTTACAATTATATTTATTAGATATTCTTGAATCCACTTTGTTTACCCATGCTATCAGCGCAAATTTTTTCAGATTCAGCGCTGTTTTCTGTTTTCTAAAGCACGAAAAGCATTTACTTGATGTACACTCTAAATAAAAAAATGAAACATTATAGCAACATAGGTATGTGACAGAAACGCATCGTCGGATACCCACGGTTGATAATCATGTAACATAACAAGTGCATACTTCTTAAAAAATTGATGTAAATATCATTTGATAGTAGCATTGATTTAGGTGATATAGACAGACGTGTAATATTTTACATAGTAGAAGAAGTTAATGATATTTTTCACTTGAATTGTTGCTATGTTTCTAGTCGAATATTATTACACTTAGTCAAGTTTGCTTCATATGTTTCACTTAGAACCCCGTATGTCGCTTTAATTTTGTAGAAATGACCTGAATGTTTTGCTAACAACCCAGTATCTCCTGAATGGGGTTTTAAAATTCAGAATATGTATGTGTTTTCTTATTTATTATGAAAAATTGAAATAAATTATTTGAGATTTTAGCTTTAAAATTGTATGCACAGTAATAACATTTGGTATAAATGTATATCATACAGATTCCTAAATTCACAATTTTAAATTTATACGGTTTATCATTAAAAAGTTAATGCAGTTCAAACTTTCAATTGCGATTTTCTAAAAATGACAAGAACTTTATTGGAACCATAAATACCAAGAGGAGATGCGCATATTGTCGCCTTGTTCCGGTCAGACCCTTCAACACAGTTATGACCCTTGATTAGTTATGCAGTATGCACATAGACCAACAATAGTTTCCGTGCTATTTCTCTGCAACTGCTGGCTGAATTTCAATTTCAAGAAAAGTTTGTGGAAACAATCAATACAAAGAGGAGATGCGCAGTTAGACCCTTCAAGACAGAGTTATTGCCCGTGATTAGTTATGCAGTATACATATAGACCAATAATCGTTTCCTCGCTATTTCTGGCTAGAATTTAGCAAGAATTTATGGGAACTATCAATAAGAAAAGGAAAGATGCATCCATGGCATGTCCCGATAATATTTTTTAACATGGAGTTATGGCCCCTGTTATGGCCTTGACTTTTTATTATGAACAAAGAAAAAAAATGCATTTTTTTACTACAACTGACTAGATTACAGCAAATTATGTTCAATCGTGAATTTTTGGAAAAACTGACTGGATTTCAGCATATATATGTCAATCGTGAATTTTTGGAAAAACTGACTGGATTTCAGCATATATATGTCAATCGTGAATTTTTGGAAAAACTGACTGGATTTCAGCATATATATGTCAATCGTGAATTTTCGGAACAACTGACTGGATTTCAGCATATATATGTCAATCGTGAATTTTTGGAAAAACTGACTGGATTTCAGCATATATATGTCAATCGTGAATTTTCGGAACAACTGACTGGATTTCAGCATATCTATGTCAATCGTGATTTTTTTCATAAAATATAGAGAAACAAAGAACCCCTAAAGACACGATGATATTGAAAATGTTACAGACTCGGTTTGATTGACGGTATTGGAAAGTGCAAGTTACCGTCCACGCCCCCTAGCATCGGCTTAAGCAGTATTCAACATTCAACATGAGCTGGTAAAATTTGGAATTTTGAAACATCTGCAGATGTATCTACTGATGTATCTACTGTATATGCCATGATAAAATATATAAATAAAGCTTTATATCTCCGGTTGTTGTGTTAGTATTAACCAGTACTCGGCAACAGATTTGCTTGTTTTAAGTAGTGGGTGGCCACTATCAAAAACATTTTACATTATAGACTCAACGAAATACACAATCAAGGAACAGCAAACTGTGTAAACAGTCACAGGTAGTGTACAAAATCAGCCTTGACAACTTCCATTATGATACTATCTTCAATATATAGAATAAATTTTAGTTTGATAATTTTTATTTATAAAACATTTATTGTGCTCTTTATACTAAAATAACAAAATTGTCTCCGTTATGCTGAGAGCCCGTATAAGTCCATTTAACCTTCATATGTAACCTTCCAAACAAACAAATTTCATATTGAAATTTACAACAAACATGTTTATACTTCATTTAATAAATATAATTTATCTCAGTTTGATAATTTGTTGTTTTTTTCTATAACCATATATTGTTCCCTTTACAGAAAATTATCTCCTTTGCGCCAAGAATATGTCAATATCGCGGCCATTGTGCCAGCATAGAATCCTTCAAAACAACCTATTGAAATATTTGTGATACATTTTAAAACAAACGTACTTTTTTCACTCAGTTAATTTCTTTTATTGATTAAATGTTAATTATTTTCAGGAATACGTTGTGCCTGTTTTGAAAAAAAAGTCTGTTGCGCCGTTGCGCCTAAATAATATCCTTTGTGTTTTTAAGTCATACCCCTGGTTGCCTGTCCAAATTTGGTTCCCGTCATTAGACTATGATGTCCCCATTGCTGTATACTTATCTACTAGCACCCGGCGTCTAATAAAGACAGGGTGAATGTTTACATTTAATACAAGAATATATAATGTAATATAACACGTTTTTCATATATTTTGTCTTTTACATTTATCTACTTAGAAGAAGATAAATCAGTTTGTTAAATTATTATAAATACCCAGAATGGTTTGGAAGGTCAGTGATTTTTTTGTCAGAACCTTATTTTCTAATTCTTCTGATTCTTTATTGGTTCTCCTTTCAAGGAACCATGCAGTCTCTGCACCTAAATAAAAGAGAAGCAAAATGAGACGTAAAAATATTAAAACTAGTCTAACTTATATGACGACGAACTATTCAATGTAGTATTCAAAACATAGAGGCAGAGATACAGTTCGGCAGCCAAAATAATAACTGTTCTTTGGTTTAAATAGATATATTAAATACCTTTTTAGAATTTTAAACATAACATATATACTTTGTGTGAAATGTTTATTTTGCTTTTACAAAGTGGCTGTGTAGCAATTGCCAATACTTTCTAATATCAAATTTGAACACAGTGTATCTTCAAGTGGAGCGCTTCTTTTGATTTATGTAGCACTTCTTTTGATTTAATGGAAAGCCTCTTATGATTAGGTTGTTGTTTATCTCATTGTTAGTGTTTCTAAATACTAATATTATTATATAATAACCAAAGTCTATTCAATTTATACGCCAAACAAGGAGTTTATGTAGATGACAATAACGTATTCTATATCTACCTATACATATTTCTCCAAATGATCTGTACTTCGTGTGTTCATATATTCACGAAACCTGGACGAGGCATCATTGCTGTCATAAGTCAGTGACTGAACAACTGCGTTATGAAGGTACTCATATTGTTCCTATATAAGTTCATTATGAATATCAGTGTTATCACCAACAATATTAACCTGTTCATTTTGCATATATTATCCGGCTATTGATCACATGTATATCCCTGCTTTTTCATCTGTTACTTTTTCATCTCTCTTACAATAAAACAACTTTACAAAAATATCAGTTGTGTATCTTTTACAAATATTTTATTAACTTCAGCGGTAGGGACAAAACTATAAATAACCATTAATAATTGCAAAACTTTGAATTTAACCATAATTTAATTAACTGAAAGAAATGTAAAGAAGAACCTCTGTAAGAGAAAATACTTTAAATGTGGCTGAGAAATGTTGTTCTACAAAGGTCGAATATGTTGTTAAGTCTCACTCTGGGAAAAATTGCCTGTTGTTGTCGTCGTTGTTGTTAATAACAGATTATTGCTCTACAGCGGGTAACTCTGCATAGCAACTTTAGATTGCATTGAAATATAATGTTATGTTAAAACAAATCCAGATACAATGATAGAGAGCAAATTTGAGTAACTTACAATTGTTTTTATCATGTTAACCCTTTGTTCCCTGAGTAACTTACAATTGTTTCTATCATGTTAACCCTTTGTTCCCTTATATTCCTTACACATGAGTATATATCTACTGCTCCCTCAGTCTCGCCCTCATTTATGATGCTATCTAAAGCTATATATGTACCAGTCCTACCTATTCCGGCGCTGAAATAAAGTCAAAACATCATTTTTTAAACTACTTTTAAACACTCCATTTAGTAAATTAATCGAGGAAAACATGCAACGCTTGTAAGTTTTTTATTCCTTTTTGAAAAAAAAAGATAAATACATGTAAAGTATATTATATGACTTTGTATAGGTATGTAATATATGTACATGTAATATATGAATTTCAACCATGGACTCTTATTTCTTTTTCATTTCTAACCTTAACGACAAAAGGGAAAAAGATTTTCGTATTCACCTGCAGTGTACAATTATTGGACCATCTAGCTGAGTTTTTATTTGGTTAATTCTCTGACGAAATTCTATCAAACTCGTGACGTCAATTGGCGTTCCTTCATCCGGCCAAGCAGTATAGTGCATTTGAAATACTTTTCTTGTTACCATGTCCTAACAGATAAGATTTTTAGCACCGCTATTTTTAGTAACATTGACGGATGTTTATCCAGTTAGTTAGAAATGTTCTTTGTAATAGAAAGAGCATCAAAACACGAGGCTATCTAATTTGCACGAGGGGAGCATAAAGAAAGAGCATCGAAACACGAGGCTATCTGATTTGTAAAAGGGACAGTGCCCCCGAGTATCAATCAGATTGCCGGGTGATTTGATGTTCTTTCTCTTTTGTATCATAGGCAAAAATAAAAACATATTCCCAGTTGTCACAATATGAAACCCCAGAAAACAACGAATGAACGAGCATCTGAATATGATATTTCTATCGCTATTCCCTTTTCTGTCGTAACAGTAAGTAAACCCCAGCCAAAATGAACCAATCAATGGGCATGCTCTGGAGTGCGGGTAACTTATACATGTACTACAATTTACACACTGTGCATGTATATGTATACGATTTGACTCTAACACATTTTCAACAGAAAAGTCCCCAAACTATGATTCAACTGTTTATTACCATCTTTATTATGTCTTGTCAGTTTGAATAAAAAAAAGATTTAATAAAGCTATTATGCTGAATACAATATAAGAGAAGTAATTGTTTATAAAAACAAACTATCATCTTCTAAAATGTAAAATATATATTCTTTTTTGTTTTGAAAAAAGAGATTTAAATCTTTGTCAATAATCCTCTTACATCTTCTATGGAATAACTTACTTTTCGAATACTAAATGACCTGAATATATAGTTGGTGTATATCTCTTCAGTATGACACGTGACTTGTATGTTAGCAAACGTAAGACTGAAATCTTCCTTCGGCCAATACTGATCACATTTTGGTACCTGATACAATTACAAGGCAGACAAATTACTGATTTTTAAACCAAATTACACTAGACATAATGCGAACATGATAAATCTTTAACGACCTTAGTAAAGCTGTAGTTTTCTTTTTAAATCCTTAAGCCTGATTGAACCGGAAGTGACAGGCCTTTGACTCTAGCATAGTGCCAAGCAAACATATTCTTCCATGCAATCTGACCCGGCTTTACATTGTTAGCAGCCCAAATTGTCATAGTATTTCATAGTGAAATACTTTAAATTTTGGATCGACTTCTCCAAATTCGACAAATCCATTACAAAAATTAAGTTTAATGTTGAATTGGAATAGGAATAAATAAAATATCTCACTATTTTGTCTATATTTACTACAGTTTTATTATAATAACTATGGATTTATAATAATAACTATTGTTTTATTATAATTACTATGGTTTTATTTTAATTACTATGGATTTATTATATTTTACTATGGTTTTATTATAATTACTATGGTTTTTATTTTAATTACTCTGGTTTTTATTATAATAACTAAGCTTTTTATTATAATAACTATGGTTTTTATTTTAATTACTCTGGTTTTTATTATAATTACTTTGGTTTTATTATAATAACTATGGTTTTTATTTTAATTCCTATGGTTTTTATTATAATTACTATGGTTTTTATTTTAATTACTATGGTTTTATTATAATTACTATGGTTTTATTATAATTACTATGGTTTTATTATAATTACTCTGGTTTTTATTTTAATTACTATGGTTTTTATTATAATTACTATGGTTTTTATTTTAATTACTATGGTTTTTATTATAATTACTATGGTTTTTTATTTTAATTACTATGGTTTTTATTATAATTACTATGCTTTTTATTATAATAACTAAGCTTTTTATTATAATAACTATGGTTTTTATTTTAATTACTATGGTTTTATTATAATTACTATGGTTTTTATTATAATAACTATGGTTTTTATTTTAATTACTATGGTTTTTATTTTAATTACTATGGTTTTTATTTTAATTACTATGGTTTTATTATAATTACTATGGTTTTTATTATAATAACTAAGCTTTTTATTATAATAACTATGGTTTTTATTTTAATTACTATGGTTTTAATATAATTACTATGGTTTTTATTATAATAAGATATGTTTGTAAAACATGTATGCCCCCTGTCGGCAGCCAATTAGTCATGTGATCAGGTTATTATGCATGACTTCTGACCCAGTGAACAAACAATTAACAAGGGTTATATAGTATCTACTGGTCATGACTAGTCACAAGGTAATAATTATATGGTTTTTATTATAATTACTATGGTTTTATTATAATTACTATGGTTTTATTATAATTACTATGGTTTTTATTATAATTACTATGGTTTTTATTATAATAACTATGGTTTTATTATAATTACTATGGTTTTTAATTTTAATGACTATTGTTTTATAATAATAACTATGGTTTTTATTTTAATTACTTTGGTTTTATTATAATTACTATGGTTTTTATTATAATTACTATGTTTATTATTATAATTACTATGGTTTTTATTATAATTACTATGGTTTTATTATAATTATTCTGGTTTTTTTTTATTACTATGGTTTTTATTATAATTACTATGGTTTATTAATTATTCTGTTTTTATTATTATAATACTATTTATACTTTTTATTATAATTACTATGGTTCTATTATTATTACAGTGGTTTTCATTATAATTACTATGGTTTTTATTTAAAAAAAACTATGGTTTTATTATAATTACTATGGTTTTTATTATAACTACTATGGTTTTTATTATAATTACTATGGATTTATTATATTTTACTATGGTTTTATTTTAATTACTATGGTTTTTATTTTAATTACTATGGTTTTATTATAATTACTCTGGTTTTATAATAATTACTATGGTTTTATTATGATTACTATGGTTTTATTTTAATTACTATGGTTTTATTATAATTGCTCTGGTTTTTATAATAATGACTATGGTTTTTATTACAATTACTATGGTTTTATTATAATTATTCTATTATGGTTTTTATTTTTTAAAAAACTCTTGTTTTATTATAATTACTATGGTTTTTATTATAATTACTATGTTTTTTATTATAATTACTATGGTTTTTATTTTTAAAAAACTATTGTTTTATTATAATTACTATGGTTTTTATTATAATTACTATGGTTTTTATTATAATTACTATGGTTTTAATTGTAATTACTATGGTTTTTATTTTTTAAAAACTATTGTTTTTATTATAATAACTATGGGTTTATTATAATTACTCTGGTTTTTATTACAATTACTATGGTTTTTTATAATAATAACTATGGTTTTATTATAATTACTATGGTTTTTATTATAATTATTATGGTTTTTATTATAATTACGATGGTTTTATTATAATAACTATGGTTTTATTATAATTACTCTGGTTTTTATTAAAATTTCTATGGTTTTTATTTTAATTACTCTGGTTTTATTATAATTACTCTGGTTTTGATGATAATTCCTATGGTTTATTATAAATTACTATGGTTTTTATTTTTAAAAAACTATTGTTTTTATTATAATAACTATGGGTTTATTATAATTACTCTGGTTTTTATTACAATTACTATGGTTTTTTATTATAATAACTATGGTTTTAATATAATTACTATGGTTTTTATTATAATTACTATGGTTTTTATTATAATTACTATGGTTTTATTATAATAACTATGGTTTTATTATAATTACTCTGGTTTTTATTTTAATGACTATGGTTTTATTTTAATTACTCTGGTTTTATTATAATTACTCTGGTTTTGATTATAATTCCTATGGTTTATTATAATTACTATGGTTTTTATTTTTAAAAAACTATTGTTTTTATTATAATAACTATGGGTTTATTATAATTACTCTGGTTTTTATTACAATTACTATGGTTTTTATTATAATAACTATGGTTTTATTATAATTACTATGTTTTTTTATTATAATTACTATGGTTTTATTATAATTACAGTGGTTTTCATTATAATTACTATGGTTTTTATTTAAAAAAAAACTATGGTATGGTTTTATTATAATAACTATGGTTTTTATTATAATTACTATGGTTTTTATTATAATTACTATGGTTTTTATTATAATTACTATGTTTTTATTATAATTACTATGGTTTTTATTATAATTACTATGGTTTTATTATAATTACTATGGTTTTATTATAATTACAGTGGTTTTCAATAAAATTACTATGGTTTTTATTAAAAAAAACTATGGTTTTATTATAATAACTATGGTTTTTATTATAATTACTATGGTTTTTATCATAATTTCTATTGATTTATTATATTTTACTATGGTTTTATTATAATTACTATGGTTTTTATTTTAATTACTATGGTTTTATTATAATTACTCTGGTTTTATAATAATTACTATGGTTTTATTATAATGACTATGGTTTTATTTTAATTACTCTGGTTTTTATTATAATAACTAAGCTTTTTATGATAATTACTATTGTTTTATTATAACAACTTTGGTTTTCTAATAACTACTATGGTTTTTATTTTAATTACTATGGTTTTATTATAATTGCTCTGGATTTTATAATAATGACTATGGTTTTTATTATAATTACTATGGTTTTATTATAATTATTCTATTATGGTTTTTATTTTTAAAAAAACTATTGTTTTATTATAATTACTATGGTTTTTATTATAATTACTATGGTTTTATTATAATTACTATGGTTTTTATTAAAAAAACTATCGTTTTATTATAATTACTATGGTTTTCATTATAATTACTATGGTTTTTATTTTTAAAAAACTATGGTTTTATTATAATTACTATGTTTTTTTATTATAATTACTATGGTTTTATTATAATTACAGTGGTTTTCATTATAATTACTATGGTTTTTATTTAAAAAACTATGGTATGGTTTTATTATAATAACTATGGTTTTTATTAAAATTACTATGGTTTTTATTATAATTACTATGTTTTTATTATAATTACTTTGGTTTTTATTATAATTACTATGGTTTTATTTTAATAACTATGGTTTTATTATAATTACAGTGGTTTTCATTATAATTACTATGGTTTTTATTTTAAAAAACTATGGTATGGTTTTATTATAATAACTATGGTTTTTTATTAAAATTACTATGGTTTTTATTATAATTACTATGTTTTTATTATAATTACTATGGTTTTTATTATAATTACTATGGTTTTATTATAATAACTATGGTTTTATTATAATTACAGTGGTTTTCATTATAATTACTATGGTTTTTATTTTAAAAAAACTATGGTTTTATTATAATAACTATGGTTTTTATTATAATTACTATGGTTTTATTATAATTACTATGTTTTTATTATAATAACTATGGTTTTATTATAATTACTCTGGTTTTCATTATAATTACTATGGTTTTTATTATAATTACTATGGTTTTATTATAATTACTATGGTTTTTATTATAATTACTATGGTTTTATTATAATTACTATGGTTTTTATTATAATTACTATGGTTTTTATTATAATTACTATGGTTTTATTATAATAACTATGGTTTTATTATAATTACTATGGTTTTTATTATAATTACTATGGTTTTTATTAAAAAAACTATGGTTTTATATATAATTACTATGGTTTTTATTATAATTACTATGGTTTTATTATAATTATTCTATTATGGTTTATGGTTTTATTTTTTTTTTAAACTATTGTTTTATTATAATTACTATGGTTTTTATTATAATTACTATGGTTTTTATTATAATTACTATGGTTTTATTATAATTACTATAGGTTTTTATTATAATTTCTATGGTTTTATTATAATTACAGTGGTTTTCATTATAATTACTATGGTTTTTATTATAATTACTATGGTTTTATTATAATTACTATGGTTTTATTATAATTACAGTGGTTTTCATTATAATTGCTATGGTTTTTATTAAAAAACTATCGTTTTTTTATAATTACTATGGTTTTTATTATAATTACTATGGGTTTTTTATAATTACTATGGTTTTCATTAAATAAGTTTGGTTTTATTATAATTACTATGGTTTTTTTATAATTACTATGGTTTTTATTATAATTACTATGGGTTTTTTATAATTACTATGGTTTTTATTAAATAAGTTTGGTTTTATTATAATTACTATGGTTTTTTTTATAATTACTATGGTTTTTATTATAATTACTATGATTTTTAGTATAATTACTATGGTTTTTATCATAATTACTATGTTTTTTATTATAATTACTATGGTTTATATTTTTAAAAAACTATGGTTTTATTATAATTTCTATGTTTTTTATTATAATTACTATGTTTTTTTATTATAATTACTATGTTTTTTTTATTAAATAACTATGGTTTTTATTATAATTTCTATGGTTTTTATTATAATTACTATGGTTTTATTATATTTTACTATGGTTTTATTATAATTACTATGGTTTTATTATATTTTACTATGGTTTTAACATTGTACTGTCGTAATTTGTTGAAATACAAATGTATAACAATTGATACTGGAATTTGATACAGAACTTTACAAGTTAAAAATGTAATGTGTTAATATTTATACTCACCCCAGCGTCTGAAATGTTTGTCAACATAACAATTTTTCCGACATTTTCCTGCCAAACCATTATCCAAAACGCTGACATATCGCCCATGTATTTATAGGTCGGACCTAAATTTGATCAGTTCCTTTAAAATCTATTTCTTTAGATCGTGTACATGGATAATAACGTACATTTTACTGTCGTCTGCTAACACAAATGAATCGACGATAAATCCTTATTTATAAGCTATTACATGTGTTGGTACTAAAATTTAGAATAGTTGGATGATCTATAAAGAATAAAATAAATTAGTTGTTTAATTCTGGAAAAAAGCGTAGAAAAAGTTAGATTACCGGACGAGGCAATGTAGGCTTTGATCTTATTATATCCCTGTAAAGAAAGAGAAACTCACTTAAATTTGTTTGTTTCATTTACTTCAGAACAACAAATTCTATTACGTGATATAACAGTGAATATCAGTAGAGACACTTAAATAAGCATTGTCTACATTTTATATTTATACTACAATTATTCATTACTCTGTATAAAATTGTGTCGCTCTACAGATTAGCGGCGACATGAACGGATAACTTCTCCGTCGTCTGTCAGTCCTTCTGTCCGTCCGTCAAAAAACCGGACTATTGGCGCTTTTTCATCCAAACTTTACATGAATGATCAGTACCGAGTATAGTCTAGGCATTTTCCGGTTCAATGATTTTGTCAGAGTTATGGCTCTTTAATGGTTTTTACTTGGACTACTCCTCTTACACTACTGACGCTATTTCAATGAAACTTCACAAGATTGATCATTGGCTCAAATACTTACGCCTCATACATGCGTTTTCCGGTTAAGTGATTGTTGACTGTGTAATGGCCCTTAAAAAAGTGGGATATTTTGCGTTGCCAGCTTCACAGAAGCTTGTCCGAACTTCTTCGAAACTTCTGGCGCAATTTCATCCAAATTTTACAGGCAATTATCAGAACTAAGTCTCTGTGTGCATATTATGGGTACTAGTATTTTAAGGTTCAATTATTTTTGTAGAGTTATGGCCTTTTAATATTTTTTTTATTTTTTATGTTTGTCCAGACTATTTCTTTTATATTACTAATGCAGTTTCAATGCAAATACTTGCGCATATTACACAGGTTTCCCGCTTGAATGATTTTATGTCCCGTGAATAAAAAGGGTTGCGTGTGTGTGTGCGTGCGTGCGTGCGTGCGTGTGTGTGTGTTGCCAGCTAAACAGACGTTTGTACGAACTTCTTCTCAGAAACTACTGGTGCAATTTCATCCAAATTATTTTTGGCTGAGTTATAGCCCTTGAATAAAAATGTGTTTTGCCATGTTAATGATTTTTGTGTCTCCTGCTAATACAGTAGCTTCAATTGGCTATAATGAGGCGACACATGTAATCACTGATTGCTCTTGTTAATAAATTAAAGTTTATAAGCCGGTTCATAAGAAATAATAAATAATAAGATGCTGTAATGTTACAATATCTAATTATATTACTTACATTAATGTAGCTTGCGTTTATGTAATCTGAGTCACCATCATCCAGAACAACTCGATTGTAGTCATCTAAAATCAAATTATAACAGTTGTATAATAAAAAAAATCATGTCTATATTTTTGACAATTTTTCCCAATCAGGTATATATTGATATATGTTTTATGTATGTTAAAAACACTTCAGCAAACATTGTAAATAATTGTCATTTTTGCGGGGCGGTTATCATTATTTTCATTATTATCATCTTATTATTACTACTATTTTGTGGTACGGTCCTGATTTAACATTACAATGTGAAAATGACGGACACTGATATACAATGTATATTAATTAGTGCAATCAGTTAAACTATTCTCTTATAATATTAATCAATACAATCGATTTTTGCGTAGAGTTTGCATGATTAATAACGATGATAGCATTACCTCTTTATCACCTTGTACGTTGTCATAACAAATGCGAGAGAACATTTCTGTTGATAAAATAGCACTTTTAATTTAGAAATAGATTTTAATTACTTACACGGATATATTCCTTTGTATCTATTTTTAGAAATGTTTTCGCTTTTTTGTGAATCATCATACGACTTTATTAAGGTGTTTGGTAGTGACTGAAAACATACAATAGGTAGTGACTGAAAACATACAATAGGTAGTGACTTAAAACAGACAGTAGGTTTGGTAGTGACTGAAAACAGACAAAAGGTAGTGACTGAAAATAGACAATAGGTAGTGACTGAAAACATACAATAGGTAGTGACTGAAAACATACAATAGGTAGTGACTGAAAACATACAATAGGTTGTGACTGGAAAACAGACAGTAGGTTTGGTTGTGACTGAAAACAGAAAAAATGTAGTGACTGAAAACAGACAATAGGTAGTGACTGAAAACAGACAATAGGTAGTGACTGAAAACAGACGATAGGTAGTGACTGAAAACATACAATAGGTAGTGACTGAAAACAGACAGTAGGTTTGGTAGTGACTGAAAACAGACAAAAGGTAGTGACTGAAAACAGACAGTACGTTTGGTAGTGACTGAAAACAGACAGTAGGTTTGATAGTGACTGTAAACAGACAGTAGGCTTGGTAGTGACTGAAAAGAGACAGTACGTTTGGTAGTGACTAAAAACAGACAATAGATTTGGTAGTGACTGAAAATAGACAATAGGTTTGATAGTGACTGAAACAGACAATAGATTTGATAGTGACTGAAAACAGACAAAAGGTTCGGTAGTGACTGAAAACAGACAGTACGTTTGGTAGTGACTGAAAACAGACAGTAGGTTTGGTAGTGACTGTAAACAGACAAAAGGTTTGGTAGTGACTGAAAATAGACAATAGGTAGTGACTGAAAACATACAATAGGTAGTGACTGAAAACATACAATAGGTAGTGACTGAAAACATACAATAGGTTGTGACTGAAAACAGACAGTAGGTTTGGTAGTGACTGAAAACAGACAGTAGGTTTGGTAATGCCTGTAAACAGACAATAGGTTTGGTAGTGACTGTTAACAGACAATAGATTTGGTAGTGACTGAAAACAGACAATCGATTTGGTAGTGACTGAAAACAGACAGTAGGTTTGGTAGTGACTGTAAACAGACAATAGGTTTGGTAGTGACTGAAAACAGACAGTAGGCTTGGTAGTGACTGAAAACAGACAGCACGTTTGGTAGTGACTGAAAACAGACAATAGGTTTGGTAGTGACTAAAAACAGACAGTACGTTTGGTAGTGACTGACAACAGACAGTAGGTTTGGTAGTGACTGTAAACAGACAGTAGATTTGGTAGTGACTGAAAACAGACAGTACGTTTGGTAGTGACTGAAAACAGACAATAGGTTTTGGTAGTGACTGAAAATAGACAATAGGTTTGGTAGTGACTGAAAACAAACAATAGGTTTGATAGTGACTGAAAACAGACAATAGGTTTGATAGTGACTGAAAACAGACAATAGTTTTGATAGTGACTGAAAACAGACAATAGGTTTGATAGTGACTGAAAACAGACAGTCGGTTTGGTAGTGACTGAAAACAGACAATAGGTTTGATAGTGACTGAAAACAGACAATCGTTTTGATAGTGACTGAAAACAGACAATAGGTTTGATAGTGACTGAAAACAGACTATAGGTTTGATAGTGACTGAAAACAGACAATAGGTTTAGTAGTGACTGAAAACAGACAAGTATTTATTAAGTACTTATTCAATTTAATTTTCAATATTCATTGAAGTGAATTAAGTTGAGTTGTAAAATTCCTAATGATGTCATTCAATGAGCAAGACATGCACTAATTACCTCTAGAAATGTTTTTTGTGTCTGGGAACATAAATGCATTATAAGAAAGGTATTTACCTTAAACTCGTCAGCGAAATCTTTCATTGTCTTCTTAGAAACATAGTCAGCAAGTTGTTCAAGTATAATCTTTCCCTCTTTATTATCCTGTACCTTGTCACGTGAGTCTTCATTATCAACCGTTGCTGTCTTTAATAGCAGGTCCAAAAATACATTAAATTGATTTTAAGAACATAACTCAAAAACATTCAATAACTCTCAATGTAAAATGTCAGACAAATAACGAAATTGATATTCATTTTATAAAGCATAAAAAATAAAAGTATTAGTACCTGTCGCAGAAATACGTCCATATCAAGGGGAAAGTAATTTCAAAATACCTTGTGAATTGAAATAACAACATATAGAAGTAGATAAAATCATCACTTTTTTATGCTTAATAAATATAATAAATTACTCATATTTGTAATAAAAGTAACAAGAAATGGTCCAATAAATCTTTGATTTACTACACAGATAGTAAATATGGTTATATGGTTATATAATATTTAACAATTCTTCATGCTAGAATAATCAAAGCGTAAATGTTCATATTAGTAAAATACTTCACGGTTAAATGAGTCCTTAATAACCCAGTTTTCGTTTGATTTTCCTACCTGCTAATATCGGTTTATTGGTGACAAAACAAACTGGTGTGTTATTTTTTTAATTGTACTCAACATGTTGTATGAATGATGTCATAGTATGGCAAAACAGAACATTTACTTTTAACCAGGAGGAATGTTAAAATTAAATAAATCATTTTTATGACAGCAGTTGAAACGATAAAGCATAAAGAAAAATATCTTCCCTTGGAAGCATTAATCACAACAAAATTACAAGAGAACTGCAGACTCGGTTTGATTGAGTCTGTACATGAGGGATAATGAATAAGTGCAACATCTCTAACGCCCCCTAGCACCGGCTTGAGCGGTACTCAATAAATAGTGCTGGCATCAGTGATCCCGAAGGACCAGAAAAATATAACAAAACTGAAGTGAAGTATGGGGCAACATTTTACAGTTGCCACATCGCACTTGACACCTGCCTTTGTGAAATTCATCGTTGTAACCATAAGGCGCTCTTATCACAATATTTATCAACATACATTTTTTTTATTTATTTATTTATTTATTTATTTATTTATTTATTTATTTATTTATCTATTTATTTATTGATTTTTTGGTGAATAGTGTTCAAGGGGTAGGAATGCTATACATAGTGATAGCTCTACCGTTCATATCTTTTAATAATCTTTTTTAAGTCCAAACGTATGAATAGCTATGTATTGTTTCTATATAATCCTTTTTTACTACTTGTTCTACTGTCCGGCGTTTTTTCCTGAAAATGTTATGGATTTATCATTTAGGCTGATTCGATTAAAGGATGATAATTAATATAAATGTCCCATGGAACCGTCTTAAAATGTCTTACTTTTTGGGTAACATCAGCGAAAGAGAAAGTGGGCAAATCGGTATGCCATTTTTATGACAGTATAATAGACGCTGTATCATTCAGATTCAATATAATTCTTCTCAGACTAACAGTTGTACGTATTATAACATGTTTTTAAATAAAGCATTTAGCCTCAAGAAAGTGACTGACTTAATTTAATGTAGGATAATTTGTCAATTCCAATATGACTAGCATTCATTTGATGGCAACATTAATCATATATAAGTTAAAAGCATAATCATCAACAGCTTTACCTTCAATGTTTGGATGAGAGGATGGCTGAATATCAAAATAAGGTCCCGTTGTAAATTATTATTATTATAACATAGATAATATCTGCTTATGATGCTGAACAGATCTGTTTGAGCCCGGGACGAGGCAAGATGAAGTACATTATAGATAGGTTGATATTATCAGCGGTTAGCTAGAATCTGAACTACGTTTTGTATATCTGACCTGTAATGTGGCATAGATGTGACAGTTGCAGTATTATTTTATATTGTGACCTCAGAATATCATCTCGTGGCCACGACTTATTATATATTGTGGTCACGACTTTTTATATTGTGGTCTCAAGATATTGTCTCGTGGCCACGACTTATCATCGACAAAAAATTATTATCTTGAGGCCACGACTTATTTTAGACAATGAAAATGGTCTTTTCATCTTCAAAAAAAGTTAAAATCACACTGTCTATAGCTCCGCAGAAGCGGCGGGTCAAACGCTGCATGAACATAGGGAATTTTTTATAATTATTATTGTACGCTGCCTTTGCTATTTATAGCTTGATTTTAATTATTGCGATGTATGAAATTCATGTATCATGTATTTATTTACTCACCTTGTGCATTTTGAAGTAAATCTGTATGATATGGTCATATCTAATTGTTTCAGTGAGATATAAAATTTTCGATACACACATTTCAAAATACAGTGAACAACTTCTGTATAAACCATTTTTGCAATTCGATTTTTCCATAGTAACGCAATAACGGAAGACTTCAAGTTTTCAAACTAAAGGCTTTCATAGACGTGATCCTAGAAAACGGTAATTTTGGGATGACTTAAAGCGTGAAGTGATATTTATAACAGATATACGAAAATATACAGGACTAATAATTCAATAGTCGAAAAGCGCATACAAAACTCTTACAATATTTTAGGTTCCAGGTTTAAGGTATCATTATACTTCTTTTTCATCAGTCAAATTGAAACAGCAGGGTGTTAAAGATAAATATTTATTACCATATCACACAATTTGTATTGTATACAGTTCTCTTTTGCAAGGCGGCATGTGTCAAGCAGATTGACAGTATCAAGACATAATTATAGTTAATCACGTAAAATTAAGAAAATCGTAATTAACCTCAATTTCATATATTGTAAAATGTCTTTAGTTTTTATATGAACTATTTCAAAAACAATTAGGTTGACCTCTTTATTTGCTAACAGATATATTTCCGTAATTTTACAACAATTATCTCAGGTCAGGTCCGTGATCGTAAGGGGGAATTCTTAAAAATAATTATTTCGCAATCTTGGTCATAAAGCTATAAAGGCATCTTTTGTGGGGTTTTTAAAGCTATTTCATACAATTATCTACTTTTTACTTTAAACTTACCCGGAGCTGTCTATGAACTTCCACTACATTTCTATGTATGGCAATGCTCTTTTTGGCCTACGCATATTGTGCATGCGCGAGAAAATACCACTTCCGGTCGATTTTTCATAGCAACGGGACGCGTCGTAAAAACGTCTCTACTAACGATCAATTTCTAGTATTATGCAAATAATGTAATAAAACTTAAGTCAAACTCGTCCGACATTTCAGTGAGGTTATATACTACATTTTCAGTTTCAGCTTGATTAAACTATAATATTTGAAAGAATTTTGACGATGTATTGCTGCAATGAAAATTAACTTGGTTAGAGTCGGTTTCGTAAATCTAACATTTACTGAACCGTAAAAGCTACTTCCTTATTAAACGAAAGTTTATTCAAAATCGTAGTTTAACATTAGTTTTCATATATTGTGACAAATAAAGTCTTAAGTTATTTTCTCAAATTGAAAAACTTTATGTGATATCTTAATATGAGGATAAGTTGTTATAATATATTTATATAAAACTATATTATATATATTCTTACACGTGATAAACGTGCTACTTCTTTAACAGGTAATGAACATTTGTTTAAATATTATCTATCTGTTTCCATTTTATTTTTAAAGATTATTGAATAGCTCTGCTTTGTTCGTATCGAAACTTCCGATTATTTCCTGTTTATTATTTTACTTGTTCTTGATAATTAAGTTACAATATAACTGTGGTGTCTGTTTTGAAAAAGTGCTTTTGCAATAATGACTTTTTATGAGTATCTCTATAAAAGATGAACACGGATACAGATAATTCAACGAAAATTGGTTAAATACTTTATTCTTCATATACAAGCGAACTGACAATTCTATCTGTAGCTATATCAAATTAGAAAGTTTTGAGTTCGAATAAAAAAAACTATTGTATTCCTTCTTAAAACTTAGTTAAAGCATAGTTACATTATTTAACCACCCATTGAACAGAACTATTAGCAAATTATCCCCTTGAATATTGACCGATACAAAATTTCGGTGATTCCAAAGCTCTTGTCCCCTCACCGCTGTTGTTTTGAATCCAGCCAGGGACTCCGGATAATATTATGAAATTATCAAGCTAGTTTATGGAACGTCGGTTGTTTTACATTTGTCTGAAATAATGTTGAGACAAATGAGGTCTTCCTTCATCAGTAAAATTTGAAAGTTGCCGTTTGACGTCCACAGTGTCGTTGTGACGAAACATAACACAACTAATCAATGGATAATTCTAACACGACCCGCATTTTTCACGAAACGAAAGTGTGTGTTGTGTGTTATTATGCAATAAAGTCACAGTTGACGTTCTATATTTAGATATGTGACGTAATCATTTTACATGTGACGTAACCACTAAAAAAATCCGACGCAACGGAAACAAATCAGGCACAATTTTGCTTAATATCAGATACGGCAGCATTTATTTGTTGATTTCGTGTTAGAATCGAAATAAGATATCCAAATCGGTGATTTATTACTTGATAACATCACTGTTTGTCGTTCGGATGCGCATCATTATATCACTCGGGCTACGCCCTCGTGATATACTTCGCATCCGAACTCCAAACAGTGATGTTATTGAGCGATAGAATCACTGTTTGGGATATATTATTTCTTAAACATTTTTAGGTCCTTGCTAACATTATAATTGTGGACAAATGAATATCAGGGATACAGATATGAAAAACACTCTACTGGGACAACTGGGTCTAATTTTACTTTTGTGTAACATAGGTTTGTTTCAAAAGCATCATTTATTATCAATAGATGGCTTCTTTCATATTGAATACATAACAACATACTCGTCATTGTGTTTGAATTACGTTTTATATTGTTTTATAACTTTTTAAATTGTTAGTAAAATCTGATTATGTATTTTTATCATGTAAACACTAAAATGCATGTTCAATGATACACATTTGATTTAATATGTTCTAAAGCTTTACATTTACACTTTTATTTTTGTTATCAATATAAATACACTTAGACAGTTCCTCCAACTGTTAATATACCGCGCAGTTTTTTCAACTGTCAGTCGATATATAAAATAATTAATCATTATAATATAATAATAATAATTATGTTAATCAGTTTCTTTATATATGTTGAAGTTCTAGCATTGAATGAATGTGGCTGGTAAATGGAACATCAAGATGTGAATACAACAACAATGGAGACGCTGTTTGCTTGGATGGTTGTAATTGTCAGTTGTGTACATGCTTGTAGTAACAATTGTGTGATATGTTCTGGTGTAAGCAGTTGTAACACATGCAAAAATGGCTTCTATATTGGTTATAATCCGGATAATAATGTATATACAGAAGATTGTAGTTTATCGTGCCCGGACAACTGCATTTCATGCACTTCATATTATAACTGTAGCATATGCAATGATGGATATTACAATGGTAGACAATACCCATCCAGCAATGTTGTAACCTACAATTGTCAACATAAATGTAGAGATAATTGTATATCATGTACATCATACGATGTTTGTACAGAATGTAAAAATGGGTTTACAGGTGATCTATGTGATAAATGTGAGGTAGGGAAGAAGTGTCGATTGCGTTGATACTTGTTCTGTAGGTTGTGAAAATAAAAACTGTACTTATACTGGGGAATGTCCAAGCTGTAAGGAGGGTTTTACCGGGGTTAAATGTGATAGATGCATCGATGGTAAGTTCGGGAATCTCTGTGACCAAAACTGTCCACAAACCTGTTTAACATGTTCTTCATTGACAAATTGTTCTAACTGTATTGGGAATCACTGGGGAAATACCTGTCAACAATGTCCCACAAACTGCTTAAATTGTTCCTCGAATGGCACTTGCTTTTCGTGTGATAAAGGATTTCATGGACAAATATGTAATAAACAATGCAATGTTACCTGTTATGATGGCCGCTGTGACCAACTGACTGGAAATTGCAATGACGGATGTATGGCTGGCTTTTACGGAAACTTTTGTGACATTAAATGCAGCAATGATTGTTTGAATTCTTCTTGTGACAGAGTACATGGGAACTGCTTACAGGGTTGTAAGGCAGGAAACAACAGTACAAAATGTGAAAAATGTAAGTTTCTTTATAATTATAATTTACAGTTAAATGCATATATAGCATAGCACTTTTTATAAATTAATCAGCGATTTGAATATTTTCATGATATTTTTTATGATGCGATGCAGTGGCTGAACTGTGATCTGGCTTACTGTCATGATCCGGAGTGAAAACTACCAACATCACCATTATAATTGTCTGTCTGAAAAACAATTTAAACTCCTATACGATGATGACTAATATTCCAAAAATGAACAAAATTACAGAAGACTAGTATATCAAAAGATAAAGTTAAGTAGTTTAATGAAATATATTCTATAAAAAACAGAACTCATAGCGGCATTGACACTTTCCTTATTTCATCATTTGCTTATTTTCAACTGATTTGTTGTTTTTTTCAGTCAACAACTAAAATGTCAGAATCTTATTAAAATGAATAACTGACTGACATGAAGACACCCAAGCATCTTTTCTATTTATTTTTTTCCAGTTATTACGTATGCAAAGCGTTTATGTTTAAATGAGCTCTCTTAGGATGCCATGTCCTGGTTTATTGCGTTTATTTACCATTTGTTCACCATTATGTTCGTCTCCAGTAAAAATAATCATCAATAAACGAGTCAGTTACAACAATTGTTCTACAAGAACGAGAAAAAATGCATTCTTTCTTTTTCAAGCTCTAGAATTGCTGAATGAAGACGATAACAGCATGAGTATTGTAATTGGAGCATCAATTGGTGGTGGTGTACTTGTTATGTTTGTTATTCTACTGTTACTGATACGAAAGTAAGATTAAATTCTGTAAAGATACTAACTTTGAAAATGTAGACGTCATATAAAATAACAACACTCTTGATATATAGCTTTATCACACTCCTGCACCGTGGTTTATGTGATAAACAAATTTTATAATAGATTTGTAAGTTTTTAAAACTGTATTCGTCACTTATATTTCAAATAATGCAATTTGTTGAAGTGAATGATCAAAATTTCATTTTCAAAATTCTTTGAAAAAATTTATAGAACTGAATATGATTTAGATAAGCTATTAATCTACAGCTTTGCTGTTTCTTGTAAATACAGACGTCGAAGCGGAAAAGATCAAAACGATAATGATAAAAGAGGGGTGACAACAGAAAATGAAACTATGACATATAGTGAAATAAATGACGTGAATACGACCGGCGATAACAATCATACTGACGTCAACGAAATTGATGTAGAGAACATTACACGCAGTGCAATTAGTGATTCTGATATGTCGGTGAATGGTCGAGGAACAGGTGAGTTCCTTTACAATTATAATGCATTTAATCAATCTGTCCAATAATGATATAATGTTATATAATTATCTTTCAATATAAATACATGTACTTAAAATGTATATATTTTGTGTATAAAAACTTCTTGCAGGCTTTTGTATTGATACCAATCGTCACGAAATAATGTAACGTATTTTACATGTCCACATGTATGACATAATCTACTTTTCTTTCCTTGTAATCACTTGGCCTTGAAAAAGACGAACAAAATAACCTCCAGGCGGGTTTAATAATGTCTGAAGTCGTCCGGTTAGCTAAATAGGTAGAGCATTGGACTGTGAATCGGGGCCACCCGGATTCGGTATGTACAAAAGTTTCAGTACCTTGCGAAAGTGAAGGCAACTAGTACTAGTAAACTGCTTGACAAGCCTGCCCAGGAACGATGCGGTGGTTGAACTGTGCTCTAGTGAATTCAATGTGGCTTACTGCCGTGATCCGGAGTGAAAACTACCAACGCCACCCATAATGACTGATATCAAAAAAGATTTTATCCGTAACGCGTCAAATGTGGCTTTTTCCCAGCTAACCTGTAAGAATAAACAAACTTTTACCGTTTAAGCTTCACGGTGCACTACTAGTGAACCTGCTTATTTTCGAAACTGTAATTGTAAAAGTTTGTTTGTATCTAAGGATTAGCTGGGAAAACCCAATATTCTTAATTTCAGAGTTAGTCTATTGCAACTCTGTATCGACATGACAAGACTGTTCAAAAGAAAACAACAATAAATAAAAGCCACGGTGCATATCCATATCGGTACCCTCTTTGCGAAATCTGCTGAAACGGTACCCTCTCTGAACATGCACAGGTCATTCCCTGCTAAAAACAAACCAGCGATGGATACCAATCCAGTAAAATTTCATTGTAATAAGGAAAGGAGGTATGTCACGTAGAAAAGATGTATACCACGGAACACTAGGATGTTTTATTTATGTGCTGATTTGTCATGTGCCCGATTTTCATGTACTGCAACTTAACAATAAGCTACAAAAAATCGACATGTCTTGCTTCGCCCATCACCTCGACTTATTTTTCGGGCTGAAATGAACCTATGGCTTGATTATATATGCATCATACATATTTGATATGTTCATATACATATCATCTTCGGACAAATGGCAGTATATTGTCAAAAATAAATGTAAAATTAATAAAAACACCCTACTTTCTGTTTTGCAGCGGCACGGGCTACCTCTCTTCATTTGAATTTTTATATCACAGGTACCCTCTCATTTTTTAACACATGGGTACCCTCAAAGCACGACATATGCTTTAATTTGCGTTAATCATTAAGTATGTAATATTTACATAAAAGTAAAAAGTATTACATACACACTTAACGAATAACGTTAGCAGAGAATGACCTGTGCATGTTCAGAGAGGGTACCGTTTCAGCAGATTTCGCAAAGAGGGTACCGATATGGATATGCACCGTGAAAGCGCTATAATTTAAATATGTTATAAGCTTCGGAATACTAAAAACAGTCGACTTAAAATTACAGAACATTATCTCTAACCTTAAAAACTAATCTTTTCATCGGATTACGCTTCGGTAAACATTACATTTATATGGTTAATATATATATGTTTCACTATAACCACCAGAGGATGAACATATTTGCGTTCAATGATGTATACAAAGTGATTATTATAACATATATCATTAGGCACTAGATGTAGTTTGACAGATCGTAATTCATCTCAGTGGTATTACAGTTTATATGTCGTTTTCAATAATGGACTTTTATATTACTCTCCAGAGCCGAGTCTACATTCATCTATCATTGATATTTTAGTAATCTCTTTACATGAACATTTAACATGAGACATTATATCACATTCTCTTGATTCTGATATTAATATATTTTCAAAATATTATGCAACATTTTAGATGCAGTTTATGCAAAACCCATCAAACCAAAGGAGAAAAGTGAAGATGTAAAATCTTTGAACAGGAATTCAACTAAATTAACAGTCGATAATACTACCTACGAGAAACAAGAAACGAGTAAAACGGTCAACAAAGTTCCAATTGCGTCTCAACCCATCCATACGTTTGACATCAATGTAACTCCAAATTCCACCGCTCTGCAACCGACATCACATACAGTATGCGCCACTTTAGCATCAGTAAGTAGTTTCTTTATTTGTTTTGTTTTTGTTGTTTTGTTTTGTTGATTTTTTTATTGTCGTTTTTTTTTTTGGCTGGGGAGGAAGGGGTTGGGAGGGGAGGTTCAGCTGTAGGTATTTCACATTAAGCTATTAAGTAATAGAATGAGAACCGAAACGCGAGGCTATCTGATTTGTGCGAGGGACGTAGCCCCCGTATATAAATCAGATTGCCGAGTGTTTTAATGTCCTTTCTCTTTTGTATCATAGACAAAAATTAAAAGTAACCAGTAAACGAGCATCTGAATATCCTTTTCGCCTTGTCGCTGGCAAACACGCCAAATTGCACGTTTTTGTACGGAGCGTTGCCCCCATGACGTCCTGTCACTTGGCTTTTATGGAAGGGTTAGATTCTTATCCTGCTGTCGTATGGCTCGTTGTCGCTAGCATCATGCTAATAAGCCAATTTATCATTTGAGTCAAGCGCAATGTGCACCGCGACAACACGCCGCGATAAATTGCGCTGTTTGGTGTGTTTCGCTAGCGACAGGAAGAAAAGATCACAAAGCGATAATGCGCCGTTTGGCGATTTGTCGTGTTGTTGCCGGCAACGCAACAGGCAAAAGAGTAACAAATCAGCCACCATAGAATATGATATTTCTATCTTTCTATCGCTATCCCTTTCTCTGCCGTCACAATAAGTAAATCCCAGAAAAAAATGAGCTAATCAATGGGCATGCTCTAGAGTGCGGGGTAACTGATACTTAAAGCACTGTGCAAGTATATGTATACGATTTAACTCTAACACATTTTCAACAGAAAGGTCCCCAAACTATGATACAAATTGAGAATGATGGATACTTATATTTGTTTGATGATAGGTCTCCCTAAATGAAAATAAACAAAAGGAAGCCACACTTGATGGTGAAGACACTTATTACAATGAAGCAGCTGTTAAAAAAAGAAAGACAAACCTTGATCAACTTCCTGAATTTGTTTCCAAAAAAACGGAGAAGGATTTTGTTGAAGAGTTTCAGGTATATTCCTTAGTCATTATAGATATAAATATAAATCTTTGATACTCTTTGATTAATAAATTATTGATATAGAGATATAAGATTCACTGATAGGAACCCATCAAGACTTAAGGAATAGCATTTAACGTGGCATTGCCTCCAGATGAACCAAAATGTTTCAAGAAAATCAACCTTGAGATAAATGTACTAAGATTTTAAGAAAAACAAAAATATTCACAATTCAAGGAACAATGTACAAATGTACATGTTAAATGCAATTACAGACTGATTTTGCAGTATTTATCACCATGTTTCTACAACGTGACTAAAAGTTAAAGCTTCTTTTGCATATTCTGGCCTAATTTTCATTAATTTTTCTGGTTGTAACTTCCGTTTGTAGTGTGTAAATTACTTTCTTTTTTCACTTGCCAATATTTTACTTTTTAACATATTTAAAGCAAAAACAAACAAAAAACATGAAAATTGAAATAATATATGATCGTTGTAAACAATATAAAATGTGTTCCGTATTTTGTTTATCAGTCGTTACCAGTCAAGCTGATTAAGCCATATGTTGACTCGCAGAAAAGAGCAAACCTTTCTAAAAACCGCTACAAAGGAATTTACCCATGTGAGTTATTATAAAATATCTCTTTAAAAAAGACAGCATCAATTATCTCTTCATCTATATAATCTTTATGTTCGATTACGGCTTTCCAATTCATAAGTTGATGTTAGAACCTGTACTATGTCTACCTCATAAACTTAAAACAGCATGCGCAAATAATAACATTTTTTGCATGAAAAATATTAACCAATAATATTACTTTGCTCATGTTTACGAGTGATAGGCTAGTCGTTGCTTTTAACCTATGATGTTGTTGTTGTGTTGTTTTTGTTGTTGTTTTTTCTAGGTTGTTGTTTTTTTGTTGTTTGTGTTAGAGTTTGTGAAGTATTATAATTGATTTTTTTTAAGATGACGACACGCGTGTTGTTCTTCATGATGGTGAATCAGACTATATAAACGCCAGCTATATACATGCAAGTATTATTACGATGATTCTTACTATTACATGTGCCAGTGTGAATAAGATTTGTAAAATTATATATATTAAAACTTGAAATCTACGAATATAGATACAAATGTATATCAAACTCCGCTGATTGAATAGAATAACTTCTAACTTAAACAAAATGTTATCTTAGTATACCTTATATTAAATGAAGTAAGATTTTTATTATATTTGAGTGTTTATGTTTTACAGGGATATAACAAGTATAAAGCGTACATTGCTTCAATAGGTACGTTTTTTTACAAACTACAATAAGTTATTAACTTTTTTCGCACAATATACATTGAAAGATGTTTTGATTTTAGTCAATTTATTCACACACTCATCCTGGTTAAATTTGTATCGTGTAATAGTTTGTTAACATTTAGGAAATGACATTTCAATGATGCATAGGTTTCATCTTTTTTTTCTTTTGTTCGGTTTAACACAACACAACACAGTAGATGTCATATGGGGACTTTCCAGCTTAACTGGTGGAGGAAGACCTCATGTGTCACCCGGTGCATGTGCCCCTCTTTACATTATCTCAGTCACAAACGGGTACCTGAGTAGAACCGCCTACGTTCCCAGCTGTGACAGGCAAGTGGTTTGAAGTAAACGACCATAACCACTTGGCAACTGACAGTTTCATCCTAATTTTGGGGAAAGAATGAATATCGAAATAAGGTTGTGCTTTAAAACTGCGTTTCATGTAATAACTATAAACTATATACATTTAGGTCCTACATATAAATACATGGGCGATATGTCAGCGTTTTGGATAATGGTTTGGCAGGAAAATGTCGGAAAAATTGTTATGTTAACAAACCTTGAGGAAGGCGGGGTGAGTTTTCTCTGTGATTTATTTTCATCAATAAATATATAGAGAGATATAGAGGATATTCAAGTTTTCCTATAAATACGGGATTTATTTTCATCAAGTGGTATGAAATGAAACATTTCACGACTGGCGGTAGCCACAAGTGAAATATAATAGTTTCATACCACAAGGAAAAACTTGAATTTTCTGTTTATTATATATTCAAGTTTTTATGTAAATAAAGGATTTATTTTCATCGATATTCTTTTCATCCGCATTCAAATATTGTCCGGCTACAGTGAATTTATATATTATATTTCACTTGTGGTTTATCAGAAAAACACTGGAAAGCATGAAATATAAACTGATAATTTCACTGTTTGAAACAGTGAAAATATAAATTTGATATTTTTCACTGTTTTGAATTTAAGTCAGTGAAATACCTGCGTGCACAGTACTGAAAACCAACTTAATGACGTCACTTTTGTATAATTTTTTGGGGCGCTTTTCATGTAGTACTAGGTTTGAATGTCTCTTTAAACGTTCTTTGCATATAATGAAAAAAAATTGTTAAGTTTATTGTAAGATCGAGATATATTTCACCCTGTGAACACCAAAAGTTTGGTGCTCACTCGGTGAAATATATTCCGATCTTACACTGAACTAAACAAATATCCTCTATTTCTCTTTTCTACCTTATGATTTGAAAGACTTCTTTTTAATTTGTACTGGCATAATTTAGAAAAGAAGTAGTTCGGTAATATGGAAAATACGTTTCACTGCAGTGAAAAATAAAATGAACGGTGAAAATACGGATCATGAAAATATGCATTTTATTTCGACAATATTTCTCTTTATTTTATTTTTAAGTAATAAATTCCTTTATTTAATCTTATAGACATTATAGAGTTTAAAATGAAAAAGATCTTAACAAAATGTCAATGAAATTTACGTCGAAAGTACGATAGAAAATTAGAAAATATTTCAGATATAACTTCAGATCGGATCATATATCAAGCTATTGAGTGCTTGGTGGTAATGAATCATTATATTTTGATATCATCATCGCAACTTTCTCTCATGTTAGGTACCAAAATGTGACCAGTATTGGCCGGAGAAAGATTTTAGTCTCATGTTTGCTAACATACAAGTCACGTGTCATACTGAAGAGAGCTACGCCGACTATATATTCAGATCATTTAGTGTTCAAAAGGTAAATCTCGATTACACAATACACTGATAATGAATTGACTCTCAATAAGTCAAAATCGCTTTACTCAAAATTCCGCGTAAGTCGAAGTATTTCTAAAGTCCCGTCAAATTTCTTTCTTTATCTTTGTATTTTAACTCCGCTTAGGTCAAATTTTGACTTACCGAGACTCCTGTTTAGTCGAAAAGAAAATTTGGTCCCGTCAATTAAAGTCCAACATATTTTCATCTCAATTAGTCGAATTATGAAAACAACCGACTGATCAAAGGTCGGCAACATCAAGGTGAGATGTTCTCCTTGTGATTCACACGTTCCATAGAAATTTTTATTGCCGGTCATCATGTATTATTAGCACGTCGTAAAAGTGGCTTTAATCGGTTTCAAGACTGAATTGGTTTTCACAGTTAGATAACAAAATTAAGACGCGTGCCAGTCTGACAGGACTGGTGTTAGTAAAAAAATAGCCTAGGTATTGATGTGTGTTATCAACGTAAATGGAATTTGTATAATTAATGTTCCGTCATATTGCATACATTAATTTGATAAATTCACTTCAAATATAAGATAAATTGTTGTTAATATAAAAGTGTTATTGTGCTTTTATTTTAATGATTTGTCATGAGTGTTTATTGTAAACATGTGCTTTACTTACGAATACTGACAAACTTGCATTTATGTCATTGCTACGAATGTTTGTGTTTATGTTTCACTATTAATATACATGCATTAAATTATATATTTTTGTTCATAATTTGTACTTGAAAGTGATTTACCGTCATTTCAACGGTTAAATATTGTAGCATTGCCGCTATCAACAACAATAAACCTACTTCTTTGTACATTCAATCAGGCACATGTATATACATGTACGAATGTCAACGTAATGGCGGCAGATCCATCTTACTCGAATTCCGTTTCTCTCGAAGTAAAATGCCCAGTCCCTTGGATTTCGAGTTACCGAGAGTCAACTGTATATAAATATATCCCTTCTGTAATTCGATTTAAGGTATTAGCACCCTAATGCATTACCTCTGCTTTGAAGAGTATTCAAATAGGATAGAACTACTGTTAACTACATTGAAAATGAGGGCCATGGGTTCAATCCCCAGAAGGGTCAACTTTTTTTTTCTTTCCTTTTTTCTTTTAACATTATTTATGTATCTCTCATGTCCCATTTGGAAAGAAAAAAGTGTTTAATTTTGATTTTTTAATTTATATAGGTATTTATTGGCTAAATTATGCTAAATCTAGTAATAAATATGGTACCTGATATTTTCAAAGTGTAATATAATCAAAACTAGACGGTAAAAGTATTTCATATTTTACAAGATCAACCAATGTACTTTTTTAAAAATTGAGGGAAACTTTGAAAACAGGCACTCATTTGGGTAAATTTTAAGAATTTTTTAAATTAGGCTCCCTAAGTAGAAAAATGGTCGGACACGTGGTAAAAATGGGTGGGGTAGGGTAACATTTTTATACAGATTTCATAAATTTTAAGTAGAAACCATAATTTTGCTTATTTGGATTGTTAGCTGAATGGTACTTTTTGTTTCTCACCAAAAATTAATGGGAAAACATTTATCATTAGAATGTTATTGCAGATTATTTAAAGGTTCCTACTTTCTAAAAAAGGGCCCTCATAACATCCTAGCTTGAGTTCAGAAAAGTGGCCATTATAACTTGATTTCCGTACGGTAAACTTTGTTTAAATTTTGCATACAGGTGTACTTTAAGGTATACATCTGACTTATGATGTCAATTTTTTAGTTCCTGATAGTGCCCATTAGGGTCCTAATACCTTAAGTAAAAGCTTTATGTATCAAGAATCATTTAACTTTTTTTTCTTTACATTGATTACATCAAGTAATGCTGAAATTGCTCAAGGGAAATTCGTAAAATAGCTTGATATACTTGTAATACTCACAATGTTACTTAGTAATTTTTAAAATGTATCCAGATACATAATAATGAATGAACAAGTACTATAATTATTTCATCCTCCCCCAGGATTCTATCAAAAGAGAAATATTTCAAGTTCATTTTACTGCTTGGCCAGATAAAGGAACACCTGATGACGTCACGAGTTTGATAGAATTTCGTCAGAAGGTCAACAGTACTAAGACTAAACTGGATGGCCCAATCATTGTACACTGCAGGTAGCTATATATAGCTATAAATATTGTTTATATGTTTGTAGGTCTACAATCACCAAATATCCATATTATCTAAATGTTGTCATACTTGTGTACATTTGTTCTATCTGTAAAAGAAAGGAGAGCAAAAGCTGTTGCTGTAACTTGTTTTATTTTTTTTTAAAAAAGAACACGTTGGAATATACAAAAGACCGGTGGTGACACAATTTCAACTTCTTCCTGAATTCACAATTTCAACATAAAATCGTGAATTCCGTATGTTGATAATGTAAATTTACGAAGTTAAATTGTTAATTCACGAAGAAGATAAAATCGGGGATTCTTGAAGTTGAAATGACCACCTGTCTTTCGTAGAAATATTATGATGTTTCAGCGCCGGAATAGGTAGAACTGGTACGTACATTGCATTAGATAGTATAACAAATGAGGGCGAGGCCGAGGGAGCAGTAGATATATACGCATTTGTAAGGAATATGAGAGAACAGAGGGTTAACATGATACAAACTGTTGTAAGTTGTCACTAGGTTCATAAATCCTAAACTGTTTAAAAGAACCCTTTTAAGTATTGACTTATTTCCATTTTACATAAAAGTTTTTCATTCTAAATATAAATTCTCAATACATTCAGTGGTGAACCTACACGAATATAATATTCTATCTATCACATACGCAAAAAAGGCAGTGTAACGCTTACATTTAGCGCGTCTTTACAGTATATGTTTGTATAACGCGAATGACGACACGTCAAAATAAATGCACGACCGTGCATATACCATTTTTACGAAGTCGCAAAATCGACACGGGTGTGTGATAAAACATAATGATAACTGTTATGATGTTGTCTCTAGTCGACTTTTAAAGGAAGTTGCTCATAAAGTAATATATTCGAAACGTTATTAACCTTGTATTAAAATCACAGTACATGATTGAAATGTCTAGTTATGTAATGAAGTCAATCATATATTTACCTGTACAGGAACAATACCAATACCTTCATAACGCGATAGTTCACACTCTGACCTTTGACAGTAAAGCTGTTGATGCCTCCATGTTTAATGAATATATGAAGACACACACCGAAGATCATCTGGGGAATATGTTTGAGGTTTGTTTGTTTCGTTTTTCTGGCAACAATTGTTCGGTTTTTACACTTTTTTTTAAATCATGTCTTAATATGTTTTTAATAGTTTCGTATATCAACCATGTAAATACGAATAAATATTAGATTAGAGTAATGAATTAACATATCTATTGAAAAGTTGTGAATGTTGTTCTTTTAAGCATTCACTTTTTTTGAAAATATTTTCTTTTACATGCTTTAAAATATTAAATAGGTAATGAATTATTCCTACATGACATTGACTTTTTGTGTATATCGCGATGATTTCTTTTTTATGTAAAACTCATAAAATTTAATTAATGATACATTCAATGTATTTCTATGGCAGATTTTTTATTTTATTTTTACAATTTCTACGTTTCTTCACCGATAAAGAAGCTTCAAGCGTCTATCGAAAAAAGATGTGATACGGAAAGGGAAGCTGTTGAACGAAACAAAACTTTAGTTAAAATGAACAGAAATTGTTCCGACATTCCAGGTAAATGATGTTACATTTATCTAGTTGTTTTTTATACAATATTACAGTGCATGTATAACCAGTAATCAATTATGATTTTGTTAAGGTCGATAAAGGTTACATGAAAAGAGAGTTTATGATTGATTGAGTATAATGACTTGTTGTAGGAGATCGTAACAGACCTCGGCTATCCATTGCTAGATCTCCAGGAAGTTCAGATTACATCAATGCCATTTATGTTAATGTAAGTAACTTTGATTGTTAGTATTTAAATTATGACTAAACATCATTCAATAATAAAGTAATCTCACCAACAAATGAAAGTTTTCTGAGAAAATCCATTTTGTTTTGAGATGTTTATAAATTTGGTTATCATTAATACAAATAATGTCTACCAATAATCGCAATCAACAGCTACTACTTTATGATTATTGCATTAAGGCTGATTTGAGGGGAAATCGGGTTCTTTTGCTGTTATATCTTTTTTGATCTGTTTTGTATTTAATATATGGTAATTATTAGATGTGAGCAGTGCACACAGCATAATTAGGTTAAATATTGTTTTTATTTTTTTTATTAAATGTTTAGAAACGAATTCGGAAAACACACGTCAGGAAATTAATTCATAAAAACGTTGTTGTATCTTAACTACTTTACTGCTTTACATATATTTGAAATTAAGTATGTAATGTTTTTTTATCGTCTACAAGTCTATCTTACTCGATTGCCTCTACAGAGTTTCAAAAACGTGAATCGTTTCCTGATAGCACAAACACCTTTACCAGACACGGTTGATGACTTTCTTACGTTAATTGTCCAAGAGAATGTCTCGTGCGTTATCAGTATGGAAACAACGTCGTCAAAAAATAAAGTAAACTTTATATTCATTATCTTAGAACACTTGCGATGATGAAAAATTGTTTTTGAAATATATGAAGTTATATTAAAATTTCAATAAGACTTAGTAGTTAAACCAAAGTACTTAAATTAAAAATATGATGATACAGTTTCGGTAAAGCAATTGATACATGCGCTAAATCATCGCTAAAATAACTGAAAATAGGATCTGAACGTTTTGTAGGAGAACTACATATTTTGTATTCCTCCTGATTCATAGCAGATAAACCTCTCCTAAAATATGAAAGCAACTTGAATATACAATAAAACATGTCGTAATTATGCCCTTATTTGATTAAACATTTTCCTTTTTTATTCATTTTGTACAGAACGTTGGAATCTACTGTCCTGACAATAACCAAACGTTAGTTAATGGGGCCTTCATGATAAAAACTGAACGAGGAAATAGTACAGACCAATATGTGTTAAGGAAGATGAAAATATCCAATAAAATTATAGTATGGTGTATCATAATTGAAGTTTGTAAAAAAATCTCAACATTTTAGTAGTTTATTTCTTTTTAAGCTTTGTAAATACTTTATTATGACATTACGTTCTTGAATGCTTCATATCAGTAGGATTATTCTACCTTTTTAGCTAATTAATAATAATAATTGATATTATTCAATAATGTTATACTACTTATCATTTTAGTGCATTTCATGTCCACATCATACCATGCTTGCACTAAACTTCACTAAACATTTATAATATATTTTTTGATATCATGAAAATATATTTGTATTATAACAATATTTCAGTCTGGGCCTGAGGAGGTTGAAATAATGCATGTTCAGTACACACGATGGGGTGACAGCAAAAGCACCCCGGAAGAGCCCGTCAAGTTTGTACAGTTTGTTAAAGATATGGAACTAAAATTTAGCGGGACTGACATAAAGCGACCAATACTGGTACATTGCTTGTAAGTTGATACTTACTGGTTTAATTCATATCCAAATCAATGTGCCCGATATGTTTAACATATTCGAAAATTTATAGTATTTTGTTTCAATTAATCTTTCAAAATGAAAGCTGTTGTTATACTGAATAGGCCATGAAAAAGTATAATCGAATACATCTATATGCGAACATACTTTTGTCATTGTTTTACTATAATATACGTATATTTAATATTATATTATCAAAATTTACTAAAGCATTGTCCGTTTTCCAGATAAAAAAACGAACCGTTCCTTTGAAAAAAAAAATCGAAAAATATATGCGAAAAATGCTAGCTGTTTTTCCACATGTCTGGTATGGATAAAGTGAAGAATTTTTTCTTTACATTTAGAAGATTCTGCTACTATCGTTTGTTCTTGATATATTGTAATCGACTTTTCATTTTACTCGTAATTATAAAGGACAGGGGCTAAGAAAAGTGGACTATTTTGTGCAGTATCAGTGTTGTTGGAGAAAATACAAATTGACCAGGAAGTGAGTGTTGCCAATACCGTACGACAACTGAAACACAGAAGACATTTAGCTGTACCGGATAAGGTAAATTATATACAAAATGATCATTGTAACAAAATAATGCATTTGCAAATATTTCTCATCAAAAGCTTAAACAATCACTCCTAAACTAAAATTGATTAAGCTTCAATTAGGATCACACAAGTTTAACCTACCTAATTTTCTTCTAGGGCGACCCTAGATTTATTACATGTTATAAACAGAAGTACACGTAGAGGAGTCGGAAGCAATTTTATCTTTAAAATTATTTATAAACAATAGCTTAGTAGAGTATATTTTGTAGGCAAAATTGTTGTTGATCAATGTCAAATCAGCATAATATTTCTTTTTTAGGACAGGGCATGAAAACCATTCTATTTTAGGACCAGTACATTCATCATTGTTAACCAATATACATGTATTATCAGAATCAATTTATTTTCTGTCATCACTATAAACCATTCTTTTTTCAGTACAAGTACATTAACCTCCATCATTATAAAACATTCTATTTTTTGGACCAGTACATTTTCTGTCATAGCTATTAACCATTCTGTTTTCAGGACCAGTACATATTCTGTCATCATTGTCAAACATTCTATTTTCAGGACCAGTACATTTTCTGTCATAGCTATTAACCATTCTGTTTTCAGGACCAGTACATATTCTGTCATCATTGTCAAACATTCTATTTTCAGGACAAGTACAGTTTCTGTCATCATTGTCAAACATTCTATTTTCAAAACCGGTAAACTTTCTGTCATCATTATCAAAAATTACATTTTTAAGACCACTTCATTTTCTGTTATCATTGTCAACCATTCTATTTTCAGGACCGGCAAACTTTCTGTTATCATTGTCAATACATTCTATTTTCAGGATCAGTACATTTTCTGTCATCAATGCTAACCATTCTATTTTCAGGACCAGTACATTTTTGTCATAACTGCAAACATTCTATTTTCAGAACCAGTAAACTTTCTGTCATCATTGTCAAACATTCTATTTTCAGGACCAGTACAAGTTATATCATCATTGTCAAACATTCTAATTTCAGGACCAGTAAACTTTCTGTCATCATTGTCAAACATTCTATTTTCGGAACCAGTAAACTTTCTGTCATCATTTTCAAACATTCTATTTTCAGGACCAGTAAACTTTCTGTCATCAGTGTCAAACATTTTATTTCAAGGACCAGTACATTTTCTGTCATCATTGTCAAACATTCTATTTTCAGGACCAGTAAATATCTGTTATCATTGTCAAACATTCTATTTTCAGGACCAGTACAGTTTTTGTCATCATTGTCAAACATTCTATTTTTAGGACCAGTACATTTTCTGTCATCATTGTCAAACATTCTATTTTCAGGACCGGTAAACTTTCTGTCATCATTGTCAAACATTCTCATTTCAGGACCGGTAAACTTTCTGTCATCATTGTCAAACATTCTATTTTTAGGACCAGTACATTTTCTGTCATCATTGTCAAACATTCTATTTTCAGAACCAGTACATTTTCTGTCATCATTGTCAAACATTCTATTTTCAGGACCGGTAAACTTTCTGTCATCATTGTCAAACATTCTATTTTCAGGACCAGTACATTTTCTGTTATCATTGTCAAACATTCTATTTTCAGGACCGGTAAACGTTCTGTCATCATTGTCAAACATTCTATTTTCAGGACCAGTAAACGTTCTGTCATCATTGTCAAACATTCTATTTTCAGGACCAGTGCAGTTTCTGTCATCATTATCATTCTATTTTCAGGACAAGTACAATTTTTGTCATCATTGTCTAACATTATATTTTCAGGACCAGTACAGTTTCTGTCATCATTGTCAAACATTCTATTTTCAGGACCAGTACAGTTTTTGTCATTATTGTCAAACATTCTCATTTCAGGACCAGTACAGTTTTTGTCATCATTGTCAAACATTCTATTTTCAGGACCAGTACAGTTTCTGTCATCATTGTCAATCATTCTATTTTCAAAACCAGTAAACTTTCTGTCATCATTATCAAACATTCTATTTTCAGGAACAGTACAGTTTCTGTCATCATTGTCAAACATTCTATTTTCAGGACCAGTACAAGTTATATCATCATTGTCAAACATTCTCATTTCAGGACCAGTAAACTTTCTGTCATCATTGTCAAACATTCTATTTTCAGGACCAGTACATTTTCTGTCATCATTGTCAAACATTCTATTTTCAGAACCAGTACAGTTTCTGTCATCATTGTCAAACATTCTATTTTCAGGACCAGTAAATGTTCTGTCATCATTGTCAACCATTCTATTTTCAGGACCAGTACAGTTTCTGTCATCATTGTCAAACATTCTATTTTCAGGACCAGTACATTTTCTGTCATCATTGTAAACATTTTATATTTTCAGGACCAGCATATTTTCTGTCATCAATGTCAACCATTCTATTTTCAGGACCAGTAAATTTTCTGTCATCATTGTCAAACATTCTATTTTCAGGACCAGTAAACTTTCTGTCATCATTGTCAAACATTCTATTTTTCAGGACCAGTAAACTTTCTGTCATCATTGTCAAACATTCTATTTTCAGGACCAGTAAACTTTCTGTCATCATTGTCAAACATTTATTTTCAGGACCAGTAAATGTTCTGGCATCATTGTCAAACATTCTATTTTCAGGACCAGTAAACTTTCTGTCATCATTGTCAAACATTCTATTTCAGGACCAGTAAACTTTCTGTCATCATTGTCAAACATTCTATTTTCAGGACCAGTAAACTTTCTGTCATCATTGTCAAACATTTTATTTTCAGGACCAGTAAATGTTCTGTCATCATTGTCAAACATTCTATTTTCAGGACCAGTACAGTTTTTGTCATCATTGTCAAACATTCTATTTTCAGGACCAGTACATTTTCTGTCATCATTGTCAAACATTCTATTTTCAGGACCAGTGCAGTTTCTGTCATCATTATCTAACATTCTATTTTCAGGACCAGTACAATTTTTGTCATCATTGTCAAACATTCTCATTTCAGGACCTGTACAGTTTTTGTTATCATTGTCAAACATTCTATTTTCGGGACCAGTACAGTTTCTGTCATCATTGTCAAACATTTTTTTTCAGAACCAGTACAGTTTCTGTCATCATTGTCAAACATTCTATTTTCAGGACCAGTAAAGGTTCTGTCATCGTCAAACATTCTATTTTCAGAACCAGTACATTTTCTGTCATCATTGTCAAACATTCTATTTTCAGAACCAGTACAGTTTAAATCATCATTGTCAAACATTCTATTTTCAGGACCAGTGAATGTTCTGTCATCATTGTCAAACATTCTATTTTCAGGACCAGTACAATTTTTGTCATCATTGTCAAACATTCTATTTTCAGGACCAGTACATTTTCTGTCATCATTGTCAAGCATTCTATTTTCAGGACCAGTAAATTTTCTGTCATCATTGTCAAACATTCTATTTTCAGGAACAGTACATTTTCTGTCATCAATGTCAAACATTCTATTTTCAGGAACAGTACATTTTCTGTCATCATTGTCAAACATTCTATTTTCAGGACCAGTACATTTTCTGTCATCATTGTCAAACGTTCTATTTTCAGGAACAGTACATTTTCTGTCATCATTGTCAAACATTCTATTTTCAGGAACAGTACATTTTCTGTCATCAATGTCAAACGTTCTATTTTCAGGAACAGTACAGTTTTTGTCATCATTGTCAAACATTCTATTTTCAGGACCAGTACATTTTCTGTCATCATTGTCAATTATTCTAATTTTCAGGACAAGTACATTTTCTGTCATCCTTGTCAAACATTCTATTTTCAGGACCAGTGCAGTTTCTGTCATCATTATCTAACATTCTATTTTCAGGACCAGTACAATTTTTGTCATCATTGTCAAACATTCTATTTTCAGGACCAGTACAGTTTTTGTCATCATTGTCTAACATTCTATTTTCAGGACCAGTACATTTTCTGTCATCATTGTCAAACATTCTATTTTCAGGACCAGTACAGTTTTTGTCATCATTGTCAAACATTCTATTTTCAGGACCAGTACATTTTCTGTCATCATTGTCAAACATTCTATTTTCAGGACCAGTACATTTTCTGTCATCATTGTCAAACATTCTATTTTCAGGACCAGTGCAGTTTCTGTCATCATTATCTAACATTCTATTTTCAGGACCAGTACAATTTTTGTCATCATTGTCAAACATTCTATTTTCAGGACCAGTACAGTTTTTGTCATCATTGTTAAACATTCTATTTTCAGGACCAGTACATTTTCTGTCATCATTGTCAAACATTCTATTTTCAGGAACAGTACATTTTCTGTCATCATTGTCAAACATTCTATTTTCAGGACCAGTACATTTTCTGTCATCATTGTCAAACATTCTATTTTCAGGAACAGTACATTTTCTGTCATCATTGTCAAACATTCTATTTTCAGGACCAGTACATTTTCTGTCATCATTGTCAAACATTCTATTTTCAGGACCAGTACAGTTTTTGTCATCATTGTCTAACGTTCTATTTTCAGGACCAGTACATTTTCTGCCATCATTGTGTCAACGAGTATCTACGAACTTTCGATATCTACTCAAACTTTGAACTGAAGACATAGACCTGCCAGTACTGAAAAAAAATCATGATTATATTCTGAAGGATAAAAACAAAAACATGTTCATTGTAAATACGAATATATGTTGTAGTTCAATTTTATTATTATCTTTTTCTTTTTATGTGTAACCTTATGTATTGTGAGTCCTTGAATAAGTGGTTAGAAATGTTCTAACTGAGATCTGTAAGAAAATTAGTAACAGATGTGCTTGAAAATCTTATATAGTATGTATGTCCCTCACTCAACGTACAAAAGCGTTCTTCCATTCTTCCAATTTCCAATTTAATTAATTCATATTTACTTATCATTTTGTAGCTTCCTCTCCGGCCAAGATATGTTAAAAGAATGCCAAATTTTAACATACAATGATATTGTATAGTAGACTTCTATCAAGGTTGTTCGAAGTATGTCTCTAGTACCAAAATTGCCTCTGCCCCGGGGGTCAGAGGTTTTGCTTATATGTAAAAGTTAAAAAATATTCTCCTCTTAAATGACAAAGCTTGAGATTAGATATTTGGCATGAAACATTGTGTTGGTGACCCCTACCAAGTGTGTTCAAATTATAGCCAAGGGTCAAAATCTGCCCTGTCCCGGGCATATGTGAACATATAGTAAACTCTTAAAGGAAAATTAACTCTGAAGTTTCTTAGGCTAGAGCTAAGATATTTGGCATAAACCATTGTGAAACTCTAATACACTTGCTCAAATTATGGCCCAAGGGTCAAAGTAATCCCAATCCTGGGGGTCACGAGTATTCTTTACATACATTAAACAAAAACTTAAGAAAATGTATTGTTTTTTAAAAAACGGAGAAAGCTAGAGCTTAGATATTTGATTTGAACATTGTCTGGTAGACCTGTATCATGGTTGTTTAAATTAAAGCCTTGGGGGATGAAATTTGCCCTGCCCAAGGGAACACACTGACCTACTTTTTTATTATTTGATATGCATCTATGAAATTTGGACCATGTGCACTGTTTCAGATGTAGAATTGAACTTTGATATCCGCTGACCTAGATTTTGACCAAGTGATCTACTTTTTTGTACTTTAATTTAGAGACCATGTGCACCGTTTTAAATTGAAACAGCTGATCTAGATTTTGACCTAGTTACCTACTTTCTTGTTTCTTTCACTTACAGATTTGACAATTTGACCATGTTCACAGTTTCGCGTGTAAAAATATAATCTAATTTCAGATAACCTAAATATTGACTTTGTGATTTACTTTCTTGTTTTTGATGTACAGCTATGAAATTAGGACCATGTACTAGTATATGGTAAAAAATTTGGAAACACATTTTGCAATAAGTATGGTCAAGTGACCAACATCGTTCAAATTCTTGTAATAAACACTAGATGTCACTGCTTGTCTGTCCTTAGGGTCAGAGGTCCCTTTGTTTATATTCGAATTCTTTACTGCTTCTATAAATGATATATTCAGAATCAATTTCAGTTACTGTTTTATTCCCATCCAAAACTGTGTTCCATCTATTGTCTGTCATGATATGTGGTATATAAAGTCGTTCTCCTTTATGTTAATTCTTGTATAATCGAAATATTAAATCAGTTGCTTTGTTAATTATATACCATTATTCCTGTAATAATAATAATACAGTTGTATGTACCCGTTTTATTTTTCTTATTCTTGTTCGCATTCATTTAAGTCGTGCGTGCATCTTTGTTGTAACGTTTACCGGTATATATAAAAATAATTTTAGAAGTTAGATGGATCGAAATTGTAGACCCGTTACTGATTTTTGTATTGAAGATCACTAGATTTGCGTGACTTTAAAATGTCCGTTAACATTATTTAGAAATCTGCATGAAGAACATAAATAAATACACGTATCTGAATAATTTCCATTTACTTCTTATAGTTTTTACAATGTTTTCGTTTGTTTGGAAAATTGCTCACAATTTTGCATTTCCAAAACCATGGTTGTGTTAATAGAAATAATAACATTAATGTTACGTTTTCTATCATTTCCTTCGACGGCTGTATACATGTCAGCATAGTTACATTGTCTAACATGATATCTTCCCTCTCAAACATTCGTTATTTTTTGCGAATTGTGCACAACACAGAATGTCTTATGTAGCAACCATGTTTCTTTTTTAAAACCTATAATGGATAGTTACAATGCGGTGTGTTTAAAATCACCCTACTCTTTCATTGTAATGCATTCTCATGTAGTTGGAAATTGATATTATCATAAACAAAAACCGTTTCCACTACAATAACGACAAACACTAAACAACAATACATCAAGAGCAAAAATCAAAGTATCTATTGTGTGGCTAGATATGAGGTTAAAGAATTTGAGATGTGTAAAGTCGGCGACTTAGCGGTGTGAAGTTGGCGCCCTAGCGGCCTAAACTTTAAGTGTTGTGGAACTTTGACAAAGAAATTAAAATGACTCTTACTTAAGTTTGAAATAGATGTCTGAAGTTAGCGGTCTAGCAACCAGGCGGCCTAGCGACGTGAAGTTGGCGACTACCTAGCGGCGTGAAATTGGCGACCAAGCGACATGACGACGTGAAGTTGGCGGGCTAGCGGTCCAGCGACCTAGCGACGTGAAGTTGGCGGTCTAACGGCCCAGTAGTCTGGATTACCTGCCCCTTCTTACTACATTTAATGATTCATATATTATATGACATATAATGATATATCCGATCTAGTTGAAAATCCGATCATAAGATATATCCGAAATATGATTTCTTCCGGCATTAGAAATCTCTGGAAATTTCCATTTCATGCGATGGCAAAATGTAAAATAAATTCTAAGTTTGTTTAGATATATTATGAGCAATCCAGATCTGTTGTGCCATGAGGGTGCCCAATCTGAAAAAAATGACTTAAGTCTGTTTCAACAATTCCATGTTTTCAAATTTCCTAGCCGCTTTTTGAATATTTACACTTCTGACAACACTTATTTATTGTCTGTTACAATCCATAAATAAGTTCTCTTTCTTTTAAAAAGGTTTATGACTAACAAATCCAAATGATATCCCTCTGAATCAAACACAATTATTTTCCTCAACTTTTAAAAAAGGCGGCCGCTTATATTTAACAAAGCCAGGTCTAATATAAATTCGCAGTAAGTAACAGAAATATGGATGAATGGTTGGACTTTTTCTCCTATTAAAAACAAGCGATCATTCATATAATTAATAAAATGAATAATATCACCGCCATTGAACGTTGATTGTCGAACTTATTTTCAGCCCAAGACTTCTTGTATTTAATGAGAAATTCGAATAAATGAGGCTCTCAATCGGGAAAACAGATTTTAATATTAACGTTAATGTTAAGGAAATTTCGTTTTAACTTGTTTTTAAGCATAAAATAAAACGAAAATGTGTTTGTTTGTTGTGTAAGGTGTAATTTTATTTCATTTCGTGAACTTTAAAAACAGTATTCTCACTCGTGGCTACGCCACTCGTGAGAATACTGTTTTTAAAGCCCACTCGATGAAATAAAATTTCATCGTACATTGTACTTGCAAACAAACAAATATCCTCTATGTGTAGTTAATTGCTATTGCTGTAATATATACTATATCAGCATGATGCCGATTGTTTTTTATTCTTTTTTTTTTGACAAGATGGAAAAAAAACCAAAACATTTTTATATACTGACATAATCAGCGATTATACAGACAATTAATTGTTGTTGTAGCCTTTTTCTCTCTTTTTCTGACTGATTAATATTAACACAATGATATGAGACTGGTGATATCTTGAAAACATGTTAAAGGAATAGTTAAGTTAAAATATATTTCAAATGATGGTGTGTTAGTCAAGATGATTTAATGAAAATTCTCAATGATGCGGAATCAATTATCCAGTACGAATCTTTTAAACATTTACTTTTAAATTAGTTTTGTTTGGTTTCGTAAATCTAAGATTTACTGAACCATGACAAGCTACTTCCTTATTAAACGAATCTTATTTGAAATCATAGCAAAACGTTTGTCCCTGTGGTGATGATATTCTCTTATATTGATAAATCTGATTGGTGACTGTAACCATACAATTATCAAAGACTAATTAATTGATTTCACAGTTTAAATGAAATTTCTACCTTCAAAGGTAATTCATACTTTTTCTCTCTTTTTATCTAAATAATTACTTAAAATATGTATTGATTAAATTTTATGTTTCTTCCTTTTATATTAAATATTTGCTCTACCTTGAACATTTGTAAGACCATTTCGAAATCACCGAGTACCTGAAATCTCTGTTTAAATTGTCCTAATGTTAAAATATTTCTACGAGTATATAGGCCTAACCATGTTGTCAAATTGAAAACAAAATGTTATATAATCACGTTGTCGAATTGAAAACAAAGTGTTATATAATCACGTTGTCTATCTGAAAACAAAGTGTTTTGTAATCACGTTGTCTAATTGAAAACAAAGTGTTATATGATCACTTTGTCCAATTTAAAAACAAAGTGTTATATAATCACGTTGTCTAATTTAAATCAAAGTGTTATTTAATCACGTTGTCTAATTCTAACACGATCCGCATTTTTCCCTATTGAACATAGAAAAACCGAAAGTGTGTGTTATTATGCTATAAAATCACTGTTTGAGGTTCAACAAATCAGGCGCAATTTTGCTTAATATCAGGTACGGCAGCATTTATTTGTTGATGTCGTGTTAGAATCGAAACAATATATCCAAATCGGTAATTTAATTGCTTGATAAAATCACTGTTTGTCGTTCGGAAATTGCTTACATAGATTCAAGACAGGAAACAAGGGTAAACTGTTTCTATTCAATAAACGATATATGATCTTAAAGTAACTAACACAGTAAGCAAGTATGTCAATGAGTCAGTTAGGATAAATATAACAACAGTAATTGTAACAATTTTACCGATTAAAATACAAAAACAATAGAAATAGTAATGATTTTTTTTTTCAAATAGAAGTATTCTTTTAAAACTAAAGCGGGAATATATATAATAAGAAAAGCTCGCATTTTACCTGTTGGTATGATCAGTGCACGATGTAGTAAATACTAAAATACATAAAATCATAACACATTATCAATGTACGATGTAGTAAATACTGAAATACATAAGGTCATTTCACAAGCAGCTGTATTAATGTACGATGTAGAAGATACTGAAATACATAAAGTCATTTCACAAGGAGTGAGACTAAAAAAATGATTGGAGCACCACACTATAAACCGTATTCCGGTATATACCGGACAAGGCGCTTGAATGATAAAATGCTAAAATCTTGTCTTTTTACCCAACGGAATGAACTTTAACAGGTCAAATTCATATTTTCACATCGAATTAATACATTCGCAGCTGTATCAGTTTACGATGTAGTTTACACTAAAAAACATTAAAGACATAGCACAAGCAGCTGTATCAGTGTACGATGTAGTAAAAACTTAAATACATAAAGACATAGCACAAGCAGCTGTATCAGTGTACGATATAGTAAATACTTAAATACATAAAGTAATAAAACAAGCAGCTGTATTAATGTACGATGTAGTAAACACTTAGATACACAAAGACATAGCACAAGCAGCAGCATCAGTGTACGATGTAGTAAACACTTAAATATATAAAGTAAAGCAATAAGATAGACTTATCAACTTTCTACTATTTTGTTTAATTGTTTTAATTCACTTTTCAATGATTTCAAATAAGTCATGAATTGTAAAGGTTTTTATTTACAAATAAGGACTTTATTTCTAAAATTTCGGAAAATGATATTTGTATTCTTACTGTATCCTGGACGGATGAAATTTTCCAATATTGAGGATAATGGATTTACTTCCTTAGATTTTTATAGAATAATTAAACATTGAAGGGATAAAAGAGGCAGTTTAACACCAGCAAATATTTCTGATCTAATTCCGTTATCTCAGAATCAAACGTGATCACAACCCAAAACTAATTATTTGAAACCCGTGTGTTATTTATTTTATTACCCCAAACAAATAATTTGAAAATTTTCAACTAAATCTAACTGTAACAAAATTGAACCAAGAGTAACGATTACTGAACTATCCTTGCCTTGCAAGTTGAAAAAACAAGTGATGAGATTTTTATACTGTTAAAAAGTACTGATACCATGTAACAGCACATTTTTCTTAGTCACATGGTACATTTGCTTTAACAGTAAGAATAACTCCCATCGGCCTATGGGAAATTAACAAGTGAGGGGTAATAAAAATCTTTATAATTTCTTGGAGTACTAGAATGTCTATTTTAGAATTGAAGACATTGAACATTTTTATATGTTATGTATTTATCGTTTTATTTAAAACAACAGATATAAACAGGGCGACTGGAAATAAAGACACTAAAGGAATAATAATAGGTGCTGCGATCGGTGGTAGCATTCTCTTGATAATAATAAGGGTATTTGTTGCTGCTGTGTTCCTCCTGACAAGAAGGTAAAATACCAG